GCACCGCTCATACTAGATTCGCGATTACTGCACCCTTAATTATCACAACTCTCATTAGACTCCAACTATTAAGCCTATCATACTAGACTTTTAATATTACACCTCTCCTAATGACTTTGGCTACTTCATCTTTCGTGATAAACTTGACAATTACACCTCTCATAATACACTCCAACTAATACATCTCTCATAACAGATTTGCAATTACTGCACCTCTCATGATAAAGTGCAATCATCACAACTCTCACATACACCCCAACTATTACACCTTTCATATACACCCCAACCACTACACCTCTCATATACACCCCAACCACTACACCTCTCATACACCCCGGCTTTCAATGGACCTGGATTTTATTCACCAGGGCACGGCGCTCCAAGCAGGCCCCAAAACTGCCCACCACTCACCAGCCATTGGAGGCACATTGCACACTACGCCATATGTCTAGCCCAGAAACCAAGCGCACGCCTGCAGAGACACAGCGCCCAGTTCCATGAATAAAGACAAGAAGCCCAGACACAACCAACAACCAAAAACACCAAAAAAGCCAAAAACAAAAAACACCACAGTACCAAAACCCTTACGCCCTCAATATCACCAACACCCGAAATATCCAAAATAAACAGTCCCCAAAACAAGCCCCACAACCAACGTAAACCAAACCACACGCGGCGCCAGCAGCGCGGCCTGCACACACGCCTGGCGGCCTTCGCGCTCACGCAAACCACCTCCAAATTCTCGCTTGTACTCCTCCAGAGCTTTTGGAACCCCCACCAAAACCCGCCCCACCCGTCCGATTCGACGCGGAAAACGCTCCCCCGTGTTCTCCGCCGCCCGCACTTCCCCCCAGGCCGCCCCTCCCCGCGCTGCCGCGCCGTTTGTGCCCCTTCTGCCCGCCCCCCGCCAGGCCCGCGCGCCATGCTCCGATGTCTACTAAGAGGGCCTCGATCTGCGGCCCCAACACTCCCACACGCCCCGCGCCGGCCGCTTGCAGACCCCGGCCTGCCCGGCGCATGCCCCCGCGTGGCCGGTGCCGGAAAAGCCCGGGCCCCAGGGCGTGTTTGTGCCGTCGCCACGCGCCGCCACCTCGGCGGCTATTCGCGGCGCCCTGACGGCCACAGAAACACGCCCGCCGCCGCTCCTGCCGCCGCCCGCGGGATGGCGTCCGGCGCCGCCAGCCCCCGGCCGGGCCTGCCGCGCCGCGCGCGCCCGGAGGCCTCCTACTTCCGCGACACCGCGGTCCGCGTCCGCGACATCGAGCGCGTGCTAGCCAGCACCGAGCTTGCGGGCAAACTCTTGGGCAAGATCCGCTCCGGCGCGTTGCTGGCCGCGGACGTGCGGGCCACGCAGCTGCTCGTGCGCTCCGCGGTCAGCTGGGCGTCCAGCACGCGGCTGGACGACGCGTACCGCTTCCTCGTGGACGCGTGGCGCATCGTGTTCCACGAGCAGCGGCACGCCGCGCCGCTCGACGCGCTCCGGCAGACGCTCCGGCAGGACGAGCCCCGCCTCGTGCACATGATGCTCAACCGCGGCGACTGTGCGGCGTACGACGCGCTCGTGGCGCCGCTCTACGTGGGGCGGCCGGCGTCCGTGCGGCCGTGGGCCGTCACCGCCATGGAGACGCTCCGCCCGCGCGTGCGGGGCGGCGTGTACACGTGTGATCGCGAGGCCATGGTGCGGTTCCTCGACTCGCCGCAGGCGCTGCGCGCGCAGAAGCACCGCATGGTGGCCATGTTCGCCACCAAGGCCTTGTTGTCCTCGCGCTCGCGCGAGAACGTGCGGGCCGTGGCGCGTGCGCTCGCGGGCTTCTTTGTGCACGTCGAGGACGCGTTCCGGGTGTGTGCGCTGCCGCACTTCGCCGTCTACCGGCGCCCGTTGGCGTTGCTCGCGGCCACGGAGCCGGGCGCCACGGAGGCCGTGCGGCTCGAGCGGCTCGCGCTCCTCCACGAGGCGCTTGCCGACCGCACGTCGCCCTTGGAGCTCGCGGACTTCTTCCTGGCCGTGCTCCGGGCGTCCGCGGAGGTGGCGCCGCACACCGCGCTCCTGTGCTGGCTGTTCAAGCAGAGCGTGCTCAACGCCGGGCCGCTGCCAGGCCGCCGCAAGGACTGCCGCACCGCGCAGGACTTGGCCGGCGCCATGCTCGCGCACATCCAGATGCGCGCGTACGACCAGGCCTTGGCCGTGTACGCGGCCCACGAGCTGCTCCAGGACGAGCAGCAGATCACGCTCCTCCTCCGCGCCAGCGAGCGCAACAAGGACTGGAAGTTGCTCCAGCAGCAGTTCGAGGCCATGTACGGCCGCGGCAACTTGCCCTACGTGGTGCACTACGCGGTGGTCATGGGCGCGCTCGCGTCCCTCGGCGCCGCCGCCGAGGTCGAGCAGTTGTACACGCAGCTCTTGCGCCGCCAGCTCCAGCCCACGGCGCCCATCTTCCGCGCCTTGGTTACGTGCAGCGTCAACGCCCACGACAGCGCGGCCGCCGAGAAGTGGCACGCCGAGTTCATGGCCGCCGTGGCCGCAGGCTCCGTCGACCCCGTGCACGTGCCCGAGCTCCAGCTCCAGATGCTCGAGGCCCGCTTGCCCCTGATGTCCGCGCCCGCCGCGGTCGCCGAGTTCGAGCGCCTCGCGGCGCTCCACAGGGACTCCCCCGTGCCGTTCATCGACGCCAGCACCATCCGCACCTTGCTCCGCCACGTGCTGACGTTGTATTCGCTTCGCGGCTTCGAGGCCGTGTGGAGCGTCGCGGATGAGCTCGCGCTCGTCGACGACTCTGTCTACGCCGACGCGCTCGCGTTCTTGACAAAAATGGGCCAGTTCAAGCGCGCCGACGACTTGGCCTACGCCGCGCACCTCGAGTCGCCCGTGCCCTTCCAAAACTCGCTAATCTTGGCCGCCCAGTTGCGCAACTACCGCCAGTGGCGCAAGCAGATCACCGACGCGGAAACGCACCAATTGCTCTCGGAGCGCATCCACCACATCGTTTCCATCGTCGACGACAACGCCTCGAGCCCCAGGCATCTCGGCTCCCTCCTCGCCGAGGTCATCAAGCACTTCACCAGCTTGGGCAAGCCGGATTTGGCCCGCCCGTATCTCGACCGCGCCAACGCGGCCAATATCTCGTCGGAACGTCACTTTGTGCCCTTTCTCCAGGAATACTCGGCTAATAGCTCCTACAACGACAACTCCGACGTCTTGAACTTGTATCAAGAAATGGTCTCGCGCAAGATGACAATCACCGCCCGCACCTACTACTACTTGTCCCGCTCGCTTCTCGTCATCGACGTCGCCAACAAGAAAGGCCATACCAACTCATTGAACCTCTTGCAGTCCGTGCTCGAAATGTACGGCTTCTCTGTCCTTCAAGAAAAGGGCACCAGCAAGGTTTCTGTGTCTCAGTTGTCTCAGAACGCCATCCACTTGCTCCGCATCGTCTCTGACTACGCCATTGAGGTCTCGATGCATGACGAAGGAACAATGGATCTTTTGCTCAATTTCTTGAAGCAGATGCGTGAAAAGCTCGACAAGCACATCGACTACAGCTTTCGTGTGTCGATTCTCACCGAAATGAGCAAGGTTTATCGCGTTTTTGGGGACTTGCACGTGGCCAATTCCCTTGTGGACAATGCCTTCCGGGAAATGGATGATGTGATTGAACAGCTTCCTCAAGAAGATCCTCTACCAAAGCTCTTGCAGCTAGATTACAGAAAAACGATCGACATCAAAATGAACATCTTGAACCAGCGAAACGCGCCTGCGCAGGAATATAGAGGCCTCTTGGAGCATGTGTCGACGCATAACATCCGCTTGTCTGCTTATCAATTGCAAAATCTCAGCCACAGAGTATTGAGTGGAGTTCCTCCCACAAAAGAGTCCGTGTCTTTGATCCTCAACGTCTGTGAGCGGTTTCTCGTGGCAGGAAACTGGGCTGAGGTCAAGATCAATCGCTTGGTTCAGTACATCTACCGCATGTATCTTGTCTACTTAGGGCGCACAATGTCGCCCGACGCAATAGCCGACAGATACGCTTTATTTAACCAACTTTATGACGTTCAAGACGTCGAAGGGCTCCTTAGGGAGCATCTGCATGTCCGAAGCCCTCGCACACAGCTTGAGAGGGCGCTCAGAGACTATCAGGCATTATGTCCTCGTGAAGACTGGACGCTTGAATCGTTTTTTGAGAAGTCGGCTGAGTTCTTCACCCCGGAGCGCACGTTTGCGTCGAGAAACTTCATCCAGCCCAACCTTTCCTCGGCGTTGGTAACAGCCATTGAACTGGTTTGTGATGGCGACAACACTGTGGCTTTCGAACTTTACGACGAGTATCCAGATACAATGGAATATCTCTTGTTCTATGTGGTTGAGCGCTACCGTGTCGTCTCATACCGCAACGGAATCAACAAAATTATTGGGCAGAGCAACGCCGATCGTATGGAAAGCAGGGCTGCTCGGAGACAGCTTTCTATCGAAACATTACAGCATTCATGGGGCCAATAGTGACACCCCACAGAGACCGGGATTTCAAAACCCCTGAGGCAAACACATGCGATGTATATAGGTCGCCTCGGGCTTTGAAGTTGCCAGGACTCCCTCGTTACTTACGCACACACGACAATAAGCATTCAAGCATCTTAATCATCATTATCTATATCCATACTCAAAACGCTTTCTCCCGAATCGCCTCTGGCGTTCGTCGCAAAGTCTGCTCAACGTGCCGTCTTCTTTGGTTTTTTCGCGGCGGCAAACTGGAAAGACTGCTCCGCTTCTGTCTGCCCGTAAAGCAACGGGCCGACCCATGGCTGGACGTTCCATTCCAACTTCAAGCGGGCAGATCTCTCGCGGAAAGATGGCTCTACATCCCAAACAGAATACTTAGATGACACGCTTTTCAAGGAAAGGTTTGCGTCCTCCTTGTTCGTAATGATCTTGTCCCAAAACGTGACCTTGTTTTCACCGGAGTTGGCGCCGTCGTACTCGGCAGTCAAATACACAAAAACCTGCTTCGTGTTCCAGTTGAAAAGCGGCGACAAGTCGGCATCCAAGTCGAATTTGATCTTGGCGTTTTCCTTGGCAGAACCGGGCTCGGCGCCGAAACTACGCAGGTTCTTCAACAGCGCAAGTGCTTTCACATGGCTGATATTCGTGCCATCTAAAGACCAGGCACCTGCAAAATAAAGCTGAGCTACAGATATGATGGCCACAATGGCACTGATCAAAGACACCGCTGTGAGCGTGGTATTGGAGAGCGCCTGGACACGTGACGCGAGACTGAACATGGCAGTGGAATTGAGTTTTTGGGGTCTCAAGTAGGGGGCAGGCCTGGGTCTTAAGTATGGAGCATAAAGCCTCATTCATGTCAAATGGTGAGGTGGCTGTTCATTGTGCAGGACTGACTTGTTTTCAACGAGCTGTGGGTCAAACGATCCTCCACCCATGGTTTTTGTAGAATTGGGTGTGGGACTAAATGAGAGCAGCATTGTAGATTTTTCTGTGGGTTATTAAAAATTTTGGAGGCTCGGCGTTTTTGGGTAAGATTCGTCCTACGTGTTTGGCTGTACTTAATTTTGCACCCACGAGCGCTCATCACGCCCGGCTTTGATGTCTGAGTTTGATAAGCGATATGCACAGATATGTATTTCTGTGCATTTCGTGAAAACCTCTAGTACACGCTGAACGGCGGAATTTTTCTTTTTTTTGGTCGTGTTTGGTTTTTTGTAGTTGAGTATTCTCATTGGTAAATTTGTATGGCAACATCAATTGTATCAAACAGTAGAAGAAGTCTTAGTCGGTGTGGAAGTGCTATATTGATACAGTATGTCTAAAAGTTACTGGAATAAATGAACTAATTTCATTCCAGCGCTCAATTCAAGATTCGCTCATATGCTGTCGCAAGAATACTCGTCTCTAAATACCACGGTTCACGGACCCCACCTCGCGCGCTCTCAGTCTGTAAAAGAGTCAAATTGTCCGTATATACTTGTCTACTGCTTGCTAGTATACTCGGCGTATAGCTTCTCCTGTTGCTGGTACTGCTTCACCAACTTCTTTTTCATACTCTTGGTCACCTCCTCGCCCGACGCGGTCTTGGTGGGTATGCCTTCCGCGTCCCACTCTGAGTACGCAGTCTTGTCCTGGAAAAGATCCTGTGGCCTGATTTTCATCTTTGCAAGTCTTTCCTGCTCCTTCTTCGCATTAGCCTCGGCTTGTTGCTTCTTCTTCTGCGCCTTCTCCAACGCCTGCTGCTCCTTAGCCTGCTGTTGCTTGATCAACTCCTCCTTTTCCTGTTGGTTCAAGAACTTCACTAAAGCCCCACCGGAAGGTCTGTCGTCCAAAGAGATTCCCAACTTAATCAAGTCCGAACGCAAGGTGTCAGAAGCACCAAGAATCTCGCCCGAGTCTGCCTTGCGGATGGCCAATTCCCTCACCAAATCTCTGAATTGCGACAACGCTTTCACGTACGGCATGGCCACATCTTCTGCTGATGCAGAGCTGGTGCCGGAAGTTTCCGCAGAGTCGATCCAGCCGAGTCTATCCGCCCTGGCTTCGAAACCCAAGATTTCCAAAATGCGCACAATCCAGTTCGTGATTTCGACCAAAGGCTCAAAACGCAACTCGTGCTTGCCTGTGACCGTACCTTGAATGAATGTGTTGCTCTTGGAAACCAAGTCGCTGACCACTCTCAAGACAGTTGGCGAAGACAAATTGTCGCAGAACGCAGCGTGGGCGTCCAGCTGTGCTTGGGCCAAATCGGTCAAAAGCTGCTTATGCACTTGCTCCAATTTCTTGGACCTGTATCCACCTTCGGAAACAACGTACTTGTGGTCGGTGACCAATGCTCTCACAGTCGTGAAGAACTTCGACAACGAGGATTCGTAGGCCCGGACTTCCAGAATCAACGAGTCCTTGAAATCAAGCGGCTTGTCCCAACTGCCAAAGGCAAACACCAAACGAAGCTGTCTGGCGGAATATGTCTGCAACGCCTCCTCGACGGTGATGAAGTTCTTCAAGGATTTGGACATTTTCTGGCCTTGAATGTGTAAGTGCCCATTGTGCATGAAGTAGTTGACCCACTGCTTGTTGTCAAAGTATGCTTCGGATTGTGCTAACTCATTGTCATGATGAGGGAAACACAAGTCGATGCCTCCGGAATGGATATCCATTTTCTCTCCCAAAATGTCACTGGCCATCACCGAACACTCAATGTGCCAGCCTGGTCTTCCAGGACCCCACTTGGACTCCCACGCTGGCTCGCCCTGTTTTGAAGCTTTCCAGAGAGCAAAGTCGGCCGAGTTCTTTTTGGCTCCTGTTTCGGAAACCGACAACGAGCCTTCGCCATCGTTTATGAGCTCCAAAGACCCTTTGTTCCAGGGCTGCAACTTGGCGTAGTCGTGGTCCGGGTGGTTTTCGAATCTGACGGTGTCGAAATAAACGGATCCGTCCGGGGTCGAGTAGGCAAAGCCGTTCTCGATGATTTTCTCCACGAACTCGATGATTTCAGGCACGTACTCGGATACACGTGTGGTCACTGAAGGGGGAAGCACATTTAGTCTCTCCATATCCTGGTTGAACTTGTTTTCCCAGAATGCAGGCAACTTTCTGAAAATCTCAGGGTCTGTCACGGAAGAGCCGAACTGCTTGTCGAGCGTGGGCACGGCGACCTCCTCCACCGCAGCCAAGAACAACTCGAAAGACATCTCTCCATAAGCAGCACCGTGCGCCTTCTTAGCAGCACGTGCATACATGGGCAATTTAGGGTTGGCCACGGCGAGCGCCTGGAGATCAAGCGCATCGATGTACGAGACCAATTCGGTAGCCACGTCGCCCTTAAATTCAGGCAAATTTTTGGCAACATAGTCCAGCAAGTACAGTCTGATAGATGCAGCGAGCTCGGGCGTCACGGCATTATACTTGGTGGCGATCTTCTCCTCAAAGAGATGCTGCTGGCGGGCAGCGACAATGATCTTGTCGTCTATATCAGTCACGTTTTGCACAAAATTGATGTTGTATCCAAAATGGTCCCGGAGAATTCGACGGCAAATGTCGGAGCACACGTAGTTGCGGGCATGGCCCATGTGGGCATGGTTGTAGACGGTGGGTCCACAGCAGTACCATGAAATGCGACCGGCGGAGATCGGCACGAACTCCTCCTTTGTTCTCGTCAAGGAGTTATAAATTTTCAACACCGGGCTCTCTCCCTGGGGCGCCAGCGGCTTGCTCCAGTGCGGCTGCTGTACAATTTTTTTTGTGCTCATCAATCGGGCGAATACTTTGTACATGTGGAGTACCCAGGTGTGAGAATTTTGTGTGGCAGTTCTGGCGGTGCACGGGGTGAGTCAGCCGTGCAAGCAGGAATCCGCCAGAAACACAAAAGAATGTCAATGCACTGGGCAAGATGGAAACACTATAAATTACTACGGGAAGCAGGCCAAGTTCAAATGGGCCGGCGGCTATGGGCTGGCGCCAGTACAGATAATTGTGTGGGCTGTCAAAGAGTTGTGAGGCTGCAGCACCGGGAAAAAAGATGCTGCTCAGAATAGAGGGCGGCCCATACACTTATATATGCATGGGCCAAGAAAGCGGGGAAGAGAAATGCTGCAACCCAGAACTACAAGGGTGGTGAAAAGCAATACAGCGTTCCGTAGCTCGCATGTGAATATAGGTGCTGCAAAACGCTGTGATTTCTGATGGCGGCTAGGCGAAAGGGGATCTGCTATGTTAGTACAACACTTTCATTTTATCTTTTTGAATGGGTTCAGAATTGTAGTTGGTCGCATTTCACACAGCACCTGATGAAACTAGGCATGTTTCGGTTACTGTGCTCTAGAACGCAAATTGAATCATCATGAAAATCCAAAATTGTGTACACATACAAATTGTGGTTCTTGGTCAGGAAAGGATGAGAGCGCGTTGAGCGTGGTTTAAATAGTGCCAGGGCGCATTGGGCAGTCACGTGACGCGCCCATGCTCTGATGCACTCAGATGAGGGCTGGACACGGCATCAAGTTAAAACGCAATTAAAATAACAGCCTTGGTCTTGCATGCGGCTGGAGCGAACAGTGCTCGAGGGGACATTTTCAAAGAGCCACGTGACAATATAACACTGATCAGCAAGTGTGTCACGTGACAGCGCTGGCTCACGTGATGCGGTTCCTGGCCCTGCCGGATTTCCAAGCCCCGCCGGATTTCCAGGACCCGCCTTATTCGTGAGCTGCTTTGACACAGGCATCAACTGCATCCAGCCCTTGTCTTAGAACTATATGTGCCAGCAACAATAGCCATCTACGTGTCATACTTCCGATGGCCCATGGAACGACATGACTCTTAGGGTTCTTGCCCTAGACAACATGCACTCCCGCGCTTGTGTAAAGCCCGCGCGGCGCACAGCAGCGACACCCGTGCACCACGACTGTTCACGGCAGGCCGCAAAGGCCCGTGCACTCTACACACACTCCGCAGTCTTGCAGTCGCACTCACCAAAAAAAAATTTTCAATCTCCTGGTCTAATCTTTTTTCAACTTATACATATCAGCGTCATGTCTACCACCGTCAAAACCGCTAACTGGAGATTGGTTGAATTGGGCCGTGTTGTCTTAGTCGACGGTTCCAAATTGGCCACCATCGTCGAGATCATCGACCAAAAGAGAGTATGTAAACTGCGCTCCCTCATGACCCAGATGCCCCGTGGAATCGCACCATGAGCGATATACAGAGAGCAATGATACCGAAGAAATATTGAGCCGCCAAGGGCGATCTCACTTATGTTTGGCCGTCGAATATGACTCGATAGGTTTCACATGCAAGCCCGGCTGTGGTGCACGGAATTTCTTTCCTGTCCTGCTATCTGTGGGCCCGTGTGATACGTTTCCATGCATATGCTCACCGATATTCTTCCAAAGCTATCGTAAAGCACGGAGCCACTCCGTAAATTGCTCTCCCACCCGCTCGCATGTTCAGTGCCACGAGTCAGCCCCACGTGTCTGTTAAACAAAATACTAACTATTACAGGTCTTGATTGACGGTCCAGCCCTTCAAAGACAGGCTATTGCCTTGGCCAAGGTCACCTTGACGCCAGTTGTCTTGCCAAAGTTGCCAAGAGGTGCCAGAACCGGTGTTGTCACCAAGAAGTGGGCCGCTGCCGACATTGACGCCAAGTTCGCTGCCACTCCTGCTGCCAAGAAGGCTGCCATCAGACAAAAGAGAGCTTCTTTGTCCGACTTCGAGAGATTCCAGGTTATGGTCTTGAAGAAGCAAAGAAGATATGCCGTCAAGAAAATCGCTGCTAAGTAAGCTTAGTGTCCTCCCTACATACGACTAATACAACTGTGTATCATACGAACCACCCGCATGTGTAGACGCAACGTAGTTTTTGTTTGAATGTTTCCAATACTTGCTTGAGCGTGTTGGATTCGTGTTCGGCATTGCTGTAAGTAGTCTGAGATTCCGCTTGGCGGTCTGAAGCTACAAATGGCCTTCGAAATCATATTTGCGTTTCAAAGCGGAGTGTTCATGTTCGAGGTTTTCCAAACCGAAAGATATCCCTGTTTTCCAACACTCGCAGATTTAAGAAATTCAATGTCATTATGGCAAGAAATTTTAGGAGAGCCAATAAATGACAATTGATCTGTTTAGCGAGAGCTCGAACGTGTGCTTTTGTTTGCAAAAGACAACCCAGATCGGGGTTCGAACAATGGGCTATATAAATCTTATAGGGCTTGTGAGATTCTGTTTTTCAAAATAAGCGGCACGAAACCACGTCAAAATTCTGTAAGACCCTGGGGAAACTATGAAAGCGGAAAATAGAATGAACAAGAACTCTAGAGATAATGCTGGGTTGAGCAACAATAGATTATAAAAGACTATCCTCCAATAATCATAATATTTAACTATAAACGAACGGTCCATAGGAAAATGTAAAAGTGTTGAAATTGATGAGCAAAGAGACAAGTAGAAAAATATTAAATCGTACGTAGACCGGTACAGGCATGATACAGGAGAATGGAATAACTGCTTTGAAGAACTCGGCAAAATACAAAAAGAAGTAAACACTGTGCGACCCTTTAATAAAGACACAGTCTGCTGCATATTGGAAATGATAGTATATTGTAGATTGCGGTTTTAAGAAAGTATAACCTGAGGAGTTAACCAACAGTAATTTGATTTGACCTGTGGAAGAACCAACTAACGCCGATTCGTGAATCAGTGGTTGTCCCACCGTTCATGTTTCGGATTCTCGGAAGCTAATTATCGATATTCTCTGAACTTTGCAGAAAGACTACGAGCCTGGCTTGGGACATGAATGCACCAATACAGGCACCTTCGGTGACGCGTGGAGCCGTCGAACAACCTACTCGGCCACAGAAATCAATTATGTCCCAAACAAGTATGGAATTAAATACACGAATGTCTATTTGCCGCTTGCCCCATGCATCTATATCCCAGCACAGGCGCAGCGGGGCTCTATATACAAGCTACTTTCTCTTTTTCTCGGCCTCGGCAATCAACTCTCTCTGCAACTGAGGCGAGGTCTGGGCGTACTTGAGGAACTCCAAAGAGAACTCACCCTTGCCCTGAGTGGACGCTCTCAAGGACGTGGCGAAGCCAAACATGGAGTTCAACGAGCACTCGGCGGTGATGGTGAACTCATCCTGCCCATTGGCAGTGTCCATGATCATACCACCAAGCTTGTTGACCAAACTGACGACGTTACCCTGGAACTCGTTTGGCGCACTGACCTCGACGGTCATGATGGGCTCCAAGATGACCGGGTTGGCCTTCAAGAAAGCCTGCTTGAACGCACCGTGGGCAGCGAGTCTAAACGACAACTCAGAGGAATCGACCATGTGAGACTGACCATCGTTGATATGCATGTGCACACCCAAAACACGATGACCGATCAAAGGACCCTTCTCCAAACAGTCCTCGAACCCCTTCTGACACGCAAACAAGAACTTCTCGGAGATACGGCCGCCAACCACGTGTTGCGAGAACTGGTTCTCGCCCTCGACGGGCGAAAAGGTACCCATGACCTTACCGAACTGACCCGCACCACCACTCTGCTTCTTGTGGGTGTAGTCGAACTCGGTGGCCGTGGTGATGGCCTCACGGTAGGCGACCTGGGGTCTGCCCGTGACACAGTCGACGCCGTACTCACGCTTGATTCTCTCGACGTAGATCTCCAAGTGCAACTCGCCCATTCCGGAGATGATGGTTTCCTTGGACTCCGGGTCGTAGCGCACGCGGAAGGTGGGGTCCTCCTTCTGGAACCTGTTCATGGCCTTGGAGAAGTTGCCGTTGTCCTTGACCTTTGGCTCGATGGACAAGGAGATGACCGCGTCAGGCACAAACATGGAGCTCATGGTGATGTTCTTCGCGGATCCCTGGCCGATGAAGGTGTCGCCCGAGGCGCAGTCGATACCGAAGGTGGCGCAGATCTCGCCCGCGCCGATCTCGTCGACGTCCTCCATGTCGCTGGAGTGCATTCTCACCAAGCGGGAGATCTTGAGCTTCTTGCCCAGCTTGACGTGGTTCATGTACGCGCCCTTCTTCAACTTGCCCTGGTACACGCGGATGTACGTCAACTGGCCGTACTTGCCCTCCTCCAACTTGAAGGCCAAGCCCACGAAGGGCTCGGTGGACGAGGGAATCAACTTGACGGGCTTCTCCTCGTGTGCAACGAGCTCGAGCCCCGTGTTCAAGACCTCGTTGGGCTGCGGCAAGTAGTCGACGACGGCGTCCAAGACCGGCTGCACGCCCTTGTTGGCGAGCGCGGAGCCCATGAGCACGGGCGTGAAGCGGCGCGCGATGGTGGCGCGGCGGATGGCCTGCTTGATCTGCTCTGTGGACGGCTCCTCGCCCTCGAGGTAGATGTCGGCGATCTCCTCGTCGACGTCGGCAAGCGTCTCGATCAAGACCTGGCGCTTCTCCTCGACCAAGTCCACCAAGTCCGCGGGAATGTCGGGCGTCACGTTCAACTCCTCGCCCTGCGCGCCCTCGTTGTAGATGGCCACGCGGTCAATGACGTTGACGACGCCGCGCAAGTTCTCCTCCGCGCCGATGGGCACCTGGAGCGCCGCGGCGGGCGTCTTCAACTTCAAGTTGATCTGCTCGATCACGCGGAACGGGTTGGCGCCCATGCGGTCCATCTTGTTGATGAACGTCACGCGCGGCACGTTGTAGCGCCGCATCTGGCGGTCCACCGTGACCGTCTGCGACTGCACGCCGCTCACGGCGCACACCACGAGCACCGCGCCGTCAAGCACGCGGAGCGCACGCTCCACCTCGATGGTGAAGTCCACGTGGCCGGGCGTGTCGATCAAGTTGAAGTGGAAGTCCTGCCCGTCCTTCTCCCACAGGCAGTACGTGGCCGCGGACTGGATGGTGATGCCCTTCTCGCGCTCAAGGTCCATGTGGTCCATTTTGGCGCCCACCGAGTCGCGGCCCCGCACCTCGTGGATGGCCTTGATCCGGCCCGTATAGTAGAGCACCCGCTCGGTGAAGGTGGTTTTGCCGGAGTCGATGTGCGCGGAGATTCCGATGTTGCGCAACCGCGCGGCGCTGGCCAGGTCCTTGGCGCTTAGCTTGCTGTTGATCTCGTCGATGAGCACCTTCTCCTCTTCGTACGTTTGTGGCATTTGTGCGAGGTCGTTGCCGCCGGCGTTTCTCCATGGCGAGGAGGCGCAGAACGCCCGCGATTGCGCGGGCCGCGCCGCGCGGGCCATGCCGCGGGCGCCGCCTGTGAACACGCTCCTGATCATGCTGGGTTCGAGGCGGGTGGCGGGGTTGCAAGGGCAGAAGAAGTGATGGAGGGGGAAGAAGAATGGAGTTGATGTGGGAAAAATTTTGGGCGCGCGGCCGGGCGCCACTGTGTGCAGGCCGCGCTGGTGGGCGGGTGTAGTTATGGGAGCGTGGAGTTGTGGGAGCATGGAGATGTTATTAGAGTGTGGAGTTATGAGAGTGGTGTGGAGTTATGAGAGTGGTGTGGAACCATATAAATGTAGTATGGAGTCATATAAGAGTAGTGTGGAGTCATATAAGAGTAGTGTGGAGTCATATAAGAGTAGTGTGGAATTATTATGAGAGTAGTATGGAACAATATAAAAGCAGTGTGGAATCATATAAGAGTAGTGTGGAGTTATGAGAGCATTGTGGAATTGAAAGTATCATGGAATGATGAGCGCACTACGGAATTGCTGTGATAGTAGTCGGGGATTGGAATGAGAGTGTCTTGGAATTTAAAGGAGTGTCTGGAATTATGAGAGTAGCATGGAATACATAGAAGTACTGTGCTCTTCTTGTGAGAGTAGTGCGAATTATGAAACCAGTATGGAATTCTGAAAAGAGTAGTATGGAACTCTAATAAGAGCAGAATACAATCCTAAGGAGGGTATTAGGGAATCAGTATGAGAGCTTCAGGGCAAACTGGGCTCAAAGAAATCACAGGATTATAGTGAACGTCATAGTTATTTATTATCAAGCCTCACAAGGACATAAGGTTGAAGAATATAAGGCGTGTGCTATATAGGACATATAACGCAGGCATGTTAAAAATACTGGTCGACATCGCAGATGAACATAGAATCATAGAATTTGCACTCGATACACATATATATGTGGCCTAATAAAACTCACCGAGGCTCATGAGAAACGTGATACATGAGTCTATACTGGAGGAGGGAGATCTGAGATATGCAGCTTTCGGGGATCCATCTGATTTAAGCCTGAACCAGAAAATGATAGCCTCTAGTCAGCTTCCTAATACGTGCCCAATACTGAAACGCATGCGTCCCTCTCATTAGTCACAGCCTGAGAAGTCCTTTTAGCCGCGTCTGTTCAAGCTGTTTGGTATCAGCTAGAATATTCTCTTGTAGTAGTCACTTTAACTCAGATGAACGAGGGGGACTTTTGAAGTTCACTTCCTCCCACTCGCCGCGTCTTTTGATGTATATCTGGAAGATCGAAGCAGCAAACCATATCTATTCATTAGACTCTCCGTGGAATTGTTGGCCGGACCCAATATTAGTTGAAATTTCTCGCATTATTTGCGGAGATCGATAAGAAAAGCACATGAGGCATTTCCGTTGCTTGAGTTGACTTTCGAACTAGGTATATGGGTCCAGGGGATGACGATGGGTATTTCGGATACTTGAGATTCAGGTTGGACTGCTTCACGGGTCGATTCCGTTATTGTGTATCGGTCCGTTATACAAGACTAGCATATTGGCAGATGGGCCTGATATACATTGTTCTTCAACATGGTGTCAGCCTAAATCTTGGTACTTGGTGACTTCCAAGCTCACAGCTGTTCTGCTCAAAGCGGCGCTCATTCATTGCGTACAAAAATCTCCAAGCATGCCAGGGAATCAGAGGTAGGAATTTGCCTGATTGGAATGGGGCTTTCTGAGACGGAACATAACCATAATATACACATATAGGCTGAAATAAGGGCTCATTCACGTATATATGTGATATGTGCTTTGTCGTAAAGAACCCCCTTCTTTCAGCTTGATCGGACACTAAAGACTGTGTGCATTGGTTTCATGGCTCAAACGTCAGATGCTGTCAACTACGTAGACTTGACCTCCTGGAAAAATCAATTGGACATGTACCAATTCCCAAATGTCTTGTAAGATCTCTTTGGAATAGCTCTCACATGTCTTGCACTCCACTCTTGCTTAACTACTGGTCTCCAAAAAACAGTCCCAAAATCTCTGCGAAATAGCGATCCTAAGAGAGCTCTGTGGCCATATACTTTTGTTGCAATCACGTTTGGGAGACAGATTTGCAAGTAGAGAAATAAATCATGCTATAAGCTGCTACACGTATTTTTGAGAGCTGGTCTTATTTCAACTCATTCTTTCAGTCTGTTTTCGCTCAGAAGTGACTGTGTCATCTCATACTTTTCATATCTGGTCCCCTCCTTCTAGCCTCGTGTTTCCTTTTGATCACCCAAAAATGTACCTGGTAGCAACTGACCTTTCAATCACTATATTATTTGCCCCAGAATATCTTCTTAAAACAAGGATAGAAACTCACAGAATCAGGCCTCCACAACAATTCATCTATAGAATCCACACTCAGTCATCAAGACAGTTCCTTTGATACTAAATCAGTAAATCTTTTGAATCACTGATAATCCTTCTAAGAAACTGGGCCATTTGATGAATTTGGCAATCTAAAGTCTCAGCGGTTTGGTATTGTCAAGGGTTTTACACCAAAGCACCCTGGATTTTTGCAACAGAACGAATTCGACTGAAGCCCTAATCAAAACTTCATGAAAACAATCCGCCGCACAGCCTTTGATTGCGAAGGATCTTCGAGCTTGTATACTACAACAACAATTATAGAAGTCGACACATGATTCCTGTCGGACCAGACATCACGCATACAATTTAAATGGTCAAAAACGTGCATCTTCATGCAAGATAATTACACTCAGGTCATTACTGGCTTTCCAATGCACAACTACATTCAAAAACACAGGCTATTCAAACTCGTGGGATCAAGAATGTTTGTTACCAAATACTACACCAGTGTCCTTTTGTTGTGGACTACTAAATTTCTTGTTTTCTCGGATTGCATGTTGGCAGAAGAATTTCTCATCAAAAAGTAGCTTTTTATCTCTTTGACATTTTCTTTTGAAAGAAGTTGTAGTCAATTTGCCTCACCATTCATATCCAAATTAGGTAATATCCATGCTGCTACAACATGCACTATCGCACAATCATCAAGCCTTTTTGATGGGTCGAATCGTCAGCGATTATTTCCCTGATTTATTCCTCGCTATGAACAAAAAAATCCAAAGATCAGAAAAAAATGGATCTATGACACGCTCACGGTAAATGATTCATTAGACATAAACTTATTCATCAGCCCCAATCTGGGACGTAAAAAAGTAGCTTCCCCACCAGGAGTCGAACCTGGAATCTTCTGGTTCCAACAGAAGTGGTTACTTTCGTAGCCAGACGCCTTGACCATTGGGCCATGAGGAACGAAGCTGATAGTTGTGGCATGTTTAAGTATACATTGTTTTGATAAATATTGTGTATAGCTCTTGAAATATGATATTCTGATGGGGAAGAATGAGGAACTCAAAGTGGGCCTACAATGGAGTCACGGTTCAAATGCAGGCTTCAATGCGGTCAAGGGAGAGGCTAGCTACCAAAAAAAAATAACCAAAAAAAAAAAAAAATATTTACAGGAGACCTATCCTAGGAGTCGATGGCGTAATATCCAATACGTAAACAGATACGGGCCATGAGGACCGTCCAGGCCGTGACCAACGGAAGGGGGCGGGCCGAGCTAAGAAACCTTGAGTAGTTTTTATAAAGGATGTTTGATGAAATTTAATTAATATTATTTTAGTGGTTGAAATTGGTCTTGGGCAGAAGTCTTTTGAGGGGAGGCTTCGTGAATTGGTGCTCGCGCCTTTTCACCTGAGCCAATATTGTGATCTGGGGTTTTTTTATTTATGCTTTTATGTTAGATGTGGGGTTTTTCATCCCCCCAGAGTCACATCGGAAGTAAGCACCTAAGACGTTCTCAACCTGCTACTTTGAAGCGACTATTTCCGGGAGAAATAGCCCAGGAATCAATGACTTAACAATCGAAACTTAATCAAGCTCCCACCAGGAGACCACAGAGAAGGCAAATATTTGACGGCCAGCTGAAGATTTCTAATATATCATCTCGTATTGTTGCCTTATCAGATGAATTTATTACAAAAATACGGCTATTTTTTTAATCCAGTTACAACTTCATCTCAGACACATCCAACAAAATTACAATTAGTAGGAGAGTTGCCAATAGAAACCAGTGAGATGATACCAGCACAAGAAAATAACCCAGAACGCGAGGTCAAGATTGGTTGTATAATTTTACCCCTTTGGGAAATACGGATAATCTCTTGTCTCAATCAGATCTCTGTTGTCCTGTACACTTCATGTTGCCCTTTTAAGACAAAACTCCGAGGATCGGGAAAAAGTCGCGGATGCGTCTCGCTTTTGCGCCGCGGAAATATATTTGCGCCACCGAATAGGAAACCTATCAGCATGCGCCGAGATATCTCAAGGGGGCATTTATAACTGAATTTTGACAATGTGTGCGTGAAATACTTACCGATTGTCTGACCGTGATATGTACCAGGAAATAAGCAAACATCAAGAAGATACACACGAAATATTGGAAAGCAAATCACTTTGGTCAAACGATACATACTTCCAAACTTTGCTTGCTCCACCGAAAAAAAAAACATTCTTTGAGGCCGTATGCAAATCCCTCATTTCAACAGCCCCAAGCCCCGTCGGTGAAAAGGTGTTATCTACTTTCAGTACTGATTTGCATATAGTCTGTCTTCCGTACTTAACCGGCATGCAAGACGCGTTTTATTGTAGTCTTCTGACAACAATGTGCTTGCAGCTAGGTTTCTCGTTTATGCTGGAATTGTGTCTACCCCTCTCCCCTACCGCACAGTATTTTTCTGATCAACCTGACATCTATTCCAGAACAAAAATCAACCCGATATGGTAAGCCTGTGTCATTGAAAAAAATTTAGACACTGCTTGATATGTGACAACATACTGAAGTACAAAAAAAAAAAATATGTTTGTAGAGGCTTGCTTTCTCGCTTCATTCAATTGTCTGCATCCCTGGTGACGGTTCTCTCGTCAATGGGGCGCTTAATTATACGTCATGCTGGACGCGTCGCTACCTGCAAAGCCTTTTCTGGATCTTCCAAGTGATTTTCGCTCATTGCACAACGGCGTATCAGATGAGAATTATCAGTTTCGATCTAGATTTCCCCGGGATCTCTGGTTCTCTGTTGCTTTTTGACACCAAATTCTGAGACTAATCCCAGGTGCTTAAGCCCAAAAGCACGATAATAAAGTCCATCTGACAATTGTATGCAAATAAACTTTACTATATAGGGGAAGGCGCTGGCATCGCCTCAAATTTTTCGAATAAGGTTTTCCTGTATGTACGAAATGCAAGTAGTTTTTTGTGCAGACTTGCCGAAATACAAGCGAATTATGGATGTGCACGAAAAATATGCACATGCAAGTATGCATGTGGAGTGCACATCCAGCTATGAAGTCTGCGCTTTTACATATACGCTCACTAACAAAGCAATTATGCATGACATCACCCCTTCTGATTTACGAATATTTGGCCCTTTATAATCTGGCTCATGCCCCCCTCCCCACATTCTCATGTACCATCTATTCTATCACTTTTAAATACTGTTTCATACTACAATGTTGGACGCTTTATCGACACCTGGCTCGGCTTTCAAGCCCTCCCTCAACAAGCCCTCAATCACGTGGCGGCTCAAGAAATTCAAGCAGCACAGCATGGAATCTCGTTCCTCGTCTTCTGCTCTGAGTTTCAAGTCCGAAGACTCTTCTTCCAGTCTGTGAATTTAAACAGTGACAAATTCTGACTAATTAGGCGGGGTGCGACCGAATGGCACTTCCTCTTGTCGATCACGTGTCTCGTGACGACTTTTCACTTCTACTTTCACGTGTATAATATGGGTACTAGATTTAATGTATGAATAATGATTCTGGGCGCTCGAGCCCTGCGTAGGGCAGATTGCACTTTTGCAGAGCTATAAGAGGAGGCCAGTTCGTCTAGCGCAGCATTGATGTTTCGCTCACTTCATACCACATGTGATTGCCCCATGGAGCTAGATACTTCTGTCACGAGGAGCCTCTGAAGTTGTCGATTCATCAGAGTAGCTGGTATCTTTCTGTAGGTTGGCTGGATCCCACACGGCACCGGGGGCAGCAATGGCACCTAGGTTCTCCTGTCTTCTGGTTCTTTCCCACTCTCTCCACCTTCTCATGGTGATGCTAGAGGAGTCAAAAATACCCTCTGTGTCGCCGTGCTCGCCGTTGTCGCCAATGACGGTTCTCGTCTCACCCCAACTGAAATCATCGAATTTCCAGTAGGCGTATGTTGGGAGAACAAAGTTCCAGATGGGCAACGCGATGAGGTAGATGAAGAAATACATCACGTACTTGATGGAGGACACTGTGATCACAATCAACGCACCCGGCAACCCGAAAATAATGGCCAAGAGGACCAACGACATCACCGGTGTGGGCGTTGAGATGATGGCATACACAATGACGTAGATCGTGAAGGAAATGGCTGCGGGCAACACCAACGTGCCCACCAACTCAATGAAAATCACAAACTGCATGGAGAAACAGAACGTTCCACACAAGTCGTTCACCAACACCAACTCCATCAAGTTATGCACAGTCGAGTTGATCCACCGCCGACGCTGCGAGAGCAAGACCTTGAACTTATCTGGAACAATAGTTTTGCACGCGGCTTTGGGAACGAAAACCTGTTTTCTCTTTGGAAACGTTCTCAACATGAGCGACGAAAGAAACCGATCCTCCCCCAACAACAACAAGTTCTTTTTATGCAAAGTGTCGACAACATTGTCCGAGTATCGCTCGACAATGTCCGGGTTGGCCAAGATCGGCACCCAGTAGCCCTTGTCACCCTTCGGGGCCTTGATTCGGTACATCGAAAAGCAGCCCGGCAAACACGTGACACCTCCAAACACAGTCTCAAACGCTTTGGCCTGGTGATGAGAGATGTAGTACTCGAACACCTGAATGGCGGTGACCCAGCTCTGGGCCTTGTTGGCGATCTTCGTCTCGCCACACAAGCCCATGATCATCGGGTCCTTGACCATCTCAGCACACATGTGGGTCATGCAGTCCGGATACACCATCGTGTCTGCGTCCACCATCAACACAAGCTCATAGAAGTCAGCCATGAGCCCCGTGATGCGCCAGGTCGACTCGAGCAACATGTACTCCAAAGCGGTCATACGCTCATTGAACGTGATCTTCTGCAAGAACGACATCAAGATGATCTGCGAGTCGCGCTTGCCTCGGTTGCCTGGCTTGGCACCTCCAGCCTCGGCAGGCGTGCCGCATTTGACAATGGTAATTACGGGCACGCGCTGCTGCTTCTCTGGTGGCACCGTCGCGTCATCGTACTTGTAGAAGCCGGAGTAAACCTTGGCCATGTTGTGGCGCTTCGAGCCCTGCGCCACGGCAATGTACGAGAGTGGCTGCACGTCCTCCTTGGGCACGCAGAAGTCGGTCATGAGGTCCAACGCGATTTCCGGCGTGGATTTGTCGTTTCCCGAGCCCTTGATCAACCCGTCGCAGACCACGAGCATCAACTTGTGCGAGTTTGGGTAGTCCGTGGTGGCCACGGAGTCCATGGTGGTGCGCAAGCCCTCGTGGTCTTCGGAGTACGCGGTGATCAACGCGATGGTGTGGGCCAACGGGTAGCCAAACGGCTGGTGGTCCACCGGCGGCTGGGGCACGACGTCCGGGTGGATGATTTCCGCGGCCAAGCCGAAGACAGCCTCCTCCTCAATGTTCTCGAACGGGTTGAGCGACGACATGGGGCGGGACAACATGTCTACGGACGAATGTCTGCTTGGCGCGAGCATCACAGACCGCGAGCGCGGCGCCCGCAGCCGTTTCTGGCGGCCTAGAAGCGCGGCCTGGGTGCCCATGGTCGTGTACTTGGAGTTGGCAAGCAGGCTATGCGCGTCCGAGTCCGGCACCGGGGCCACCATCATGGCGAGCGACGGGTTCTTGAAGAACACACTCTGGCGGTTGGTTTTCTGAGTGCGGTAGTCGGCGCGGGAGGTCAGGGCCACGCCAGCGAGCGGCGCCTGCGCGTTGGGCGTGTCGACCCAGTTCTCGATCTCGCGCTCACGCGCAGCCATGGCCTTGCTGGTGGTGATGGACAGGCCCTGCTTGGTGGAGATCACCCAGCGGAAGTAGCAGGCCATCAAGAACTTGGCCACCACCACCAGGAGAATGAACACGAGCGCCACGATCAACACGATGCTGGACGCGATACAGCCGATGGTCTCGGAGTCGATGACCCCCACCTTGATGATCTCCGCGAGGCACTTGGCGGCCTGGCGGTCGTCGGAGCTCGACAACACCATCGAGATGTCGTGGCCCTTGAACGAGTCGTCGTCGCGCAACTGGTTGAACAAGTCCGGGTACGTGACGTCGTCGCCCAGGATCCAGTCGATGAGGTCGAGATCAAGCACGGCGCCGGCGTACACCACCAAGTTGCGCGTGGAGTTCTTGATGTCGTCCCACGTGAAGAACACGTCGCCGTCCACCTCGAGCGAGTAGTAGGTCTCGCGCGCAAGCAGCGAAGTGTGGCACGCCCACCCGCTGTAGTAGTTGACGGTGGTGTTGACCTCCGTTGTGCCAAACTGGTCAAACACGCGGCACGGCATGTACCACGCCAACTCGGAGCCCTCGTAGGGAATGGAGCAGTTGTCGCGCGGCACAATCAAGTCCTTGCAGTTGCCGTTGACGTTCTGGAACATGAACGACGCGTCCATGCCCCCGGCGTTGGTCGGAGGGTACAACACGTTGGAGCCGGCCGAGATTCCGGCCGCGGCCGGGTGCTCCGAGCTGCTCAAGTCATACGCCCGCCCGTTGATGATGAGGTACGCGGTGGACACCTCGCCGTTGCGGATCTTGATGCCCTGCGCCGGGCACACGGTCCGCGTGAAGCCGAACGTGAGGAACGCCACGAACGCGCCGATGTAGAGAATGCAGCTGATCAACGCGATTTTCTCGCGCCACGCAAACTGCCGCGACTTGCCCTTGATGCCGCAGAGACTCAAGAGCGGAGGCGGCGCCCAGAACGTGATTGCGTACGCGTACACCTTCCAGAAGTAGATGTCCCGCTTGTCGCCGGGCTTGCTGTCCTGCGGCAGCGCCGTGCCGGCTTTCCGCGGCAGCTTCTCGTCGTTGAGGCCAAAGATCTCCTTGCCCTTGCGCGGCGAGCCGGACGGCATGTTGATGAGCGGAATGCCCTCGTCCTCCTCGCTGCCGGTGGTGGCAGAGTGCCTTTTTTCGGGCAACGCCGGGTCGAGCCCGGACGCAGCCGGCTGGATCTTGAGGTGGCTGGCCTCCTGCGACGCCACCTGCGCATAGTGGAAGCGGGGGTTGTGTTTGTCCAAGCGCTGTCTTTCGGGGCGCACGAGCGACCGTTTGCGGCCCATGTCGCCGGCCTCGGGGTCGAACTCCTGGTACTTCAGGGAGCTGGGGGGTAACATGGTGGGGTCCTGGATAGAGGGGTGGTGCTGCTCACGTGACCTGGATCTGTGGTCGGTCTAGAGGGGCCTCGGGGTGTGCTGATTGTTTCAGCGCTGTCCACTATATTTCGGTTTTGTGGCTGGCCCGAATTGGTCGTCTTGCTCTGGCTCGGGCTGGCTGATCCAGGGATCTGATTCAGGGTGTGCCCGATTTCCTGTTGAAAACTCAACTACAAAGCTGTTCAGCTGTCGCTGAAATCTCTTTGATCTGGGCAGACGCTGTTTCAGCAATTGGTCCGAAACCGCTCTGCAACAAACTGCCGCTTTGTACTTTCACACTTTTTTTTCACACTTGCTTCGAAACACGTGCAAAATCAAGCCTCGTTATGGCTTCTCCCAACAGCTGCGATCTGGTTCACAAAGAGGCGTCTGTGGTCGTGGCTTAGCCTCGGAAATTCCTGCTCGGCGTACTTCCCTTACTAAGTGGTTTCGGAACGCCTGTCAGGGATTGACGGGATTCCGGCGTTTGGTGTGTTTTTTGAACTCGGGATGTATGCGGAGACAAACACCGGTTTCCTTTTCTGGCGGGCCAGGTTTCTTTTTCAGGCGCCTTGCTGGGTGCTGACTATTCTGAAGGATGGGATGCAGGGCCACGGGTCCAGGCGTATCAGAAACTGCGAAGTGACGATAACAAAATCCGAGGAAAGGAAAAACTGGGTGCTTCGGATATCCAACCGGCCTAGTTCACACTTTTGGGGTTGGGCGACTTTGGAGGACAGGCGTTTTTTCTTGTTGGGGCCGCCGCTTCTTTGGCGCATGTGCAGGCCCGCATCGAGGCGACGGTCACGTGCCGGGGGCGTGCCTGTTCTATATTTAGTATGGGGCTGGTCCAGATCATGGGAGACCGGGCTGGCGTTGCTTGCGCCGCGATTTCTAAGCATTCCACGCTGGTGCTCTCGCGTACATTGACATGGTGAGGATAGGCACCAACAAAAAAAATTCGTCATTATCTGTTTCCCAAGGGAGCTCCAGGGCTGGCGTGCCCAAAGAACTATCCAAAGAATTGTTTTGTGTTTTAACACCATTTGCCGGCCAGCCCGATGTCCCGCGCCAAAACATCGTAAATCATCCTGCGCAACAGACATTCCCATTTCTGTTGATTGTCCAGACCATCGTCTGCTCGTATTTTTGATCATCACGCCACGAGTACCTGTATAGCCAACCTCGTCTTCACGACGCTATTCCCAATTGCAAGACTTTTTGCATGGCGTCCTTCATGCCCTGGACTCGATCCGCATATACCACGCTCCGCGTTAAAAGCTTCATTAGACCGTGCATCCGCTTGGCCTCGAATGCCTGTCCCATCATGACAAATCCCTCCAAAACTTGCATGAGCTCTTCCTCCTGGACTTGAGGAAGCGGCCTTTGGCCCAGAAGTCTCCCATCTGCAATGAATCGGCGAATAGAAAACGCTGCCCTGATTGCAATATATTCTCGCGCAGCCTGGGCGCTCCTCCCACCGGTGGATGCAATACGGAACAACTCCTTCAAGCACTTCATCCTGATTTGACGGTTCGCCTCCGTCTCGATCTTTGCCGTGGTCCCAAAAACGCTCTCAAACTGGTAGTTCGTCAACGCGTCGTATTCATCCCCGTGGCCCATCAACTCATTTTCTGTCTCGTTAGCTTTGTAGACGTAGGAATTGAAATATAGTTTCTGCACAAACTGATCTATCAATTCATCTTGCTTTGACTCGAAGAAAGCAGGAAGTACAATGTCTGCAAGCGCCTCGTATTGGGCTACATTTGCTTTCTCGTCACGGCTCTCTTCAAAAGTCACCGTGATACATTCGAGCAACACCTCCCATATTGTGGTGTCGTCCTCGAAATCCTGAAGATTTTCATGGACAAGTCTGTTTGCCAAGCTCAATATCAACTCATTGCACCTAGTCCACAACTGGCATTTTGTGTCGCTTGGCACACCTTGAGCTCTATTCCGCACGATATTTAGCAAGTCATTCATCATGCGCCTCAACCTGTCCTCTTGGAGAAGCACTTTCAAGTTCTTAACCTGTGCTAGTTTGGGAGAAATACACTCGAAAGCCATTTGGCCCACAGCAACAAAACTGGGGATTTTCAATTTCCCCTCGAACTTGCTCTTCAACTTGGCCTCGATTCTGCTTTTGATTTCGTAGGGAAACGCAGAGATCTGTGCTAGTTGTTGGATAACGGTGGCCTGGATTTCTCCGTTGTCGTCATTCTTGTCTATCAACTTGAGGTTTTCAATGACAACGCTTTGCAACTTTGAAGGTTTGGGCGTGTCACTGGTGCCTGGCTTTAAAACAGGATACCTTGCACATTTGTTCAAGACGCCCAAAACCTGGGTTGCTTCCGTGATAGCGAAGTCGTCTTTCATCAAATTATAGAGATCCTTGAAGGAATCATTGAACAAAGCCAACGAGTCCTGGTATTCGGGCTTTACAAAGTCGTAGTCTATAGGAACAGAAACCCAGAAATCAAAGAGCAATGTGATGATCGATTTTGGAACCCTCTTTGCGCCGCGCAAGGAAAGAAGAACGTCCTGAAAAGATTGGAAGACATTCAGGTTGAGCTCGAGCCATCTCATTTTCAACATCTCCCCCATGTATTCAATGAACTTTGTCCAGAACTCATGATAAATCGGTCTGTCGTCATCAAAGTTTATGACGAACTTTGCGTAAACTGAGACCAAGCCAGATAGAATCAAGTTCAAGCTTGGCAAGGAATTCTTCTTTGAAAACGTCTCAGCCAGCGGGTCGATTCTTTCCAAGTCCAACAACTCAGGGAACACGATGTGATATATGAGCTGCCAAGACTGCGTGTCTTCCCCCTGGACGTCCAAAATCTGAAATAGTGTTTGTATCGCACCTTCCCTGACCTGATTTCTCTCGTCTGCAGAAATGTGAGAAAGTTTAGCAAGAAGGTATATGTTCAAAGCTTGGTAGAGCTCCGGGGTCCCTTGAGTAGCATTCTGGAGCAAATCCTCGAGCTGGTGCATGTTCTCGATGGAGTTGAGTTGGACTGCATCCCTTGCTTCTCCGTGTTTGGCCATGTTTGAGTGAATGCAATCACTGATCAACCAGAAGTAGCTTACTGAACTGAACGATATGTTGAGGTCGTATTTCTGAGAGCAGAACTTCATGAGCGTGTCGATGAGAGACTTGAGCTGATTGAAAGGCAATGTCAACAAAAACTCGTCCAAGATCATTTTAAAGGAGCCGAACGAGGTAGAGATGAGCATGACGATTTTCTCGACGAGTTTAGTGCTTTGCAAAGTGTCTTCCTCGGTGTTGATAAACGCCGTCTTGAGTATCTTGAACACCGCATCCCAGGAATTTTGGTACCACCTGTCGTAGTCGTCAATGAGGCCATGCAAGGTGACGAGAACAGACAAGTGCATTTCTGTTTCGCAGCTCAAGGTGATGAGTTCATGCGCCCGCCCGGGCTGTAGAAGCTTCTCAAGAAAGCCGAGCAACGCGTCAAGAGATCTGTCTGCAGACACGCGAGTGTCCTTGTCTGCTTTGAAGCCTTGCCGCGTCACCTTGTTGATGATGGACATGTAACACTCGGCAATGTGAACGCGTCTTTGCGGGGCCAAGGATCTGTCGGTGGCCAAGCGCTCGAAGAAGCCGGAGGTCATTGGCCAGAGGTCGCTGTCAATGAGCGCAAAGTTCTTGAAGTCAAGCGTGGCGAGCGTGAAGATCATGTCCAAGAAATAGCTCCTGTTGAACGGGCAGAGGGCAACGCGGCTTGCGCCCTCGCTGTCTGGCGGGAAATCTTCCTCGCAATAGAGCTCGGTGAGCACCGAGTAGACCTCGCAGAACGGCCCGTACTGGTACTCGCAAAGGCTCTCGAGCAACTTGTCGTGGGAGTGCTTGATCCCCGCGAGGTCCTGGGCGCTCAACTTGGGGCTGGCCAGGTCCGTCGGGGCCTTCAGGCGGGAGAGCGAGCCGTGGGCGTCCGGCCCCTTCAAGAAGTAGCTGACCCACTGGAGCGTGGCCCACACGATTCGCCAGGAGCCCTGTAGCGTCAGGCCGAGCAGGACGGCCAAGTTGGAGAACGCGCGGAGGCAGATGACCTGGCGCGAGTTGAAGGAGCGCGCGGGCTGTCTCGGCAGCGGCGCAGCGGCCGGGGCCGGGGCGTCTGTCCTGGCGGCGGCGAACGACGGCGGGAGCGTGCTGCTGAGCGACTCCACGAGGGACTCGCCGAGCGCAAGCAAGTTGGCCGCGCTGCCGCGCTTCGCGTCCTCCGCGGGCGCGGGTTCCACGATGCACGCGGCCAACAAGCCGAGCAAGGCGTCGCGCGCCGCGGCGAGCCCGAGCAAGCCCACGGCGTGCGTGTACCTCTGGAGCGCACGCACCACCAGGTGGAAGCTGTCCGGGTCGCACGGGCCGCGGAGGAACTTCAGGAAGAGGCGGAGGAGCACGCGGAACACGGCCGCGTTGAGCGCGGTGGCGAAGTCCACGTCCGCCTCGAGGCTGGCGGCGCTGGAGCCCGCGGACAAGCCGAAGACAAACGCGGACACGCCGTCCGCGAAGCCGAGCACGGCGCGGAGCACCACGTGCGGCGCGTAGAGCTCCGGGAGCCGCGCGGGCGGGTCCGTGCGGTCCAAGTGGTCCAACATGGGCGTGTTGGGCGCGCTGGAAGGCAGGCCGCCCGGCGCCGGCACGGCGGAGGGCGCGAAGTGGGACGCGAAGTCGCGTTCCAAGAACGCGTCCATGGCGGCCAAGGCCGCGCACGCCACGCCCGGGCCGCCGTGCGCGCAGAGCGCCCGCACCGTGGCGAAGTTGCTCCAGAGCGCGTGGTAGGTCTCGGCCACGAGGGCCTTCTCCCAGGCCGTGCACTCCGGGGCGTGCTCCGGGGCGCCCGCCGCTGCCGCGGCCGCGCCGCCGCAGAGCATGCGGTTGCACGCGGCCAAGAGCCGCACGGACTCGGCGGCCACGCCCGCGGTACCGCACGACACCACGGCCTGCGCGAGCCGGAGCGCGCGCACCACCATGGGGTAGGCCGGCTCGGGCGCGCGGAGCACGGCCAAGAGCGCGGGCACGGTGCGCTGCGCAAGCACGGCCTGCAACTCGGGCCGCGCGCGGAACACCAGCCTGTTGAGCGCCACGATGTTCTCCAAGACCTCGAGCGCGGCCGCGGGCGCGATGCGGATGTCGCGGTCCGCCATCAACACGGGCCGTGCGCCCACGCACGCGCGGCTGAGGTCCTCGGCCACGTGGAAGCAGCGCAGCTCGAGCTCGTCGAGCATGAACGGCCCGGCGGCCGCGCCCGGCACGGCCGTGTCGCCCGGCGAGAGCCGCGCGGCCGTGAGGGCGGCGCCGGCCGCCGCCGTGTGCCCGCGGAGCGCGTCGTAGAGCGCGCCGAGCACCTGCTGGAGCGTGGCGGCCGCCGTGTTGGCCACCGCGGCGCTGGGCGAGCCGCCCAAGCGCGAGCACACGGCCACGAGCCGCACGAACGCCGCGCTTTCGCGCGCGGGCGCGTGCGCCAACGCGCCGAGCGTCTGGAGCATCTTCAACTGCGTGTCCACGGGCTGCGACGCGGCGTCGAGCGCGTACAACGAGGCGATAGCCGCCGCGGTCTGGGCGTCGGCCAACGAGCCGGCCATGGCGAGCCGCGCGAGCGCGGGGAGCGCGGCCTGCACCACGCGCGTGCTGCGCGTGTCCAAGGCGGCTAGAAAGGGGGCACACATCACGCTTTGTGTTTGTTCCGAGAGGCCCACGGGGGCCGAGGGGGGGAGCGTTTTGGCGAGTGCCTGCGCGGATTCCACGGCGGCGCGGACGGCCGGGTGGCGGCGCCGGGCCTCTGCGGAGAGCGCGGCCAAGTCGGGGGTCACGTGTGCGACCGACGCCATGGATTTGGGAGGTGTGGGTGGGGAATTTTAGAAAGAACGGGAGTAGTCTGGCGGTTACAGGGAGTCTGGGGTGGTGGCATTTAGTGCGGTGCGCGCGCGCGTCACGTGCGCGGGTCACGTGTGCGGCTGCGTATGGCGGTGGGGGTCAGCCTTCATTACCTTTGGTTGGTATAGGAAGCCGTGTATATACGTTTGAGTGTCTTGTATCTCTGTGATCTCTATTATCTCTACTACGTCTCTACTATATCTCTATTATATCTCTACTATATCGCTACTATATATCTACTATATCTCTATTATATCTCTACTATATCTCTATTATATCTCTATTATATCTCTATTATATCTCTATTATATATCTACTATATATCTACTATATCTCTGCTGTATATCTATTATATGTATTAAAACTCTGTTGTATAACTATATATCTCTGTTTTATATCTATTAAGTCTCTACTATGTCTCTATTATGTCTCTATTAAGTCTCTATTATGTCTCTGTTATGTCTCTATTATGTCTCTACTACATCTCTGTTGTATAACTATATCTCTACGATATCTCTACTAGATCTCTACTATATATCTACTATGACTCCACTATATCTCTTTATATCTGTTATATCTATTACATCTCTATTATCTATTATATGTCTGTTATATCTGTATTACCTCTATTATCTCTACTATATTGCTACTATGTTTCTACTCTTTCTCTACTATATATTCGCTACATCTCTACTATATCTCTACTATATATCCATTATGTCTCTACTATATCTCTACTATGTCTCTACTATATATCGGCTAGATCTCTACTGTATATCTATAATATCTCTGTTGTATATCTACTATATCTCTATTATATCCTTACTATATATCTATTTTATCTCTACTATATATCTTTTATATCTATTATATCTCTACTATATATCTTTTATATCTATTTTATCTCTACTATATGTCTTTTATATATCTATTATATCTCTGTTGTATATCTATTCTATCTCTACTATCTCTATTATATCTCTACTATATGTCTATTGTATCTCTACTATATCTACTATATCTTCACCATATCTCTATTATATCTCTACTATATATATATTATGTCTCTTCTATATCTCTATTATGTCTCTACTACATCTCTACTATATCTCTACTATATCTCTACTATGTCTCTACTATATATCTGCTATATCTCTACTGTATATCTATAACATCTGTTGTAATCTACTCTATCTCTACTGTATATCTATAATATCTGTTGTATATCTACTATATCTCTATTACATTTCTATTATATCTCTACTATATCTCTTACATATATATTATATCTATTACATCTATTATATCTATTAGATCTCTACTATATCTGTATTATATACATCTCTGCTGTATATCCATTATATCTCTACTATACCTCCACTATAGTTTTACTATATCTTTACTATATCCCTATTATATCTCTAAATTTATCCACTATATATCTTCTCTACATCTCTATTACAAATCGATTAGATCTCTGCTCTTATAGAAAATCCACGAGACATAGGGGTTATGTATTACTTTTTGATCACTGGTTTCTCCGGAACCCTACTGGAATTTTTTCCCACCTTTATATACTTTAACTAGAGGTCACGTCACAGGATCCCCTGAAACCCGAGAGAATATTTCATGGGCTGTTCAAAATAATATCTGACGGAACTCACAATATCAGAAATGCATATTATATCCCTATTATATCTATTATATCTATTATATCTCTATTATATCTCTATTATATCTCTATAATTTCCATTATATATCCGCTGTCATTATTATATCATAAATCAAAACGCTTTATAAACACTTTCAAACTACTTCATTATGCCGGCGCTGTCTTACAGCAGCTCAATGGATAATAGCGACTTACATATGACTTTGAAATGGAATTTACTGAACAAGCAGAATTCATACCATGTTGAACCATACTCGAGTCGAATGTATATATAAGAGTCTCCATCACATCTCTACTATATATCTGTCTTCCTTTTATATCATATATCTGCCTTTCTTATTATGTGATAATTCAGAATCCTTGCATTCAAATTATAATCACTTTAAAAAATACTTCACTATCTCCGCACTGCTCTTATAATAACTCAACGGATGCACATATACGGAATGAACAATGCAGGATCCATGTCATATTGAACTATACTCGATAGTCAAATAAACATTTATATATCTCTATTATATGTGTATTATATGTCTGCCGTGCCTATCGTATTATAATTCAAAACGCTCATACTCAAATTAAAAACAGTTTCAAATACCTCATTGTGCCGGTGCTGCTCTTATAATAATTCAATTGATAATAGCAATTACATATAAGTTTGGATTTAAATTCAATGAACAAACAGAATTCATACCATATTGAACTATATTTCATAGTCGAAGAATTAGATTGAACTGATTTCAAACATTCAAATAGCCACACGAAAGCGTTAATGAACATTATAATTAACAATGTTCTCATAATATTTGGTAGTGGGTGTTTAAGAATACTGTTCTCGGGCAGGAAGTGACGGGGCGGTATGAGCTGGGAATTCTCTTTCTTGGTGGGCGACTGTTGGTGCTGAACAGACATATTCTATTTCTTAGGTGATGCTGGTGGGGCTATGGGAATGTTCCTTCATGACTCGGCTACTTCTATGGCTATGAATGTCGGTCGACGATTGGTGAATTAGTGAGCTGCTGGTTTTCTTGGTATATACCCGGTACTTTACCAGGGACCTATACTTTGGGGCAAGCAATTGAGCTTCTGGCCAAGCTTTGGTGGCCATTTTGGGGATCAGTATGGTGATCTGTTGGACTCAAAGCACTATTCGTGCTCTTGGGGTCCCTTCGTGATGTATTGATGGTGCGTGAGAAGCCAAGGTGATTGCCGATGGAAAGCCGGGTGATGTACACTTCATTTTTTTGGTGATTCTTGTGGTAAACCGTGCATATATTCTTTCTTCTAATGACTCGGGGAGTTTCTTTGGCCATGAATGTGGGGCTGAAAGGGAGTTGTAGATCCCAGGCAAGCATGGAGTGGATGGTTTCGAGGACGGATGCATCGCGTAGTGTATCTGGTTTTCTCTGCTGGTGAGTCTGGGTTTCTCTGGTGATTAATTTCTGAAAACATATCCAAAGAATTATTGCTGGATAAATACTGTATGGCTTTCGGGACTCGTCACAAGTCCTGGTCAAGACGCTCCACATTGTTGAGGGTGGAAATCCTAGTGAATCTCTGGTAATGGCTCGTTCAAAGAGTGACTTCCCCAACACATAGTACTGTCAATAAATTCGCGACGTGGCAGAAAAAACCACGGGGCCATGAAGGAACCATGAAGTTGCCCTAGGGCCTCTTAAAACTAGAGCTCAGTCATCTTACATACAAATAATCAAGCCGGCTGCTAGCCAATAATAGCCACCACAAATTATGTATACCTGTACTTTGGCCGTCCCAGGCACCCAAAATCCTGGCTAAAGCATGCCTCTTGAGGTGAAACTTCCCAAACCCACAGTGGAAGCTGCAATCTCTTCCCAACTCAAAAAAAATTACTAACTGCTGCGACGTCTCGGGTGGGGCTGAGCACTATAAGCGCCTCCGTGATAGGACACTATAAGCGCCTTCGTGATAGAACACAGTACCATCCACACATCTCTTATAGTGAGGAACTTTTAGTAAAGGTGGTCAATTGATGCCGAGATAAATGCTTGATAATTAACTGGAGGCGTGGATGAATATTCGGTGGTCATTTGCAGACCTTGGATGTATCATTGTCGTGAGATCTCCCAATTAAATGATGGTCCCTGAGTTCTATGGGAAATTTTGCCACCTATATCTTCTCTTTGATCTAACTTATCAATAACACTTGTTTCCAGGGCCTTCGTTCTCCAACTTGCTTGGAAATCCGGGGCTCTTTACACCATGGAACAGTATTGAAATGGGTGCGAAAAATAGCCGCGCGCAGTTGGTGAGGCCGCCCAGTACTTGGCCTTAGAAGACTGAGATATGGCCCCTTGCAGAATTCATCGCACCTTGTGACAAGACAGACTTTTCTGTTATACATCCTATATAACAGGGGGCATTGAATTCAGACTCAATGTCAACTCTGCCTTTTTAGAAGGAGGCTCCGAGCCATCTCAAGTGGGGTTTCTAAACCTTCAATGGATGAGAGCTTCTTTGACCGGAACCTGTCTCCCGGTCACATATTTTTTTCTTAATTTATCGTCGTCTTTTCTTCCACTTACCCCAGGATTCTAAACATGTCGTTGTTTACCTGGCCTACCTTTAATCACAATTCCTGCGGATTATTTAAAAGACTTTCCCAAGCTAATGCCAATATTTGCAACCGGTGCCGAAAAAGAAAGAAGTCCGTACTTCTTGTGCACACACAAAGTCCGTGCGAAGCAAAATTTGAGTTAAGGTCCATGGGATCACTCATGTCTCTCATGCTCCGCAGACTTTCACGGATTCCTAGCTCCTTGAATCTAGTGATATCTGGGTAATTAACATGATGTTTTGAAGGGACTAATTCCACGCTCTGTGGTGTACTACACATATAAGTTTCTTGAAAATACATTTCCTTTTTTTTATGACATGACGGCGAGCTGTTGCTAAATCAGAAATTCGTGTGTAAACTTGAGTCTTAAAACCGACAGAATCTTCTCGGGGCTTCAGGCCAGTATCAAGATCTTTGCACGGTGCTGATGCTCAAAGAATACCACTATTTAAGAAATCTATGACCATACAAGGCATCTGATCTAGAAACTAGACTAAGAAAAGATTATGGTACAACACTGTTGTGAGAGCAAATCCGAGAGTCAATTACGTAGAGGGAGCAGCTTTGGATGGCGAACTTGCTTCAAAGCCTCTCAAAAGTAATTTTCATTGCCCTTTTGAAAGACTTTTGCCAGCAAATACTCATATAGTAATAAAGCCAGTGACTTACAAAGTTTTTGTGTCAAGTTTAGGTATTATAATAGCTTGTAGTGACATAGACATGCCTGGAACACGTGACCCTGGTTGCCAAGTATATCGGGCCTTGAAGCTATGCCCGAATAAAAAGCTGCCCGGACCCACTTAAAAGCACGAAGCATCAAAGTGTTTTGGTTTAGGAGGTTTTATGATCACAAAAAAATGAACAGCTGGTTGGGTGATAAATATTCTGGAATCAAGTCTGTAATCTACAAAGTATGATTTACTGTAGTGCGAAATTGCGAGATACCGAAACTCACACAGTAAATCGAACACGAACTGAGAGATTTCTAAAATTTCCTGAATGTTTTTTGAAGGTCGTGTTTATCCGAAACTTCTTAGATATCAGACTTTGATGTGATTCTGTGCTTGTTTAATTTGTGTTGACCGTCTTGCGAGTGAGGGCCGAATGAAAGCCAATGCGAAAGAATAGAAGCTTGCGAAAGATATTGAACTAGATCAGATCCAAAGAAAACAATAGCTAGTAGAAAGTTCGGTCTTTCCAAGCATCTCTTATCTATATTGAATGTACTGGTATCGCTGAAATTAATACGCCACGCTGCTTCACGAAACATGTACTTTCATTGTGCATATTCGGATATGGTCTTCACAAATCACACTCAGACAACTAGGGATAAGATAGGAGAAGATAAACATGGTTTATTATTTTCGAAAGCTTATAGTAGATCTACATAAAAGTAAAGAGCAGACCGAAGCAGTGATCTAACTGATAGAGGAAAATATTGAATTTGTGGAGAAAACGTAAGTATTTGTGCTTAACTTGGAAATGTCAGTGGGAAAGCTTGCTCAAGCGAACGCATGAATTCAAAGAGCTGACACTATTATCTACAGTTTCAGGAAGCAGTGAACCTTTTTGATGCAGAATTAGTATCTGCTAATGAGGGTATGTAATTTCCCCATAATTCTTGATCCAAATAGAAAGATTGTTTGCACTTATGTTTATGTTATTGCTGTATGTGTTCCTTCCATTTGGCATCCACGTGGAAAAAAAAGCATTAATTTAAGTTATTTGAAGTGGCTTTTCAGAATTTTAGGAGTCCAATCCCCAGTTCTGGAGAAAAGACTATTTGACGTATCTGATGCGAACAAGATTGACGGGCTCAACAGACAGCCTCAAGAGACAAGCTACAAAAGAAAAGTTCGATAAAAAAGTTCACGAATTCAGGAATACACTTGTGTATCTCTACCATACATAATACCACAACGGATATAGTAGAAACCCACTCTAGCATCAAATGAAAGATATTTCGCCATATGTGATACTCTGCAGGTATTGTCTGATGAAACTGTGATCTAAGTCCCTTACATTATGCTTATTTTGTCTTGTTTGTTTACTTCTACTATACTGTGATCCATGTAGCTCTACATTAATCTTGGATATCAAAAGATTATCCCATCTTACGGTGAGTACTCGATACAGTAGCCAATTAAAAACAGGCTTCTTGCATCGGAACTGAGTCTTGGCCCCAGACTTCCGCTCAAATTCTAAATCTGGAATAAGCTTCGGCAGAGCCAGGACCAAAAAGTACTTGACGACACAGAAAATCTGTGCCTTTTCAAATATGCACATTCACCAATCAATCTGTGAAGCGGCCGCTTTTGAAAATTCTTCCTTCTATCGAAGCGCCGCGTGTTCCACCGGCGCATCACGTGCCTCACGGCCCAAAAGTTCACGCGCAACTTTCACATGCGTTTGTTGTCCACACAGCGTGCGTATATAAGGCTTAGCTATGGAGACTCCGCTTAAGTAGCTGTTCATTTTTTCGCCATTTGGCTCACACTTCACATAGCCTCGTCTCGTTTTCGCCTGTGTGAAAACATCAAAATCTTATTGCAAGCCCAGAACCCTTAGGATTCGCTTGTCTAGACTTTGCTTTCTGGAACAGTGATCCAGACCTGCACACTGGTGGGTATTCGGACTTCCAAACCCCCAGTTTCAACCACACAACGCCAATATTCTGTACTAGCCCAACTGGAAAAGACGAATTGACCGGCTCGTTGTTTTGAAGTCAAGAAAACAACAAAAAGACAAGAACAAAAATACCATCGAATCCTCGGCGGCTAGTTCCTGATATTTCTCTAGGTGGCTTCTACTTCCAGTGAAAACCCCCACAGCCCCGGCTGCAACATCGAGTGTTGCAAATATATATAGAGCCCAGCTAAAATGGTCCAGCCACATAAAGGTATCACCTTCACGGGCGAGCATTTTGCTGTGCCCGAAACGCACGATATGGTCAAGACGCTTTTCGATCCAACCGTCAGGAAGCTGATGTTCGAGGGCGCCATAGTCGTTTTCTTGGCGGCCAACCTGGCCGTGTTCTACTTGTTTTCCGACGCGGCACAAAGAGTGCGTATTTTCGTCGCCTTGTACATATTCTGGCGGCTCTCGTATAACTTTGGAATCGGCTTCTTGTTGAGCCAGCAATCCAAGCGCTCGCGTCTTGTGAAGTGCAGTCAGAAATGGGGCCTTTTTTCTAAAAAATCCGGCTCCTTGGTCTCGAGAATCGCCAAAAAAGAGGTCCAGTCCCAAATGGGCCCTGAATACGATATTGAAAAGTATCCCGTGGCTTTTAACACGTGGCTCATTTTCAGAAAGGTCGTCGACTTGATCCTTATGCAAGACTTCACCACTTTCGTATGTCTCTTTGTGGCTTGCTGTACCCAAGACAACAACCAGTTTATACATGGGCAACCAGCTTGGCTTACGTGGACGCGGTTTGTAGTTGGTGGGGTGCTCATTGTCTTCAATTTCTGGGTCAAGGTGAACGCCCACAACACAATCAAGGACTATGCGTGGTACTGGGGCGATTTCTTCTTTAGACAGATCAACAATGAAGACTTGATTTTCGATGGTGTATTTGAGATGTTCCCCCACCCAATGTACTCGGTAGGGTACATCGGCTACTACGGTTTTGCGTTGATCGCCAAGTCGTACACAGTTTTGACTGTGGCGATATTCGGCCACTTTTTGCAGATGGTATTTTTGCACTACATTGAAAACCCGCACATCGACAAGATTTACGGGCCCTCGCTGAACGAAAGCAGTCTCATGAAGTTCATCAAACTCAAGGACTTGACGCACTTCGAGAACTGCAAGCCGCTCGTGGGCTTGGCCAACTTCAGTTTCTTGCGTTCCAGTGACCTCATCAACTTGATCAACGTGTTTACCTACGCTTTTTTGATCCCCGTGTTGGGCTCGTGGTCTGCAGCCAACACAGGTGCCGTGGGTAGGGTGTTGTTTTATTTGGCGGTGCTCATCAAGTCCTTGGAGTGCGTATCCATCAATGTGGTATTGATCTTGCAGAGTAAGTACAAGTTTTTCAGCAAGTGGTATCTTGCTAACAACGTTCCCGTTGAGAAGTCGTTGAACAATTTTGCCGTGTTATACAATCTGTTAATCAACTTGACCTACGCTGCATTCTTCGGCATGAACTTGTTCGAGGTCATTAACTGGCGCAAGGTGGGCAACGTGCTAGATGTCGACTACTTCTTTTTGCGTGTGTTCTTGGGATTGCTTTTGATTTTCACCCAGGTGTGGATCAACACATCTATCGTCGATCTGATCGGCTACTTTGGCTGGTTTTACGGAGATTTCTTTGTGCCCAAGTCTTCCTCGATGCCTCAGAGATCCCACTTGACGAAAGCCGGTGTGTACCGGTACTTGAACAACCCAGAGCAGGTGTTTGGGGTGTGCGGTGTCATGGGGTTGACGTTGATGGTGCCCACTTTCGACAATATGTTCATCTGCGTGTTATGGGTATTGAACAACTTCATTCGGATCAACTTCATTGAAAAGAGCCACATGATCAACGTATATGGCGAGAGAGAGGTGCTCCAGGACTCCGGTGTGACCAAGACCGTCAAGAAACATCTTTTGCCCGAGAGCTTGTCAAAGAAGATTTCGCAGATGGACTCTACGCCTTTGAAAAAGAGACGGACCAGTTCGATGTTCATGGACTCTTTCGACACGTTCATTAAAGAGCTCGGGACAAAGAACAACGAGGTGGAGCTTTCGAGAAAACATGTGGCGGAGTTGTCACAAAACAAGTATTTCGCCAACAGCGATTACCACGTGAGCATCTCAAGCCTTCAGAAGAGGAACAGCTCAATTCCGTACGCGGCTGTGGGTGATTGTCTTACGGTGAATTTTACAGCACCCGCTGGCCACTCGTCGAAGGACTGGATTGGCTTGTACAAGATCACGCACACGTCGTACTCTCGCTATAGAACTTTGGTGTCTTCGAACAATCGCTGGCAGTGGACTGGCGTCAAGGAGGCAGACGCGATCGAGTTCAGGGACGAAAAGTTATTCTGGGAAGACGGGGTTTTCGAGTTCAGGTACCATATTGACGGCAAGCACGACGTGGTATTTATCACGGAGCCTTTTGAGTTGAAGTATACATATATTGACGTGCCCGTGGCGAAGGAGGAGGCTGCGGTATTGGAAGAGAAGTTGCGTGTCAACATCTTCAGCAAGATCGGTGACGGGTTCAGCGACAGCAACGCGCCTATTTATTCGGTGATATCCAAGACGCCCGATGTGTTGGAGACGTACGTCCGCATTGCGCGGTTGATCTCCAAGTCGACCGGGCTCAACGTCAACGACCGGTTTGTCATCTACAACGATAACGAGTCGAACAACACGTTGACGATCGCCGCATTGGCATTGAAATTGATCCACATTAAAAGCGCCTTGAGCGAGTTGGCACAGGGCGAGGACTTGGCGGTCAAGAAACACCAGTAGTCCGAATGCAGAGCATATAGAACGTACGGGCGGCGGGCACTCGCCACAGCTGGCCTTTGCACACAGCAATAAAATAAAATGGAAGTGGACGCCCCAACAGGAGCTCCCGAGACCCGGCTCAGCCGCATCCCTACTTGGCGAGGTCGAGCAAAAAACCGTTCAAGTTCTTGCGCACAATGGTTGACATCTCCTGGCAGCCTTCCAACAGCTGCAGCATCACGGACTCGGACACGCCATCCCCGTCGCTGCCTTGTACCCACACAGCAACCATGTCGTTGTTGTGCATGGCCATGAAACTGGCCACGCATTCGGTGCCCTTTTCCGCGTCGGAGTCGGTCGCTATGAGAGCATCCATTTCCGCCAGGCCGCTGCAGGTTTTCACGTGGCCACAGGTGACCATGTCACGGACCTCAATGCCCGAGTCGACCATGGCCAAGGACGTGCAGTTGATGATCCACGCGGCCAAGTTGAGCATCGACGACGTGTTGGCGTTGAAGGCAAGCACGTTCACAAACACGTCGATGGTGGACTTCGGGTACTTTTCCAAGAGCACCGCGGGCAAAAACGCCGTTTCCACAAACGTGCTCAATTTCTGCTCGATGTTGGTGAGCAGCAGCCGGCCGTTTGCAGCGGCCTGCGAGCCATTGAATAGCACCTCGCTGGGCTGGGTCACGTGCGGGAGAAACTTGGTCTCCACCGTGAACGACGCCCTGTTCACAAACAGGCCTTTTATGGGCCTGGGCCCGAAAATGCCCACCTCAATGATTGTATCGTCGATCTCCAAGTACGCCAGGCCATTGGCGTTTTTGCTGAGGCCGGTTTTGATGAAAAACTTGCGCACGGGCTCATCTGGATGGTGGCGGGCGGTGTTTTCCGCCGAGACGGGCGGAGCTGCCACAGGGCGAACGGCATCCGCCGGCCCGAGAATCCGCCTTCTGTCTGTGCTCATGTTCAAGTCTTTTTTGTCTTTTTTTTATTTCTTCCCTGACTTGCTGGGCAGATCGCTGGTCAGATGCTCCGATGAGAAGAGCGTGGGTGCGCCTGCCGCACGTGATATCCACGTGACCGGGCTCGGCGAGCCCGTCCGGGCCTCCCCGGAAGAGTTCCTCTCACATCAGTAAAATTCTTGTTTTAGGTGCTGTTTCTCGCGGCCTGCCACTGCCTATGCTCTACCATATTTCGTGCCACGACGGCGTTCTTAACAGCGTCGAACGGTTGTTTCACGTGATCCAACATCGGTATGACTCGTCGCACCGAATTGTCTATTTCAACAATAACACCTCGGGCACGCTAGCACGTGCTCTCCGTGATAGTACAGCCACATGGGTACGGGACCTGCAGCGAACCACGAAATTCGAGTACGAGCGCGTGCTGAGCGTGTTTGAGCTAGTACAGAAAATCCAGGCATCCGAATGTCAGTTGGTGGTGGTGGAGCAGCTTGACGCCATCATGCAGGAAAACACAACTCACGACTATGCCGAGCAGAACGCGGTGCTTGCGGAGTTGATGGCCATGCAAAGAGACATGGTGTTCCTCGATACATGGCTGTATCTCGACACGTACTTTTACCGGCAGAAATTTGAACAGACCTTAGACCCGGTCACGTGACTGACACAAGGGATCACGTGAGACTAGCGCGGCACGCGGCCCGGGAGGTTTCTCGGAGGCACTGGCGGGACTAATCTGGGCTATCGAAACGTCTAAAGATTATTTGTGCCCATGGGCGATCTAGGCTGCTATGTGGTTGCGATTTCCATGTCCGGCCCATTGTGGACAGTACCAAAGATGAAAGTCAACCCACATTCTTTCGCTGTCTGCAACCTTTGGAGTGGCTGGCGGCATGAGCTAAAGACCAAAAGGCCGCACGGTTGTTTTGGCCTTTGCGGGGAGTGTTTAGAGTAGCAAATCCACAACCAAAACACCTATATCGCATTTTGGCATAGCCGCCAGCACCTCATAGTGTAGGAAGGAAGCACCCATTTGTTAAAAGGGGCTGTGGCTAATGAGAAAGTGGGGGTGGATCGGGGTGCACATTCTTTCCGGCATATTGTAGAAACACACTGCACACACAGTTCTGTCCTTGCACATACGTCGCTCGCCCCACATTGTCGTGCACATGCGTGCGGAGATTCTTCGAGCGCCCGTTTGACGACACTGGTATTCGGATTATCTGCGACTGGGCCAGCCTTGCTGTTTATATAGCGTCCGTAGCCAACTCCAACATCCGTTTTTGTAACATCACACCAAATTAGTTCCTTCTTATGTCTCACGCTCTGGATTCTTGGAGCACATCCTCGTTTGAGCCCTGTTCACCGTGCTCGTCAGGGTCCACATATGTATGCGAAGAGCTGGTCTCTGTGCCCCCTCCAGGCACATATGTCACGATTGTGCTGCCCAATCTCATTGACAGGTTCCCTGTGGCGATTTGCGATATCGAGGATTTTGTTGCCACACAGCTTGGTCGCTCTGTGGATGTCAAAATTGTGCACTTGCTCATATATCTTTTCTGGAAAAGTTCTGATCCGCAGGTCGGACGTATTCAAAACCTTAGGCTCATTCATCGGGGTAGAATCCACAGCATCATGCGGCCATCGGACTTGCAGGCGAGGCTGCCGCTACTCAAAGACGAGATCGACATGTTCCCCACATTCCAGCTCATGGTGTCGCCAGCGCCGCACGGCTTGCCATTTGACATGTCCATAGATGCCATGATTCTGAAAGTTGGGACTGGCGCACAAAAAAATGAAACACCTTCCGTCACTTACGCCGAAGCAATGGCGAAGTTCTTCAGGCAAAAAACACGGCGGTTGTCTGCGGGCCTGAACAAGGCGCGAGGGCCGGCCACCAGTGCCGTCGACCACCAGGCTTTCCAGCAGAAAGCCCAGCTGAGAAAGCTCTTCAGACGGGTGATGCATGTTTTGCGTGACCGGAAGCCTCAAGAAAGAGCAGCGGAGACGCTTTTGCTAGCGGTTTAGGGCTACACAGACGCGGGGATAGCAGACAATTCCAAGGCGCAGCTGTCACAGTAGTCGCCGAGTGACTTCATTCTAAGCCCGTCCCCAGCGGCACCGGCCTGTTTCAGGAGGTTCAAGCTGCTGATTTGACTGCACGTATCCAACTCGTCCATGAGCCAGTCGCGCCACTCGGCCCTGGCCTCTTCTTCCTCTAGATTGTGAAGCAACCTCAAGCTCACAAGCAAGTCGTTTCGTTTAGACGCAATGTCGCGCAAGCGCTCGGATAAGCGCTGCCGTTTTACAGCAATGGGCGTGTCCTGAAAGACGTCATTCCAGCCCGTGAATCCGTGAAAGTTCAACACCACGGATTGATTGCGGAAGGTCTGGAAGCACGCGGAGTCGCTCTGGAGGGCCAAGTCCTCGCTTACAAGGTCCTGAATGTCCTGTAAGTATACGGCGCGGTGGATTTGCATGGGCTCCATGCTCAAGAGATCGTGGGCAAGAATGCGCGATTGGCGAGATGTCCAGTAGTTGCGGGCGCTGACCGCACCGAGGTACATATTAGATAGCGTCAATAGCAATACAATTGCAATGAGCACTGCGTGAAGGGAGAGCGCGTGGAGCATCCGGCGGGCCATGCCGCCCGCCACGAGACCCCAGGCCGCAAGCGTGCGGAAAGCGTTAGCCACCATGATTTTCAGGCAAACACTGATGAGCCCGTAGCGGCCGATGGGAACTGGATCCAAGACCACTGGCTCGTAGCGCTCGTCGGCAACAACTATTTTGCCATAGAAGTATACGGCTTTGAGGACACGACCCTTTTGGCCAATGATGGCGCATGCCACATCGAGTTCGCGGAATACGTGCGCCGTGAAGCCGCGTACGAACATATTGCACAGACGGCTGGCCACAAAACTCTTCAAGGGCGCTTCGTCAATGATTGGCCGGCCATATATACGCACAACGGCGCGCTCGGCCTCCATTTTGTGGATGGTGATGCGAGCTTCAAACCGAAGCCGCGGCCCACAGAAAACCTTCAACGCAGACTTGGTGACTTTGATACTGTAGAATTCGTTATCCGCTTGCACCTCGATATGCTGGGAGACAGTGATGCTGCCCTGCTGTCCCGAGGGCAAGCGGAACGCAGAGCGATTGTCTCGCATCAAGCCGGGCTGGCCGTTCGGCGCCTGTTTCCAGGGACTGCGCTCACTAAACTGAACCTCGACCATGGCTGTGAGCACATTCAAAATCTCAGACTCAGCACCACACAACACGTGAAACACGGCCTTGGGTGGCAAGGGCACGGTTTTCTGGGCCATGAGTGGGAGTTCATTGGCAAAGGACGCTGCCTCCTGAAAGCTGCCCGGCAGGGGCAGGCCTCCGGCCACGAAGGCAAAGTGAGGCGGTATAGCTGCGGGCGCGTCATGAGGCTGCACGGCAGCGGCCTGATGGGCAGCATCGATAGCTGCCACCTCGGCAATCACGTCGAGGGTTGTCAAAGGCACACTGCGCGCTAAATTCTGGAAGAGAAAGTTTAACTTGCGCGCGAGGAGCACGCCGTCGTCGAAATACAGGCGCAAAACGAGCACGCCATGCACCAAGACCAAGCGGAGTGTGTCGTGCTTGGTGGATTGCTCGCAAGAGACCTGTACGAAGCGGTTGAGCGGGATCTTGGTCATAGCCACGAAGCCCCGTGTGTGCACGTACGAGTACAAGTGGGCCTGCGTTACGTAGTGCGTGGCGCGAAGTTCGTGGCTGTCGTTGGGTACCACCAAGCAGTTGTAAGCCACAAGACAGTGTTCGTGCGGCCCAACAGCTTCGCCAAAGAGCGCTCGCATCTGCAAGTCACGGGCTACCCACGCATCAGGAAAGTTCTTTGGGAGCCGCATGCCGGAGCCCACTTGCCTGGTCTGGGATGGCTGCAATGGCTCCACCACAACGGGCCGCGCTGAAACTTGCGCCGTGGCCCGGAGCGCCCAACTCACGGAGCCGCAGAGGTTGGCGTCCGCGCCAGGGGGAGGATCGTATGGCCCTGCGGCCACGCTGCTGGCGACTAGCGCCATCTTGGTGGCCGCGGTCACCACCGGGAGGTTGACACGGCCGACGGAGCCGAGAACGTTCTTATCAAAGAATGCCGCGTTACGCTCCAAGAGGCGCGCGAGGCGGCGCGGCAGCGCCGAGCCGTGACTGGAGAGCTCGGGCGACAGGAACTCGGTAATGGGCGGCGCCAGGCGGCGGCTGGCGGCGGCAAGATACGTGTGCATGGCGTCATCTGGGTCCACCACGCGGCGCTGCGCGTTCTCGAGCACGCGGAGCCACGACTTGAGCTCATGGAGAGTCTCTGCCTGAAGCACCCAGGTGGAGTCGATGGTCTTGACCTCGAAGCAAAAGTGACGGTCCTCGTTGGGGGTGTGCCTGACACTACAGAGAAGTACGCCTATGCGGTCAGACTCTTGGACGGCTTCCCCATTGGGCGCGAGCACGAGGAAGCCGAGTACACCGTTTCGGATGTACGCCCAGCGGCGGAGCCACACAGGCCGCGCCTGGCGGTCGGGCTGCGTCTTCATGCACACATAGCCGTGCTTCTCAGCAGCCGGCTCGTCGATGTCGCGGAGCACGCGGCCGTTGAGCAAGTCGGGCCGGTAGTCGGTTTCGGACTCCGCAGGCAGGCACGAGGCGGCCACTTGCGCCTCGACCTGTCGGCGTGCTGTGGCCAACTGCGCATCCAACATACCATTGGCAGCTACACACGCCTCATGCCACGCACGCAAGCGGACCACGGTGCGCCAAACGTCCGCAAGCTGCGCCGCGTCAAGGAAACTGCCGGTCAAGTGCTCGGTTTTGACGCGCCAAAAAAGCTCATTGAGCGAGAGAATGGTGCCGTTGATCTGCTCTGTGACGGAGTGTGTGGCGGCCACAAGTTCCACGCTGAGCAGCATGTACTCGCGCCGCACGCCCGCGAGCTGGCGCAGGTCCTCATATAGAAGCGCAGGCTCCTTGTACTTGGGCGTGCCCATGTGCGTGTGGTAGTAGTGGTCATATTTTTTCTGGCAACGTACAAAATCCCGCTTGAGCCGGCGGAAGCGCAGCACGTGCTGCGAAAAGTCCGCCTTACGCTGCTCGATGGTGGCCGTGTTTATGCGAAACACCGAGAACGCCATGGCCCAGAGCTCGCGGAGCGTTTTTCTCGAGTGCTGGAACATAGCCATGCTATACTCCTGGTCGAGCACGTTGTCCTGGACGAACGAAGGCACCAAGTGGTCCAAGATGGCAAACACGGAGCGGAACTCCTCGATCTTCTGCGGCACTTTCAAGAACAGGTCGGCCAAGGCCATGAACCAGTCCTCGGTCTGCAGCAACTGCGTGTCCAAGTGGTTGACGGACGCGCGGAACGATGGCAGGTCCAACGCGGCCTCACGGTACGACACGGAGATAAGCTTGAACAGGAACTCGCGGTCAAAGGCCGAGCGGTGGGGCGCGGACTTGAGCCTGCTGGCGCCCGTTTTGGGCACCTCGCCAGGCACCACAGAGCCGGGCACAGGCACTTCCACTGCGGGTCTAGTTTCAGATGCCGTATTGGGAAGGGGCAGAAGGGTCATGTGACTATGGCAGGAGGCGTGCCTTGCCCCGCTTTTACGGGGCAGGAAAAGTGAGTATTGGAGGGGCCGCGCCCGCGCGTCACGTGACGCGGCGATCTCCGGGCCCGGGGCTGCGGCGGCTAAGATCAGTCTGTTTAGAGGAAATATGTGTGAAAAAGCTGGAATTTGACGGGAGTGTCGCTAAATGAATCCTGGGGGCCCAGAAAACTTACTCACAGCTAAATATGGGCGAAAAGGCCAGCATTAGGGGGCTTCCGGACACTTCCCTGGAGAACGGTGAAAATGTGTATAAGGCTCCAGTGGACATAATTTTATCAAAAGTCCAGTCTTTTGTAAATTTCTTGAATCACATTTCACTGGTGTTGGCAACTTGGTAAGCTGGTGTAAGAAAAGAAGTTGTAGTGTGGTTTGTGGCTGCGTTTTTTGACTGGGCGCGGACAGTGGTTCTATATTAGAACGCAGTAATACGCCGCTGGACAAGCACATACCACCAGGGCTCAACAATGAAAATCCATGACTGAATTTAAGTCTACAAAAATCATGACTTTACAAAATCCATAATTTTACAGGACACACTAGCACAATGTGTCATACATGACCATGCAAGCAACTCAAAAAATCCAAGAAACTCATACTACTATTTTTGCGGGGGACGCTGGTGGCAGGTAGCAAACAGAGGGACATCGCCAGCACAAACTTCAGACTATAGAAGATTTCACAATCAATATTTGTGTCGAGTGATATAATTTATAAAGCAACGCTGGAAAAAAGTGATGTACACCACGCCTCACACTATAGAAAACGGCACAATATAGGCCGATGTCACATCAGGAGACCAGTACCTGGATCTCCTAAAATCATACACCATCAGAGTTCGAAATCCTCTCACCAATATGGAATTGGCTCAAAAATTCCATTGATTAAACGTCCTTGGTGATAATCGGCAATTGGTCCCGGAAGCGATGAGTGTTATATACCGATACGTATGAGCCATGATTGTATGTATGGACCATAACTAATTGGATGTCTGAGCCATGGTCAAATATATATATGACTGTAAAATCAAATCTCTTGCTTGATCTGCTTTCCAGCCTCTGTGATGTCCTTAAGCCCTCTTGACTTCAAGCAGAGTTTAAGAATATCAGCTTACAAATTTATGAAAGCTGCAAGAAGTGAGAGACAGTCAAACGCTTCAAGATTTCGGAGAGTTTAATATGTTGCTGACTCTTTCAAATTGGGCTCCCAGCTACTTCAGCATGTTATCTATGATCAAGATATATACGTGTTCGAAAACATGAGTTTTCATGCTGCATAGATTCATGTGTCGCCGGAAGCTTGCGAACGACCCAAGATTGAAGAGAAGAGTGTTATTCTGTTAATCTTTGCATCACATGAAAACACGATATTTTACCATGTATATTCAAGCTTCTTGTTTTTGCATTCTATGAATAACCTGAGCATTGCAGGCACAATTTTACCCAAGTTTTTAAAGATAAGCAGTCTAGTAATTTTTGAAATCGGCTAAAGGGGAATTTAATTGTGTTTTAAAGCATTTGATGAATTTAGACGGACTGAACATGGCAAATGCGTAATCTTAAACTGCATTCTGGAAGCCTAAGTTTCGTCATTTTAATAAGAAGCTGCAAAAGTTGATTGTCAAACAAAAAGCATGTTCACTACTTATGGTAAAAGAACTGTCCATCCATCGTACGTGAGAATTTTGCATTGTTTAGTTTTCTTTTCCTCTCAAAACTTTATGCTTGTATTAGATGTCACCCACACATACACGAACCGGTCAGAAGTTTAAGTTCAGAACGGAACCTCTAAATATGATGCCTCATTTTTGAAAAATTAATAACAGTGTTTTCCAAAACTCAAAACGACTGAAACAAAGCAGAATATTTCTGGTTTCTTAAATACAAAACGAACAGCGATGGAAAATGGTGCAAACTCGAGACATGCTGATTTGTTCTTAACCTGTACTAAACCATTGAAGTACAATAAAGTATCTTTAGTTTGTGTGGCTATTCACAGAGCCCGTAGACACTTTAAACTTTTCTGGCGGAAAGACGAGAACGTCGAAATATGAGCACCTCCGGGCGCAAGCGTCGCGGGTTCTCTTTTCTATATATAGAAAATTCGAGAATCGCCGCAAAGCGAGAAGCGCACAGAATTAGACCCCGTTAAAGGTTCTACTTCTGCGCCTGCGATCTATTTCAGAGATCTTCAAAACGCTGAAGACGTTCGGCGATATTCTAGATTATAAGTGACACGGAGACACGGAAAAACTCCTGCCACATACGAGACGCCTTTCTTGAATTCTCAACAAGTCTCCCCACTAGCGACGCAGGTAAGGCCCGAGTCTACCCGAAGCGGTCATTATCACGCCATGTGCAGAAGGACGAATACTCAAAAAACAAACTCACAAAAATACGAAAATTTCAAGATAACGTATAGTTGCCATGAGCAAGTTTCCTTGCTCTTTGCAATATCAAAAATAACAAATGCTTTGAAACCATTCAAGGTGTGGGTTGTAAAATTTCAGTTCACACCAAAACTAAGGGTTCGCAAGTGTTGAAGGATTTTTGTTTGATGAATTACACCACGAATAGGGGCGGCATACAGAAAGGGTCGGGCTTTGGAATGCACCTGTTGCTTTTTTTCTGATGCCTGCGCCAAAGTCCGAGGCATGTTGGCGCACCCAGTTTTTCCTGACATAGCTGCAGCGCATGCGGCGCCTTGCATGCATTCTTCCGTGAATCGGATGATTCTACGAATGGCGCAACCATTACTTAGCTTTGAAGTGAGCTTACTTTTGAAACATGGCTTATTTAAGCATATATCCACCTCTACTAAATCAGGCCCCGTTTAATTTTCTCAACTAACTCAACACAGTTCCTGCAACCGATCTGGTCATTGACCCTAGGCCTCAAGTTAAAAGCAACAAAAATGCCTTATAGCTGCACATCTCCCACATCAACCACCGAAGAGGATTGGATAAATGAGATATTCGAGTATTCCCCTTTCGGAAACATCCACGAAGACAGCTTCTCCCCGCTTCTGGTTCCTGTTTTCAGCCCACAAAAAGCCAAAGAATCTGCGCCCGAACACGAGGATCTTTTCAGCGGCGTTTCTTCAAACAACACGTCGGCTACAACCCCTGGCGCCACAATTCACATCAAAGACCCCAATCATCAGAGCCATACCTTTTTTGATAGTGTGAGCTGTAAACTCCAGAGGCTCAAGGAGAGCAACAGCTTGACACCAAAAGCACTTGAGTGGTTGTTCAACACGCAGGATGTGCTTGCCGATTCGGTTGACTGGCAGACCGAACAGAAACACAGAAACAGGCGGTCACGTGCGTTCTCCAGTCAGGGTCTGGAGGGTGGCCCGAAGAGCTCGTGTCATTTGCGGCAAAAAGCAGGATCCATGCACTCACAAGGCCTTGCCAAGAGAAGATCATCCAGGGGAAAAACAAACAAGTCCATTTTTCCTCATGGAATGCATTCGCTTCAGACACTGCCCTACAATTCAAGAAGAAGCTCGTTCACCAATTTCCTGACATATGGCAGCCCAGAAAATGAGCCTTCTTCGAGCCTCTCAGTTCCCCAGTCGTGCTGCGAGTCGCCATTCCACGAATCCTGGAGCTACACGCCATATTTCCCCCGATCCGGGGCCGGCACCCCCGGCACGCAATCTACTGATTTCAGTGGGCTTGGGCCATCAGCGGCTTTATTTGACCAAGAAAATGCCACACTTCTGCACGCTGAGTTTTTTCCTATAAGTGAGGCGGCGTCACGCTCGGACGTGTCTCCCATTGCCGAGGCCCCTGCCATGTATTCTGAATATACTGGGCCCAGTCAGCAGCCCGCAACAGAAAACTGCGTATTGCACGATACTGCTGTTCAGGACGCCCTAGCATATATTGATTATTTGCAGGAGGAGAACCAGTTCCAACAAGCTCGCCTCGAGGGTGTTGTTTAATTCTTTTGGGTGTGACTCTTTTGTCCCCGCTGCTGGCCACAGACTTTCGAGAAGTCTGACTTCAGCAAGACAATTGTTATCGAGGCACTTTGGATAAATGTTCCATAAAGTTTTTAGCTGGAGTATTCCGGAATATTTTCAGGCTTATTAATGCGATGGGTGTTGTAGATTTCGCTCTTGGAGGCAGGTCCTACATGGCTAATGTTTATGCGTTAAATTGTACCAGTAAGCTAGCACAGAAACCCGAGGCAGTGCTCTTTATCTCCAAGCCAAGAATTAGAGGCCATGCATCATTGGTGCAACTGAGCACTCAACTGACGCAGTATACCGAGGGAACTGATTTATATAGCCTTGTGCTACTTGGACTGATCAAACTTTGAAAGAAACGTATATATGCAATTCTCGAAGATTACGTGTTAAGTACATCACAAATCAGATTTTGTGAATTTGGTTTTATGAGCTCAAAGAGAGATAGCAAGAAAAAGACAGATTTCCCTCCGCGTTATAACCAAGACACAAAAATGTCAGTTTATTCTGGGTTGGCTTTCTATTTTCGTATATAGCTTGGAACAGTTCCATATGTTTATCTTCAAATAGATATCTGGTGTACGTCATTTTCAGTATTTCATATCATCAATTGACAAATCACAGAATACCTTACTTTGTGGCAGTTTATACACTTTAACTTTGGGGCGTCATTTTAACTAGTCGTGCTTGGATCATGGGGCTGCTTGATGATTATTTGAAAAACAAACCCATTCTGTTCTCCGAACACACCAGAGGTCAAAAAAGAGTGTACATCTTTTTGTTTTGGAGTAGTAGGGAACTAATTCATGAATATTCATGAAAAGGCCACAGAGTTTTTTTCAAATACTCTACCTTCCATGTAATCGAATTAAATATGTAATCTCTAGAAATGCCACTGCTGGTGCTCAAAATTATTGGTGCCGCCAATATGAGCGATTTAGAATTTGCTCACCTATATTCCTAGTACAAAAGTTGTATAATGGACCACAATTTAAGTCAATTGTCTAGAATGATTTGTGTACACCCACAGAAAATCGAAGTCCAGCATTTGTACCCTAAATTTTCCATATATCCTTGAAAGAACCGGGGAATCAGTCAAAGAAATCGCGATTGCTGGTAAAAGATTGCCATGTTATACTAATATTCAATTGCGTGCCTTATCCCTAAAATCGATCCCGAAATATCTTCAATTGTCCGACAATCAACTACAGTTCAGGTGTCCAGATAATTAAATAGCTTGGTAAGAAATACTTATAAGCAAAGTCGTTCTATAAAGTCGATAAGAAAAAGAGAAGAATATAAAAAAGATGGAAAACAGTATTGTACAGACCCTTTAACTTAGAAACGACGCAGGCTGCCTCCCAAAGGCTGGTCGTTCGAGCCACGGCCGTAACCACCACGGCCACCCCCGTATCCACCTCTACCACGGCCACGGCCTCTACCACCACGGCCACCGCCGTATCTGATGTGCGAGCCGTAAGATCTTCTGTCGAATCTTTGCAACTCAGGTGGAATCTCCTGCTTGGCCTCTCTCATAATCTTGCACAAGTCACCACCCATCTTGGAGTTGGCGTCAGTGAAGAAGGAAACAGCGGTACCAGTGGTGTTGGCTCTACCGGTTCTTCCGATTCTGTGGACATAGTCCTCAATGTTACCTGGCATGTCGTAGTTGATGACGTATGTGATACCCTTGACGTCTAAATGATGTTAGTATATTGTATGGCGGGCTTAGCCAAGCTCAGTGATGACCATATCTACGTTCAAAAGAAAAGGAGTTCGATTTGTATTGATTACATAGAAAGCACGGTTGAACTGGCCAATCTGCATGAAAGTTTGAAACATAAATCTGTTGTTTAGCCCCAATGAAGAGTCGCTGGAATCACCCAGTACAAAGACTTCAACAAGGCCAAAGTATTGTAGTGCCGCCCGCTTGTCATAAGAAGAGAATCATGTAATAAGTTTATTCGATATCACCCAAAAAAACAACAGTGTATCTCTTCCTCATGGCGCCACAAATCCAGTCAGTCTTTTCAATTTCGTTGCGTTTTAGATTGCCCTCGATCGTATCGATTTATTTCGCCCTCTTGCGAGGTGAAGCTTTCTCATAATCTGTCCTCTCTAGTCTCCTTTACTGACAAAAAAAACCTGGCCAGCAGGATAAAAATTGTCAGTTGTCGTTCCGTTCCCATTTGATTTTGATGTTCCTTTGACGTTCTCAGTGTCATCCTAAACTGTGGTTAGTAGCAAAGTGCAAGCAAAAAAGTTATACATACCAATACCTCTGGCAGCCACGTCGGTGGCAACCATGATGGGGGATTTGCCGGATCTGAATTCCTTCAAGACCCAGTCTCTTTCGTGTTGATCCTTGTCACCGTGGATGGCCAACGCAGGCCAGCCATCTTGTCTCAAGTAAGAGGTGACCTCGTCACATGCTCTCTTTGTGGAAGCGAAGACCAAACACTTGGCCTCCTTGTCGGTAGTGGCGGTCTCCAAGTGCTTGATCAATCTGTCTCTCTTCTCATACTCAGTGATGACCTCGACGACCTGAGTAATGGTGTGAGAGGCGGACAATTCCAAGGAACCAACGGTGACCTGGATTGGGTCAAGCAAGTAGTCTCTGGTCAAGTTCTTGACCTCCTTTGGCCAGGTGGCGGACCACATCAAGGTTTGACGGTCTGGTCTGATCTGGTCAACAATCTTTCTGATTTGAGGCTCGAAACCCATGTCCAACATTCTGTCGGCCTCGTCCAAGACCAAGTAAGTGACTCTCTTCAAGTTGGTCTTGCCAGTCTCCAACATGTCAATCAATCTACCGGGGGTGGCAATGCAGATCTCGACACCTCTGGCCAAGTCTCTGATTTGCTGGCCCTTTGGTGCACCACCGTAGATACACGTGTTTCTGATTCTGGACGAGGAGCCGAACTTGGAGCATTCCTGCTGGATTTGCACGGCCAATTCTCTTGTTGGAGCCAAAACCAACACAATGGGGCCATCGCCGGACTTCAACAAAGGCTGCGCGTTGATGTGCACGATGGATGGCAAACAGTAGGACAAGGTCTTACCGGAACCAGTGGAGGCGATACCGACCATGTCTCTACCGCTCAAGGCCATGGGCCAACCCTGACACTGGATCGCAGTGGGCTTGGGGAAACCTTGCTGCTTGACTTCGCTCAACACGTAGTCGGGGAACCCGGCCTCGTCGAACGACGTGATGGGCTTGGGGATGTTGGTGCCCTCACATGTCATGTCGTGCTCCTTTCTGAAAGCCGCAACCTCGGCTTCCGAGCGTGCCACGACATCTGGGTGCTCGGTGTAGAAGTTTTTCTCAAAGGGAGGCAACGCGTCCAAGTCCCACTCCGGGGTGGACAAATCAATGCGCTCAGTCTCTCTTCTACCACCAAATCTACCGCCACGGCCACCGCCACGGCCACCGCTGAAACCTCCGTTTCCACCATAGCCACCACCACCGTAACCGCCACCATTTCCACCATAGCCACCACCACCGTAGCCGCCGCCGTTTCCGCCGTAGCCACCTTGGTGTGTGTTGTTGTTATAGCCGCTGTTGTAGTTGGAGTAACCGCCGTTGTAGTCAGACATTTGTGGTTTTTTTTGCTGGTTCAAAAATCGTGGACCAAAAAAACCGCGGGGGAGGCCCTCTTTATATATCCGTGCGCGTGCGTGCAGGAACGGAGACACAAAAAAGAGAAATAAAAAAAGATTTTGAGATGAGATGAGCACGCGCGTGCCTGCGTAGCAGCTACTGAAATCCGGGACGTTTTTTCATGACTTGCCAAATTCTATAAAGGCGCGGTATCAAACGGATATTTGAGGGAAACGGGCTATCATCACGTGGCGTAGCATCACGTGGGTCGTGGGCCCGGCCCAGGTATGTGTCTTTGTAGGACTGCAGATTTTGATTGAAGTCAGGCCTGGCGGGCAGGTCACATGACTGCTGATATTGACATACCATATCGTCAATACCAGCATCAATAAGCACCAACACCAACTCCAATAAACACCAATAACACCACACCAATAAATACCAATGGATACCAATAAATACCAACACCAGTAAATACCAACACCAGTAAATACCAACACCAGTAAATAACAACACCAGGATCAATATCAACACCAGGATCAATATCAATAAACACCAGCACCACCGCCCAGTGCAGTTCTCAATATACACCAATAAATATCAGTATCACTAAGTACCAGTACCAGTATCAGCAACAGTATCAACACCAATAAATACGAACAAATACCAATAATACCACCACCAAAAATACCACCACCAATAAATACCAACACCAGTGTCAACACCAATGAACACCACACCAGTACCAACACCAATAAGTGCCAACACCAATAAACAGCACTAATACCGACATTAATAAATACCAGTATACACCAGCCAGTAGATACCAGCACCAATAGTCACCAACACCAATAATGCCAACACCAATACATACCATCACCAATAAATACCATCACTAATAAACACCATCACCAATAAATACCATCACCAATAAATACCAACACCAATAAATACCATCACCAATAAATACCATCACCAATAAATTCCACTCCGTAGTCTAGTTTTGCGAAGCCACAACTCCAATTCCTAGAATCGATGAGCAATATTTTCAAAAGTACGATGTGATCTTCGTATTTTTGGGTACGTCGGAAAGCCGCGGTATTGTCTGCTTTTCTGCCCTTTTTGGTCTGGGCCTCATACTACGAATTTCCCTGAGAATGCGGTCAGCGGCATAACAGTGGAGAGCAGATCGGTGTTTCGTATCAGCCGTTGATGTTGCTGTAAACCACGCATTGTGTTCATTGTTTCCAGCCGTTTCTGAGTATGGGAAATGCGCTGTATTCTCTGTGTTTCCGTAATTGGGCAAAGTGCCGCTGGCAGCGAATCTGCGATTTTTTGTGTTTGTGGGGGTCGTTGTTTCTTGGAGAAACTCGATCTGGAAACGGCTATGCTTTTCTTGTAGAGGAGTCAAATGCACATTCCAAATTCAAGAAGTGCGGCCGTGAATTTTCTACCATTCGTCACCTGCCGCAGGGCATTGACTGTATGTTTCTTTAAAAAAATAAAAATAAGTCGAAAACAGTATTTGGCTCACTAGCGATGAAGAGGACTCGCGCCAATATACTGGCTCCTGTCGCTGAATCAAGAGTTTGGTGCATCGGCCTGCCAGCGCTACCCCAAATCCTCATCAATTCTTCCATTTCCTTCAGCCCCAGTCGAAAAAAAGGGATGTTTTTTTGCCCGCTGTGGAATTCTAATGCCGCAACTCCAAGTATGGACCGATTCCACAGATCATACCCAGATGAAGGCATCCCGCACTGCATGCAGGCCCTGGAGCTGAGCATCTAAGCTCTCAATGGAAACGAAAAAAAAAACCCTCCAACGCAAGGCACACAAATACCCACCTAGAATATGGCGGAACCAATCGCAGACATTCCCATGGAAGACGAGGTGGAGGACCTTGAGCTCAGCAAGAAAATCTGGCTTTTGCCTGGGTCCTCGGAGGATGGCACCGCGGCATCTTTCCAGATCGTAGATGAGGACCATACTTTGGGGAATGCTTTGCGGTACATGATCATGAAAAACCCGGAGGTTGAGTTCTGCGGATACTCCATACCGCACCCCTCGGAAAACAAGATGAATGTGCGTATTCAGACCTACGGCAACATCACTGCAACGGAGGCTTTCCACCAAGGATTGGACAACTTGAAGGAAATGTGTACGCAGATCGAGGAGACGTTCCAAGAGAAGCTTGACGCTGGTGACTTTAGTGTCGTTGAGCCATGATTCTCGGATTGCATATGTGTATAGTAGGAAAAAAAACGAAATTTCGAATCAAACAATGCCTTGGAGACCGGTCGTGGTGGGTCCTTTGGCTGGATGTATGGCGGTGGGTTTCTTGGCTGAATTATGATGATGGCACTGTGATGTAGCAGGGGGCATGGTGTCCAATCCTAACGTCCATTGTAAGGACGCTGGGCTGAACTGTATCTCGGAACTGTTGAGATTTGGCAGTTTTAAATAAAGCGGGTCTTTGCCTCAGAAATCAAAAATGGCATCATTGTAAAAAGCGTTGAACGAATAAAGAAATTGAGCGGCAACGGCAGAAGCCCTCTGTGCACAGACCGGTGACAATTTGTCAGGACTCCTCACCCATAGGATAGATCATCTAATGTAATTCTCAAAACAAATGATATGTACTTCGGCTTTTAACCCGAACCTATACGGAAGCTATGAATGTGTTTGAATTTGGACTTCTAACCCAATCCTACACGGAAATGACGAGAGTCACCCCAAATTGTAAAGAGACGAAGATAAAAGATGAGAAAAGCCACAACCTCCAAAATGGGGCAGATGGCGAATTCTACGCAAGTATTTTTCTCGCTTCCGCAGTCGAGTGTATGCTTTATCGATGCATTTCAACTATAACGACATGACTACTTTGATATTCTGAGCTTGGAGACAAAATTCGGAGTTTACGAACCTGGTCAAACTGCTCTTTTATAAATCATTAAGCGTAAAATTAGCTTGAATATAATGGTAGTACATATTATTTGAGGTAAAGGCGTCCAATTTGCCGACAACAAAAAGGATTTAGCAATGGGTGAAAACAGAAAATCAAAACAAGAATCGTACCAGGGGCTGATATAAAAATGGAAGGTTTCGAGATATTCAGATAGCTGGACTCCATGGTAACTGGGACAAGGGGTTTGCACCCATTGCGCCAACACTTGCACACTATGGCACGGCGAAATTAGGATGACGTTTGCTCGAAGCAAAATTCCCCTTTCACCTGGGGCGTTTGTTTTGCACTGGCTGGGCAAAAAGGAACTGAGAGCAGATTTGAGTTTTGAAGATCGGGAAGGAATTGCACTTCGTGAGGAAGCCTGATACTCGTAGTTAATGGATGCGACGTATGCTCCGCCGCCGTAGACCATCTGCGGTTTCAAAGACTTTCTGATGCTGGGACAGCGTGGGCTCCGGAAGAAGCGGGGAGAAACGGCGGTGCAATTTGAGAAAGAAAAGTCAAAGAGCGACGAAAATAGGGGGAGCGGGCGAACGAACAAAACAAGTAGACACTAGTGCACTTGGCTCCAGAGAACCACCAGAAACTTACTCTATTCTCTGTGTCTTGCTCGCGGCCTTTTCTGTATTATTCTTGTGGCTCTGTTCCTATTCTCCCTTGACGTTGCCTTGTGATTTTCCTTTACGAACGTCCTTCATGAACTTCCTTCATGATCTTCCTTCATGATGTTTCTTTATGATCTCCCTATATACTCTCCATTTATAATTATCCTTTATGATCCCCCTCTATGATCCCCCTTTAAGTTCTTGCTTCATGATCTCCGTCCATGATCTTCCTTTATTCTTCCTTTATTGGGGTGGGCGTACATTACTTATCAATCTATATTGCTATGCTTATTCTCTTGATGACGGACAGAATATAAATTATAAAACAGTGAATTTTGTACAAGAAAGCAAACCAACCGAACCGGTTTACCCATCCTGTTTATTAGGATCTTTCATGCTTTGGGTATTGGAACGCTTGAGATACTTGTAAATATGATTGTAATGGAAAGATGCAAAGGACGGGTATCGCGGCCTAGTTGGGAATAAGAAATGAGTTCGGAACTCTTATATACTATAGTGGCCATAATTTCTGTCTTTACTGCCAAAGGAAAGTCATCACCTATCAAGTTATATCGTTCTATTCTAGTCTTGTTACTTCGGCAGGAACCAGCTTCGATTAGTCTTTCACCCCTATACATAGGCTCGACGATAGCTTTGCACCTCAGAACTGATATGATCCTCCGGCAGAGTTTCCTCTGGCTTCAACTTATCCAGATATAGTTCACCATCTTTCGGGTCCCAGCAGCTATGTCTACTCAAATCAGGGTTTAGACCTTGATGTGGTCGGAGCTGCACTTTGCGCTCCTACTAATTTCATGTTTGGGTTTTGAAAAACTCAAACACTCGCATAGACGCTAGACCCCTTGGTCCGTGTTTCAAGACGGGCGACTTGCAACCATTACGCCAGCATCCTAACATAACCACAGGCCTCGGGATGAGATGGAATTTGTGGAAGTGGAAAAGGTCTATAATACTCGAGAGCTAGAATTCCTTTTCTGTTTTACTCCCCTCGCCCCGATGCTGGTCCAACCAGAAGGTTGTGTCTGCTTGCAAGCCCTTCCCTTTCAACAACTACACATACTTTTTCACTCTCTCAATGTGCTTCTCATCTTCCCGTCACTGTACTTGTTCGCTATCGGTCTCTCACCAATATCCAGCTTTAGATGGAATTTACCACCCACTTAGAGCTGCATTCCCAAACAACTCGACTCTTTGGTGGTCAAAGAAAATGGATTCTTCGCGGGGCTATCACCCTCCATGGCGCCATTTTCCAATGGACTTGAGAATGTTTGAACTAGCTGAGACCACCTTCAAATTACAATTCCCTGAGGGTTTCAAATTTGAGCCTTTGCTGCTTCACTCGCCGTTACTGAGGCAATCCCTGCTGGTTTCTTTTCCTCCCCTTATTGATACGCTCAAGTTCAGCAGGTAGTCTCACATGATTGAGGAAGGATTGGGAGAGCCTAAAACTTATTCCGGAGTCATTTGATATTTAGACCAGGATCATGCCAAAAGTTTGGGAGTAGATATCGCTCATCCACGTACGCCTTGAAGAATACCTTGAGGCGCCAAGCGAGTTCAAAAACTCAATCATTCACGTCTGCAAGTCATATTACGCATCGCAATGTTCTTCATCGATGCGAGAACCAAGAGATCCGTTGTATTTTTTTATGACTGTGTACGAATAATGTCATTCGCTTTGGCAAGATTCTGAAGACCCACTGAAAGCTCATTCATGCCTACCTAAAAAGGAAGGATTCTTGCATGAATACCTCCAACAATCCAAGCCTAAACACCCCAACCCTCGGACTTCAAACCTCTAAACCTAAGGTCCACCTCAATCCTCCACAGACCAAACCTAAGACCTACAATCCAAGCCTAACCACCCCAACCCCAGACCCAAAAGCTCCAAAACTACAGCTCCAACAATACAGTTCCAAACTCCAACCCAAACTCCAACCCAAATCTCCAATCTCCAATCTCCAACTCAAAAATTCCGACCTACAACCCAAACCCCAACAACCCAACCCAAGAAAAAAACTTCTGTACAGGAAGAGTTCTTTTCCTTCTTTCTTCCTTCGTTTTTCTCCTCAAGGGTTTTAGAGAATAGTAGTATTCGAAGGGTCCTAAGTACCGTACATACTTGAATGGAGAACTCTGATGCTGAAAAACACGGCCCGTTTTCGCACCCAGGCCGCGACGCGCACCGGCCCCGCCTGCACACAGCGCCGCGGCTCCGTCAGGCTTCATTGTGCACCAAACTCGGCTCCACGTCTTCTTCTAACCACGGCGTATCTTCCCAAACCCAGCCTTTTTTTCCCCCTGCGGCCCATCCACCAGCCCGGGCCAAAAAGACACTTCCAGCCAATGGCGTCTCTGATCAACGGCGACCTCACGGAGTCCTATTTCCACCTTTCGCTGGACCACAGCGACCCAGGAAGCGCCAGCGACGATCTTTCGGTGCACACCATGGACGAGTTCCTGGCGTATTTGCGCCTCGCGCGGGCCCACGACGCCAGCGCCCGCGGCGGCACCGCCGAACGCGACTTTCCCGGCGACGAGGCGGCCGGCGGGCGCAGAGCGGCCTACGAGAGCCCCTTCCAGCGCGCCGACAGGGCCCGCCGCCACTTTTCCGACCCCGTGTTGGCGCCGGGCGCGTTGCAACTGACGCCGCTACCCGCCGGGCGCGGCGGCGCGGCCAAAAACGGCCCAGCGGCCGCCCGGCAGGACGATTTCTTCGGCGCCTTGCGCCAGCACGGCCCCGCGGCTAGAACCGCGGCGCAACACGCGCCCAACGCCGCGGCTGGGCGCGGCGCAGCGCCGGCCACGCCCGGCATCGACGTGGAGGCGCTTTTCCGCGCGTTCCAGCCGCTCCTCGACCAGTATTTGCGGGCGCAGAACGCGCCGCCGCAAGGAGAATCGCGGGCGCCGCCCCACGCGTCCCACGCGCCGGACTCGGACCCGGATTCCGCCGCGGACGACACGTTCGACCGCCCGAAACACGCGGGCGCGCGGCCCGCGCGGCCCGAGCTCAGCTCGCCCGTCACGTCGCCGCCGCAGTCCAGCGGAGACTCGCAGTTCTGTTTCGACAAGAGCACCGAGGTCGAGCACAGCGACGGGTGCCAGCAGATCGCCGTGCCCGAGCAAAAGCGCCCGCGGGCGCCGCGCCTAGAGCTTGGAGACCTTACTGTGGACGAGATCGACATGGACTTGGGGCCGCGCGAAGCCGAGGACGCGGCGCGGCGCCAGGCCGCAGAGTCCCACGGCGAGTCGTTGGCCGCCATGCGCTTGAAGCTCGACCAGTACCAGCGGGACAATGCCGGCATGCAGAACGAGCTCGGGTACCTCCGGGGCCAGGTGGACGCGCTTTTGCAGGCCGCGTCCGAGAGCCGGCAGGCCGCGGCAGACGCGCCGGGCGCTTGCAGTGACGCCGGGGCCCTGCCCGTGGAGACACGGCCGATTCCAGGCGTTGCGGGCGGTGGGCTGGACGCGTTCCAGGACAACTTGCCGCAGCAGTTCCGCCCGTTCTACGAGCGCCTCCAGTTGCACAAGGTGGACGCGTTGGGCGACAGCGAGAAGAGCAACTTGATCAAAAACCTCATGCTCCTGCTCCTCGTGTCGGACTTCGACCACCTCTCGGTGATGACGCCCAAGGTGGGCGCGTACCTCCGCATCACCACGGCGTTCCTCGACTCGCTCCACGCCAAGCTCTACCCGGACCAAGACATGCAGCCGCTGCAGTACCTCCGCAACTACAACATCGACATCAACGACGGGCTCGAGGCCTGCCTCGACGGCATGCGCCGCTTGCTTTTCGAGGCCTAGCACCGGACCACACCAACATTGTCGCCCCTGCTTTTGGGGCGATGAACACTTGCAATGACTATACGATTTCAATGCCCATGACATCACGAAACGCCACCGCAGCTACTGCGCGGAACTCTACTTCTACTCCTGCTTCTCCTCTGTTTGGCGGGCACTACGTAGCGGTGTTCATGCGCCCATGGCCCAGCCAGGGTACCATACGACGAAGAACAAAGCACACAAACAATGACAGTCGAAAAGTCGACAGAGCACCTGTCTCCACACCGCGGTCCGATGGATCAAAAGCAACGGCTGATGTATCTCTGCAGCTGGGGCAGAAGGCAATTTACGACACTGGACGCATGGCACTATCAATATACGAGTCGTCGAACTGCACCCAGAATTGACTCATCTCGGGAGAAACACAAGCAAAAAAAAAGAAACAAAAAGAAACAAGAAAAAAACAGAAAAGGAACAAGGAAGGAACAAAAAAGGAACAGGAAATGAACAGGAAAGGAACAGGAAATGAACAGGAAATGAACAGGAAAAGAACAGAAAACGAACAGAAAAGGAACAAGAAAGGAACAAAGAAGGAACAAGAAAGGAACAAAAAACGAACAAAAAAGAAACACTCCGCTCAAGTTGCCAGCGAATCGACCGCAATACCCAACCCGGCCATGTTGGCCCAGGGCATCTCGTCGGCCAGACTGCGAGAAGCGGGGACTCGCCGGCCACGTGCCGCGTCACGTGAGCGGCCGCGTCACGCGGCAAGCGACGCCCTTGCCCGTCAGCAATCAAAGCGCTAAAACACCAAAAAAAGGCGAGGAAATGCGAGAACGCCAAACCCGAAAAACACTGCCCCCACATTTCACCTTCACCTGTTCCCGACACAAACACCGCGAAATTTCCGCTCGCCACCCGCCACTTTTCTGCTTTCATGCAGCGCCGGTGACCGACTTGCGCTTCTGGGAGAGCAAACCAAGCACACTGCTAATCGGACAGGGCGCCTGCACACAGCGCGCGCTCACATGATCTCCGGCCCTGATAAAGCACCCTCCCGTGCCGCTCTGGCCTGGACACACGACTAGTCAAACATTCTAGTGAGGCCTCCAGAATACATCGGTTTTCTCCCCACACGCCACCAACGCATTTGCCAATATTCGCCCGACAGCACCAACGGCAATCCAAACAGAACAAGGAACTACCACTTCTGTGCCATTTATCCTGTGCTCAATTTGCACCTTGGTTCGCGCCAGGCCTATTGTTAACAGAGCTCCCACTGCGGTTTCTGGTCCGGGTCCAAAACCGCATCAGCGACAAAATCAGCACCAAAATTCCCCGGCTGCCCGCCAACTGCATCACGTGTGGCGCTGGAGGAACAAATCCCAGGACTCTTGCCTGATTTCAACGGTTCGCCACCCCGCGTTTGGCGTTCTCAGTCGGCCTTCGCAGTGCTCCGCTGAACAGCCGCCGAGAAGCAAGGCAAACGAGGGGCCCAAACAACACCCCACAAAGCGCCATTTCCACATCGAAAAGCGACACGTACGCCGTGTCCCACACGCAACGGGGCGCCAAGCCGCCGATTCTGCCCGTGAACGAAAACATCCTGCGGCCGCTGCTGCCCGCAAGCGGCCAGCCCAGGAAGTTCGACCTGTACGCGGACTCGCCGGGCGGACTTAGCGGGGCGCCGAGCATGAAACCGAAAGACCCGGCCCGGCCCGAAGTGGCGTATTTCCAGAACTTCGCCTCCCACGGCTTGCCGCCTCAGCGCAGCCGACACAACTCGTCGCTGTTCATGTTCAACACCCCTCGGCAGGACTCGTTCTTGCTTCCAAACAGCCTTTCCATTGCGCCGCCGCCGACCGCCCCAACCGCACCACAGGGGCCGCCCCGAGGCTTTCCCAACTACTATCCCGGATCACGCGACTCTGTCTCTTTCTCTGTTCCACCTAGCGAGATGCTCGGGCGACTGCGGGGCGACTCGATTTCTTTGCCTCAACCGTTAAGTGCATCTAGTGACCCGCTCGCCTTTCCCTTGACCACAGGCTTGCCCAGTAATGTTCCTCCGCCACGAAAGCCGCTGAGATCAACAAGCATATTCAGCTCGCTTATCCAGCTACCTGGGTCCTCGCGGAACTCAATCAGCGGGCCATCCTCGAGGGACATAAACAAGCCTGAGAACAGGCACAAAGGTTCAACTGGCTCGAACCGGGGCTTTCCTCAGGATTACGAATCCTCGAGGAAAGATAGTTTTGGAAACATCTTTGGCTGGAACCAAGGAAACAGAGTGTCTGCTGCGACATCCAAGCGGAATAGCAAGGATTTTGACAACCAAAATGCTTTCTGGGACCAGATGGGCACCGGAGTGACTGGGTCCATTGCCGGCGTGAGCAACGATAGCATAAATGCGTTCTTGGCAAATCTACAGAGCTCTGGAAACATTGACTTCCTGAACATGAGCAATGAACAACGGCGCGACTCTATCATGAAGTTCATCAATGACCAAGGGCACAGGCCGTCTGAAGCCATTCAGCCGGTCGGTACTTCGTTGAGGGAAGACATCTTCGAGCACCAAAGTAAGATGTCGCTGGGCTCCAAGGGTCATAATTCGAGCGTTTCAGACCAGAATCACGTTTCGCCCACATCATCCATGTCTTCAAGAAACTCCAAATTGCGGGATGAACCCCAATCTCCAAAAGCGTCCCCTAGGAGAAGCACGGCTCAAATCAATGGTACCACCACGCTTGGAAATACGCAGCAATTTGCTCAGCCGGCCACTAGGGGCGTTGTCCCAAGACAGACCCAAGCTTATTACACTTCCCAGCAGCAGGAGGCTTTTAATTTTCCGTACCAAGAAAACGCGGGTCAGTTTTCGGGTCAGCCAATTCGGTCTAGCTACTCTCAGTATTTGGTTCCCCCTGGTGCCTCCTCTCAGCAGCAATACGAACAAGGTCCACGCGGTACCTTCGCGAATCAAGCGCAGATATCTGGAAACGGATATCCGCTTGTGTTCAAGGGACCCCAATTTATTGCTCCAGAAGCGATGGAGCAGTCCAGCTATTTTTCGAAAGCCAATGTGCCGTCAAAAGGGCAGGAGATCACTGATAACGGGAAGCCTCTAGTCTCAGCGCAAGATTACGCGCAAGCTGAGGACGGGCGGCCTCTTTTAGGTGCCACGAAAGTGGACCAACTCATGCTTGTGATTCAAGCAAGAGAAAAGGGAAACACGACCGCAATCAAACAGAGCACAGATGGAAGTATTCTTGCATCTCCCAACTCAGATCATCCAAAGGATTCTGTTTTGCCACTGGCTGTGGGTTTGGTTGGCGGTGTTGATAAACCCCTGAAGACAGAAAATGCAAATGACGGAGAGCCTAGCAAGAAACGGAAGAAAAGGGGCAAGACGCAAGAATGTCCTTACTGTTTCAAGCAGTTCCACCAATCAACACACTTAGATGTGCACGTCCGGTCTCACATTGGGCTCAAACCATTCGAATGCACGTTCTGTGGAAAGCGGTTCACGCAAGGAGGAAATTTGAGGACCCACATGCGCCTCCACACGGGTGAGAAGCCCTTTGTTTGCAACATTTGCAATCACAACTTTAGTAGAAAAGGTAACCTTGCTGCTCACATGTTGACGCACAACAAGGAAAAGCCGTTTGAGTGCAAGTTGGACAACTGCGATAAGTCATTCACTCAGCTCGGCAATTTGAAATCTCACCAGAATAAATTTCATTTGCCGACGTTGACCAAGTTGACACAGACCTTTGCAAGCATCACAGGCGACGCGCTTGCGCTGCTCCCTGAAGAAGAGAAGCAACTTTTGGAGTATTTTGCTAAGCTTTACAAAAATGCCAACAAAGGAATAAGAGGTCGCGGTAAGGGGAAGCGTGTCGCCAAGATAACAGGCGGAGGAGGCGACATGACATCTCCAGGAAGTACGCACACAAGCCCTGAGCAGCTCACCATTGCAATGGCAAATCACAACGATGCGCTTAATCAGCAAGCGAAGCCTCCGATTAATTTCAATCCCAACATGCCTCAGTATTAGTGAAAGTTTGGTGTCTTTAGTCTTGGGGGCTTTGAAGGAGCAAGAGAATGATGAGGAGAGGAATTTAAGGGGATATGAATTGAGGGCTGGTCCTGCAAAGATTCATTGACGCCTTTAAGAGAAAAGAAAAGAAGGCAGCAAGTAGTTAGAAATGTATACATATATTGATTTGAACCGTAAGATTTGTTCAAAAGACTTGATCATGACTCCAATCTGTTCACTCAACACGTTGGTTGGGCTGAAATTCATACTGGCTCTTGTAAAAGTAAATATTCACGGAATAAGTCGTCTATGCGATCAAAAGAGATCTGATTTCTTCACATCACTTATCCACTAACATAGGACAACTTTGGAGGATAGTACTGTTCCAAGTATACATTGACTCTATATCTAAGCATATGATTTGCTTGATGCTTTAAATTAATATTCAATTTTTTTGTTGGGTTAATCTAAACGGCAGCGGGATATTTATGATGGTAAGGCTAGCAAACTTGATAGAAGATAATAAATCAATCAGGGACATAGGAACCGGACTGATGGATGCAAGGCTTCCAGTAAAATTATTGTTTGCAAGATCCCATGTATGACTATCACAAACAGTTTCGAAACGATTTAAAGTCAGCGCGGGTATCGGTACAATGCAATCAAGATGTTTAAATCTTTTGGCATGTTTGCATACTCAGTTTTCGAGGGAATAAACAGCTAAGAGCTTTCAGACTTGAAAATTTAAAACTTACCTTACTTAGGCTATACGGATTTTGTCAAGCTGAATATTATCAAATTTATCTGAGACCAGAGTCGGTCAAGTGAATTTTTGTAAAAAATTATACACCTTTTGATTATTGAAGCGACTTTGCGATACATCGAATGTGCTTAATGCAATGGTGGAAGAGCTTCGAAAAGAGCTTCGACTTTCCCATTGAGTGCTATGAGTCTAAATAAAGGAAATGGGAACTGGAAGATTATATCCAGAATAGAAAATCCAGTCGGATAGGGTGTGTTTGAGTTGAAACAAGGCTCTTGACCATCAAAATGAGAAACTAACTAAAGCTCATTATTATTTCAAGCCTGTACAAAGAAAACTTCAGGATACAAAAGGAGACATGACTGGGTATGATGACATGACAGAAACTTTAGAGATACTGAATGGGTTGGGTTTTGAATTGCTAACTCTGAAGCAATCGTGCTTATATTGGTCTCCTGAAATATTTTATGAGCTCAAGACATTTATCACCAGGCGACTATGCAGTTAATTAACGGAGAAATTACGAAGTTCTTGTGCGATAATGTCGATTTGGAATATATTTACAAGCCATGATTTAAGATGGGCCTATACAATGGCCATTCTCGCAACAACTGTCGATTTGCTTGGATGCGAGAAGTTTATAATGTTTCGGACAAAAAGATACCCGATAAATCAATTGAATTTGATATTGTGCATTGTATTCAAATATATCATAGAGCAAAAATGTGCTATGATAGACTCAATTCAAACTATTCAGGGAGACAAAATTGTTCTCTAGTTTTCAACAGGAAAATGATGTCCGGGACTGCTAGCTCAAAACCTGAAAGCTAATAGAAATGAAATCACCAGAATACACCGATTCGCATTAAAAGGCGATGCTGGATAAATCTGCAGAAGTTGCCGAATTGGGGGCTCTTTCGAAATGCTGGTATAAGCTGGTGTTTTTGAAAAATGAGCACGGTGTTCCTACATTCCAAAAACATGGTTTAATTAATTGAAAGAAACAGCTTAAGCTGCTTTTTCAGATGCCAAGCTTCACGTCTAGTGCATGACTCAAGATATAGAACGGAAGGCCTTATTTTACGTAATTGCAGCCCAGAAAATATATGCAATGAACCGGGACTTAACGTTTGCATATATTCCCACGTAGAAGGTGAAAAGCAGTAAACAATTGTGATGGTCAGATTATGTAGGCATAATAATTGAGCCCGATGATTGCATTCTGATGTTTTCGGTCTGTTTGATATCGTCCATCGCCTCATACTGTCAAGCGGAGTCGAATGATTAGTTTTTCTCTGCTTCGTTCCACAGAATACATGAGTTTCCTCATCCTTTCAGTAAATGCTCTGAGCAAAGGTGACGAACAATTTTTCGAGGGGCACGATAGAATTGACCCAAACACAGTGAGCCATGCAGATAGCGACCAAGAGTTGCGTGATTTTGCTGCTTGCTCGTCCCGGAGTCTTCTTTCCTCCTACATCTTGCAATATGCATTCATTTCAACAAATTCGTCTGCTGTCTCTTCCTTGTTAGTGATTCCTCTCTGAATAAGCACGCAACTACTTAAACCAGAGTTCCAAACATGACGTGATACATTGCCCTCAGTGGTTTAAAAGAGTGCTAGTAAGTACTGGCTAAAGAATCCGTTCATTATTTTAGCTCGCACGTTGACAAGATATTCATTTATTTCCATATCATCTAAACAACTCATCAATTGTTCAAATACTACTAATTCTCTTGTTCTTGTAATCTTTCAAATCCTGGCTTTGCCATTAGGCTTTGGAACTCATTGAGTGACGAATGGGTTTGTAGTTTTGTCAGAGGAGGATGTTTGTCACCTTATAAACTTTCATAATTTCAGGCTAAAACTGGTCATATAAAATGATGCACATGACATTATCATGTTAATAGTAGTAGCGCAAAACAGAAATAGGTACAACTATTTAAAGAAATTCTTGGACCAACGTGCTTCCGTTAGCCACAAAATCAGGCAAAAGCTTTTCCACACGCACAGCGGGGAATGTGGAAGTATAATATATTTTGCCTCATACAGAATATTGGCGTTTTTAGAGAACTATGACTGCAACCTAAAGTATGTCATATTGAAATGTACAACAAGAGAGGAGCTGATCTAAACAAAGCCAAGTCCGCCTTATACAGTGAGTCAGGCTTAGAGTTTATATCCTAACACGCATTGTTCACGTATCAAATCTTAAGTCTTCAATCCCAAAAACTGTCTTTTTTACCGGATGTCAACGTTTTGTGTGAGCCGTCCCGCTCCCATCTTCTCAAAGTCTCAAATTGATGAATCTGAGATACGTCTATATTATCCACTATTTTAATACACACATTTTTAGGTACCTTATCGGACATTTATCTTCTCAAATATACCGCTTATGCACGGCCAAAACTATGTATTTTATAGTTGGCATACATCTCAAAAGTAGAGCTGGAGCTAATACATATATTCAAGCCATTTGGAAGGGAAGAAATCAGCAACCCTGGGTGATCCATGATAGATTGTTGAAATGAATCCCTGCCCTATCAGCTTTTTGTAATAAAATAGAGGGATATCATGATTTCAACGGATCCCAGGGCATACGTGTTTGGTTCCGGAGCGGGGGTAGTGACAAGAAGAAGAAACAAGAACCTTTCAGTATTTTAATTGAAATGGGTAAATTTAAACATATACACGAGGAATAAGCGGAAGGCAAGTCTGATGCCAGCTGCCGCGATTCCAACTACAAGAGGGTTTATCAAAGCGTAGCTGAGATTTGAGTGGTCCCCAGAGATTTACTTATTTGGAAGTATTGCTGGGACTTTTCCTCCTTGACTTTTTCTTTAGGGATGGGCCATATTACTTTCGGTAAATGGGACCAGCAGAAAACGCTCAAATCTCTAAATTAGAGTTATAGAAGACACTGATATTGTTTTATTTCCAAGATCACCGAGCTGGTGGGCAGGAACAGGAAATGAGTAATTGGCTGTAAGAAGTGAGTGTTTCTGTACAATTTTGTTTATAGTTTTTCATACATCTCTTGTGTATCTACCTTTCATAGAGATCTTTCACAAATTCCTAAACATCACTTCTCGTACCTGTCATATCTGTCAAATATACCTTGTGTTACCTATATAAACATATTTTAGCCACCCCTCACACCTCTTGCCGTATTAGTTCACATGGTCTCTCAGTCCAGCTCGATGTACACCGAACTCCGTCTCTTATGTTATCATTTCATAAAACTCTCATACTTGTTTTTACTTACGTCTCTTGTTCTTGTACTTGTAAGGTCCCTGGTATCAGCTTGACACTGATGGTCCTTGTAAGCGCATATATGGCTATATGCACTTCCATTACTGTGAGTTCCGTCAGATATCATTCTAGACAACTCATAGAATATTCTTTCGAGTTCTAAAGGTTCCGTCCACGTGACCTCTGGGTAAAGTATATAAAGGTGGAATAGAACTCCTGTAGAGTTCTAGAGACCAGTGATCAAATAGTAATACATAACGCCTATGTCCCGTGAAGTCCCTAACAGTACTATACATTTTAATTGATCTTCTCATAGACGTGCTTTGATATGTCCTCAACATGACCCAAATTCACCTTAGTACGTGCTGTATGTATACTCCTGTGTGGTCATATACTACAAACTGGTAAACTAAATACTGATATGCTTGATACTGATGTACTAAAAACTGATATAATCATGTAAATGCATACCAAATACTTTTACACTACCGATATATAGTTGTACAGATGTACGGATATACATATATACAGATATTCTGCTATTCTAGTGATATAGTGATATAGTGATATACCCATGAGCCCCCATACCCATATCCTCAGATCCTCATGTATTCATATTATTACGTAGTCATATATCCTTAGATCTATCAATCACTCATAAATCCAATACTCGCTCATATACTCATGCACTGTTATACTAATACTCATGTACTCATGTACTCATGTACTCATGTACTTATACTCTATACCCAAAAACCCAAATACTCGTATACTCATACTCATGAACTCATTTAGAATAATCCTCCATTCATATAGTCATGGTCATAAAGCCAGGTACTAAATATCGATATATACTGAAATACTAATATAACCATAAACTCTTATACTCATAAACTGTTATGCTCATGAATGATATACTGAAATTCTACACACTGATATATACTAATATACCGATATACTCGTGAACTCAGGTACCCATATACTCATACCCATATATTTCTTTTTTACATATACCACATCTCTTACACTCATTTACTCATGTCATCATGCATCCATTTACCCATAGACTTATATATAGTCCTATAGCCACTAATATATTCATGTAGTCATATGGTGGCATACCCAATACCCAAAATCCATATACCCCTATAGTCATACTCATGATTGAAGATTGGATATACCAAACATTGATATAATACTGATATACTGATATACGCATATATCCATATACCATACATCATATACCATATACCGTATACAAATATATACTAAATACTGCTATACTATTGAGAAACGAATGTAATGTTATTCCTATCCTCAATACTCCTGTAATCAATACTCCCATACTCCATACTCCCATCCTCAAGACTGACATACTGACATACTAAACACTAGTCTATTCATATACAGGTGCGCTAATATATCATCTACTCATATACTAATGTACGTAGCACTGATATACTAGAAGCCCCTCCTCTCCACTCATGCAATCTCTTGATATCCACGTATCTAATTTGATCAGTAATACATTACATAATATAGAACTTAATACACTTCTTTGAGGTTCATCTCTTTTTGAAGTAGATACTGTCCCATATTTATCTTTACTCTATACGTATACATTTATAAATCAATGCTACAGTCAGATGAAATTTGACATGTTCATCGATTGTGTGTGTATCATCAAACATTTCATTATGTGGCTGTAAAACTCACTTATCTTTGGGGAGTCTTTTCAAAAAAGATACCCAAGTCCATGAGAATCATGCCATCTGGTTCTCAACTAGTCTCTAGCATAGAAGCCAACCAGGGTGTATAATCTGATTTCAGGACTGCTTATACCTAAAGGTCAGATTCCCTCCGCTTTGGGTATCTTCATCATTCGAGTGGGTCCCTTCTAATAGGTTTCTAATAAGAGGTTCGTTTTGCCGGATCTTCATAATTAATTCCTCTCAATAGGGGTTTTTTGATAGGCGCCTTTGAATAAAGTCCCTATAATAGGTTCCTTCGGGTTGGCTCCGGCTACTAGTCCCTTCTAATCGGCTCCTTCTATTAGTCCCTTCTAATCGGCTTCTTCTTAGGGATCCTTCTTAAGGATCCATTTTAAGGATCCTTCCAAAAGTTTAATTTTGATAGTCCTTCTAATCGGATCTTCGGGTTGGCTCCTTTTATAGGTTCCCTATGAAAGGTTCTGATAGGTCCCTCCGAATAAGATTCTTCTTTAGGATCCTGTCAAAAAAGATATCAGCGGGATAATTGAATATATTGAAAGAAATAAAGGACAAACCAAACCTTTAACAAAATTCCAGATAAGGATATATATAAATTGTAAGGTCCCTGGCATCAGCTTGACCCCGAGGGTCCCCGGAAGCGCATACACGATTATATGCACTTCTATCATTGTGAGTGCCATCAGACTACTTTGAACAACTCGTGGAATATTCTTCATGTTTCAGGTTCATATCACGTGACCTCTAGCTACAGTATATAACGGTCGGACAAAGCTCCAGTCGGGTCCTGGAGAAACCAGTGGTCATATAGTAATATATCACCCCATGTCCCGTGAAGTCCCTGACAAGCCAGCTGCGGTATACATGAGAGCAAGCATTGAGCATCATAGCATCATAAATGTTGTATCCAAGTGATCTTGTAGGCAAAGGCTCTAAGGCACAAGCAGTACAAGAACTAGTGTCTCAATACGTAAGGTCCTCCCCGACAGGTTTAATACTTGTGTATGGAGTAAATAGATCACCCTGACGCATATAAATCTGAAGTCTAACAACGAGGTATGATGCATGATGTATGGAAGTATCACAAATGAGTCCTCCCCTTTTTGTACCGCTATAGAGAGAGGTTCTCCTCCCATTTTGTTTCCAATCGTTTTCATTTATTCTCCTCTATTGCTCCCCCGGCTCCTCGAATGAGATGGGTTGCTTACACAGATATTCTCTACATATACAAAAATCATCAAAACATACTCAAAAATTGACATGATTTCATATACGTCATAGCAGCTGTAGTATTAGTACTCATGGTTCGTCTGAGGCCCTGGCATGAGCTTGACCCCGATGGTCCCGGAAGCGCATACACGATTATATGCACTTCCACCATTGCGAAGTCCGCCAGATCACTGTGAACAACTCGTGGGATATTTCTCGAGTCAGGCCCCACATCACGTGGCCTCTAGTAGGTATACAACATGGAACAGAACGCCAGTGGAGTTTTGGATAGCCAGGAATTAATAGGAGCACACAACCCCAAGTCCCGGGAAGTCCTTAGCAGTGTTTTCATATTCAATGGGGAGAGTGAGTACCCCAAGTATAGACCTCACATGACGATATTCCCATAAAACAGCAAAACAACAAAAAAAACAAACATAAAAAAAAACAACAAAAACAAAAACAAAATAAAGAATAAAGAGCAACAACAAAAAGAACAAAAACAGGATCCCCGAAGGGCAGGCCCATGTCCAGCCTTTCCAAATCGGAACCGTTAGCCGCCCACAATGGCGGCTCATTGGCGGCAGCGTCACGTGACTTGGACATGGCGCGCGCCGCTCGTCTTCCCACCGCACCTTCAGCGGCACCTTTTGACAACACCTCCACCTCCGGCACACGTCCACAAACACGGCCAGCCGCCCCTCCTCACCCCCTTCCCTCTGGCAGCGCCTCCCCTCCACTCTCTGCCCCACTTTCCCCCGCCGCGCCATGTCGTCGCTCTACAAGCTCTCGATCTGCGGCGTCCGGTCGTTTTCGCCGCGCGACCACGAAACCATCCAGTTCGGCAGCCCCTTGACGCTCATCTGCGGGCAGAACGGGTGCGGCAAGACCACCATCATCGAGTGCCTCAAGTACGCCACCACCGGCGACCTCCCGCCCAACTCCAAGGGCGGCGCGTTCGTCAACGACCCCGCCGTGGCCGACCGGCTGGCGGTCAACGCGGAAATCAAGCTCGGCTTCACGTCCGTCGACGGCAAGCTGATGACCGTCACGCGCAACATGCAGTTGACACGGAAACGCGGCGGCACGCGCGCCAACGCGGCCAACGCGGCCAACACGGCCAACACGTTCAAGTCCTTGGAGGGCCAGTTGGCCGTGCTCCTGCGCGGCGCCAAGACGGCCGTCAGCTCCAAGAACGCGGAGTTGGACGCGCGCGTGCCGCGCTACCTCGGCGCGTCCCGCGCCGTGTTGGAGTCCGTGATCTTCTGCCACCAGGACGACAGCTTGTGGCCGCTCAGCGAGGCCGGCGTGTTGAAGAAGCGCTTCGACGAGATCTTCGAGGCGCTGCGCTTCACGCGCGTGCTCGACGCCTTGAAGACCGTGCGCAAGGACATGGCCACGGACGTGCGCGTGCTCGAGCAGGCCGTGGCGCACGCGCACTCGGACCAGGCCCGCGCCCACAAGCTCCGTGCCAAGGCCGCGGCGCTCGGCGCGCAGGCGGACGCCTACCTGCTGCAGATCGCGGCCGTGGCCGGGCGCATCGAGCGGCTCGAGCGCCAGGCAGACGATCTCTTCCGCTCCCACCAGGCGTTCCACCTGATCGTGAGCGAGCACCAGCGGCTCCGGCTCTTGGTGGACCTGACGCAGGCCGCCGTGCGCCGCCTAGAGGCGTCCGTGGCGCTCCTCCGCGACCCGGACGCCGCCTTGCACGCCATGGCCGCGGACTTTGCCGCCACCACGGCCGCCCAGACGCGCCTGTTGGCGGCCGCCCGCGCCGCCGTGGCCGCCGCGGATGCCCGTCTCGCGGACTTGCAAGCCCGGCTCCATGCGCTCGTGCGCGACGAGGGCTCGCTCGCGGCCAAGACCGCGCAGCACGCGGCCGACGGCGCCCGCCTCGAGCAGCTCAAGGACCAGGCCGGGGCGCGCGGGCTCGCCCACGCCGACGCCCAGCGGCGCCTTGAAGAGACCCGCGCCCGTGCGGCCACGTCGCTCCAGCACGTGCTGCAGGCGGCCGGCGAGCGGCGGGCCGCGGCCAACAACGCGCTCCAGGCGGCCGCCGACGGCGTGCGCACGGAGCATGAGCGGCTCGCGCACTGCCGCGAGGAGACCGCGGCCACCGCGGCCAAGATGCGCGCGGCGCGCTCGCGGCTAGCGGCCGTGGCGGGCCACGAGGAGCAACTCGAGGCGGAGCGGGCGCGGCTCGACGGCTTGCGGCAGAAGATGGCGCAGCGCCGGGCCGCGGCAGACACGCAGGCCGCGGACTCGCTGGCCGCGGAGGACGCGCAGGCCGTGCGCCGCTTGGAGCTGCGCTTGGACGAGCTCATGCGCCAGACGCAGGCCGCGGGACGGCTGGCGGACGTGCTCGGCAAGAAGGACTTGGTGCGCGAGGCGCGCGACGCCAAGCGCGCCGTGCTCGGCCTGTTCGTGGCGGCGCACACCGCGGGCTTTGCGCGGCTCTTTGGCGCGGCCATCGACCCGGCCTCGGCCGCCGGGCTCGTGGACGCCGAGCGGCGGGCGCGGGCCGAGGCGCACGAGACGCGCCAGGCCGAGGCCCGGGCGCAGCACGCGGTGGTGGCCGCGGCCACGGCTGAGGCGCACGCGGGCGAGACGCGGCTTGCGGGCTTGCGGGCGGCGTTGGCGGATCACGCTGCCCGCGTGCTGGCGGTGCTTGCGGCCGGCGAGGAGCCGCAGTACGAGGCGCTCGTGCGCGAGCTGGAGGCCGACCACGCCACGGCCGTGCACAACTTGAACACGTACGAGGTCACGCGCAGCTACAAGCTCAAGGCCGTGGAGATGGCGCGGGCCAGCCGGAGCTGTGCGTTGTGCCACCGCGGCATGGACGCGGCGGAGCTCGCGGCGTTCGTGGCGGACGTGGAGGCCAGCGTGCGCACGTTCACGCCCGACAAGTTGGCGGCGGACGTGGCCGCCACGCGCAAGGACCTCGAGGAGCTCCGCGCCATCAACGCCGACGTCTTGGAGCTGCGCCGCGTGCGCGCGGAGCTTTCCGGCCTCGAGACCCAGCAGACGGCCGCGGCCGGGCGCTTGCGGGAGGCCAGCGACGCGCTCAGCGCCGCGGCGCGCCTGGCAGACGACAGCCTGGCGGCTTTGGCCGAGCTTGACGCGCTCAGCAGGCCGGCCGCGGACATTGCGCGGCTCGCGGACGAGCTCCGCGGCCTCGACAACCAGCTAGCCGAGCTCGACCGCGAGATCGCGGAGCTTGGCGTGCCGCCGGTACCCATGGCCGAGCTCCAGACGCAGCAGCAGCAAGCGGCCGCCGAGCTCAAGGGCTTGCGCCAGCGCGTGGCGGACGCTGAGGCAGAGGGCAACGCGCGCCTGAAGGAGCTTGCCCGGCTCGAGTACCAGCTCAAGGACAAGGAGCTTGTCATCAGCCAGTTGCAGCTCGGCTTGAGCGAGGCGACCGGCCTCAAGCACCAGATCGCGGAGATGGAGGCGCACGACGCGGCGTTGCGGGACAAGGGCGCCGCGTTGCAGACGCGGCTCGCCGAGTTGCTGGCCCGGCGGGACGCTGCGCAGGCCGCGCTCGAGCAGGCCGACAGCGAAGCCGCCGACGCCGAGGCCGAGCACCGGACGCGGCTCGACGCCGCGGCCCGCGCGCTCGAGCTGTTCACGCGCCTCCACGACCTGGTCTTGCACTACGAGCAGGTCGACGCGCCGCTCGTGGCGCAGAACGAGAGGGACATGGCGGACGCCAGGCTGCAAATGGACGCCGCGGGGGCCTTGAAGAGCGAGAAGCAGAGCGAGGCCGCGCAGCTCCAGGGCTTTATCGCCGACGCCGCCGGCACCGAGAGAAACATCCGCGACAACTTGGAGCTCCGCGACTTGACCCGGCAGTTGGAGGAGCAGCAGGCCGCGTTGGCCGCCGTGGACATCGAGGCTGCCGAGCGCGAGAAGGAGCAGTACCTGGCCAAGGCAAAGCAGCTCCGCGACGAGATCGCGGGCTTGAACGAGCAGCACTATAGCAAGGTGGGCGAGGTGAAGCAGATCCGAGACCAGATCCTGGCCCTCCACAACGAGCTCCGCGCCGACTACCTGGACGCGGACAAGGTCTACCACGACGAGTGGATCAAGTTGCAGACCAACCTTTTGGTCTCCACGGACCTCCAGACGTACTTGCAAGCGTTGGACAACGCGATCATGAAGTACCACAGCATGAAGATGGACGAGATCAACCGCATCTTGCGCGAACTCTGGACGCAGACCTACCGCGGCACCGACATCGACAGCATCGAGATCAAGTGTGACGTGACGAACCAGACAAGAGGCAGGTCGTACAACTACCGCGTGGTCATGTATAAGCGGAGCTCGGAGCTCGACATGCGCGGCAGGTGCTCGGCGGGGCAGAAGGTGCTCACGAGCATCTTGATCCGCTTGGCCCTTGCCGAGTGCTTCGGCTCCAACTGCGGAATGATCGCGCTCGACGAGCCGACGACGAACTTGGACGAGGAGAACGCCGAGTCGCTCGCGAACGCGCTCAGCAACATCATCGAGTTCCGCAAGAGCCAGAAGAACTTCCAGCTCATTGTCATCACACACGACGAGAAGTTCTTGAACCACATCAACCGAGGCCGGTTCGTCGACAACTTCTATCGCATCGAGCGAGACGAGAAGCAGCACTCCATCATCAGGAGCTTGCCTATTCACGTGATGCAAGGCGAGTGAGCTCGGCGAGCTGCGACACCGGCTTGTCCATGAACAGCGTGGAAGGCCTTGGCCGCGGCCAGGCCTGCACCACCTTTTTCTTCATGCCGGCAAGCTGCCGATCTTTGTCCAACCACGTCTTTTCGAGCCACCTCTCCAACTTTGCTTTTCTGTGGGGGATGCTGCTCAAGCGCATGGCTCGCACATCGATGGTGACCGCGATCTTCTCGGTGGATGCGAACAACTGCAAGAGGCTTGGCGGTTTGCGGCTGTGGTACAAGATCGTGAGGTTGTAGACGCGCGCAAACTTGATGTTGGTTCTGTTGCCGAGTGTGCCCACGGCGTTCAAAAGCCCGGGATACCGCGGGTACAACGTGTGGTCATAGTACGGGAGACAGTATTTCTTCGCCTGCAATCTTTGCTGGTACGCCGCCGAGGGGGTCCAGATATTCACCTCGGGGAAGAGCACCACCCATTGCGGGGCTTCGGACGCCCTCACGGGGCTGAATGCCGACCGGCATAGCAGACTGGAAAGCTCCCAGTTCTCGTCGCAGAGCACTACATTGAGCAACGTGCGAACCGTGGGGACCCGCCACACCGAGTACCACGTGAAAAAGCTGACCTGCGGGACCAAGCCGCCGGGACATCTTTCTGCCAAGAGGGTCATGAAGAAGTAGTCCGCAAGCGACTGGTGGTTGCACACGACCAACGCCGACTCGGGCACAAGCGCGTCCCCGGTGACGGTGAGCTGGACCTTGTTGAAGCTGACAAAAACAGCGGTGACTTTCCAGAACACCCCGGCAAAAGCGCGGACCGTTCGCTCCGCCAAAAGTGGAGTCACGTATGCCATCATCAGAGACGCGAGGATGAGGAAGTGATATATGAGGAGCAAGTACAAAAGTGCTGCGCACACGAGCGCAGACCACGCCATGCACAAGATTTGCCTCGGGGTCTGACTGCGCCCGACGTGGAGACCCAAATGTGTCACCAATTCCATGCTGCGATACTGGGGGCGTTTTTTATTGGACCCAAACAAGAACCGGGTTTTGGGTGCAAAATTCCGCGAGCGGCCGGGCGCGTGTGTGCAGGAACGGCCTTTCTGACCTCATCGCAATGCGCAGTAGCCAGGCCCATGCTCCTCCGAGCTCACAGACTTTTCTGAGATAAGGTCACGAAACGCGGGTTGCAGCTCGGATTTAGGAGAAGAAAACAGAACACATCATGTCGAGACTCATTGTCAAGGGCCTCCCAAAATACCTCACGGAGGACCGCTTGAAGGACCACTTCAGCAAGGAAGGCAGCGTGACCGATGTCAAGCTCATGAAAAAAAGAAACGGCGAGTCCAGGCAGTTTGCCTTCATTGGCTACAAGTCCGGGTCCGACGCGGAAAAGGCCGTGAGGTTCTTCGACCGCACGTACATCGACACCGCGAGGATCGAGGTCAGCTTGGCCAAGACGTTCTCCGACCCTACAGTTCCCAAGGCTATACGGGAAAAGAAAAGATTGGCCGAGCATCGGTTGGCCGAGCAGGAGGAGAGGCTTTTGCGCCAGAAAGAGGAACAGGAACAGTACAAGAGGCAGAAGCTCGACCGCAAGTCGAAGTTGGACCAGGAAATCGCGGCCAACCCGAAATTGCTGGAGTTCATTGAAACGTTGAAGCCGTCCTCGCAGGTGCAGTCCTGGAAGAACGACTCCTTGGCCGACGGTTCCGGCGCGCCTTCCGCCAAGGCTTTGGAGGAGGCGCTCGCCCACAAAGACGGGCTCACAAAGGAGACTGGTGCTCTCGATGGGAAATACAGCGTTGTGCCGGCCATGGAGGCCCAGAGCGACGACGAGTACGACGATTTCCAGAAAAAGAGCGGCAGTGATGACGAGGAGATGATCCCATTTAGCGCCAGCCATGAGAGCGGTTCGCCCTCGGGCCAGGAAGCGGGCGAAGCCCACGCAGAGGACACCCAGGAAGACAGCATTGCCACCAACGAAGCGGTGTCCGATCTTGACTGGCTCAAACTGAGGAGGATCCGCATGAAGGAGAACGAGGTGGAGACGGCAGAAGCCGTGGAGTCTCTGGAAAAAGCATACAGTGACAAGCCCAGCTCGGCGCAGAAGCCGGCCAGACCCACGGTGCACCGACCCGCCAGTCTTTCCCCCGAGGAAACCATCGAAGCCAAGCTCAGGGAAACAGGCAGGCTCTTCATCAGAAATATTCTATACGACTCCACGGAGGACGAGTTCCGCGAGCTCTTCTCCCTCTATGGCCCCATTCTGGAGGTGCACATTGCGGTGGACACCCGGACGGGCAAGTCCAAGGGATTCGTGTACGTCCAATTCCAGAACAACGAGGACGCCGTCAGTGCGTTCCGGGCCATGGACAAGCAGATTTTCCAAGGCAGACTCTTGCATATCCTAGCTGGCGAGGCCAAGAAAGACCACAAGCTCGACGAGTTTGCATTGAAAAACCTACCCTTGAAGAAGCAGCGAGAGCTCAAGAAGAAGGCACAGGCCAGCAAGTCGCAGTTCAACTGGAATTCGCTCTACATGAACAGCGACGCGGTGCTCGACTCCGTGGCGTCGAAATTGGGCATCAGCAAGGCGCAATTGATCGATCCACAGAACGCCAGCTCTGCCGTGAAGCAGGCGCTCGCCGAGGCCCATGTCATTGGCGACGTGCGCAAGTTTTTTGAGGACCGCGGCGTGGATCTCACCACGTTCGACCAGAAGGAGAGGGACGACAAGGTGATCCTTGTCAAGAACTTTCCTTTCGGCACGTCCAGCGACGAGCTTGCCGAATTGTTTGCCGAGCATGGGCCCATCAAGAGAGTGGTGATGCCGTCCTCCGGTACCATTGCCATCGTGGAGTTTAGAGATGCGCCCAGCGGGCGTGCGGCGTTCACCAAGTTGGCGTACCGCATGTTCAAGAAGAGCATTCTCTATTTGGAGAAGGGCCCCAAGGACTTGTTTACGCGCGAGCCGACGTCGGGCGAAACGGTTGATACGGAAAAGGGCGACGACGCCGTGGAAGCCAAGATTTCGGCCACCGATGTCATGGCCGACGAGGTCCACGACAGCGAGGACGAGCTGCTCGAAAAGGGCCCGACGGTGTCGATTTTCGTCAAGAACTTGAGTTTCTCCACCACCACTGCGCTGTTGGCCGCGTTTTTCGAGAAGATGCCCGGCTTTGCCGTGGCTCTTGTCAAGACGAAGCCGGATCCGAAAAACGCCGGGGGCGTTTTGAGCATGGGGTTCGGGTTTGCGGAATTCAAGACCAAGGAGAACGCCGAGGCTGCCATCCGGACCTTGGACAACACCGTGTTGGAGGGCCACAGGGTGCAGTTGAAGTTGTCGCACCGCAAGTCGGGCCTGGCCGCAACTAGCGACACAGCCAGCAAGTCAGACAAGACCAACAAGATCATCATCAAGAATCTTCCGTTCGAAACGTCGCGCAAGGACGTGTTGGAGCTTTTTGGTGCTTATGGCCAGGTGAAGTCCGTGAGAGTGCCCAAGAAGTTCGACAAGTCTGCGAGGGGTTTTGCTTTCGTGGAGTACACCTTGTTGAAGGAGGCCGAGAGTGCCATGAACCAATTGAAGGGCGTCCATTTGTTGGGCAGACGCTTGGTGATGCAGTACGCGGAGAAGGAGGCCACGGACGCCGAGGCCGAGATCGAGAAAATGACACACAAGGTGCAGAAACAGGCAGCATCCAGAGAAATGGCCGCGGTGAGAATGGCGGGCCTGGGCAAGTTCCAGCTCGAGGAGAGCGAGGACCCTTTCAACGACTTCTAGAGGGCTTGTGTTGGGAAAGGAATTTCTGCCACTGTGCTTTGGTAATAACGCAGCAAACAGCACGGAATATGAAGATAATGGATGTCTACCCTGTAGGAGGCCCATGTTTCTATTCAGATGTGAGCGAGAGGTTTTGGTTAGGCGCATGGGGCGGTCTGAACTGGCAGTTTCCACGAGGTGTTGCAGACGAGACAAGCCCAATGGGTCAAAACAGAGGATTCGGCGTGCACGAAGCAATGGCGCAGCCGATTAAACGAAGCGATTCCCAAGCCATTTTGAACGGAGCAATGGCCAAGCCGGTCTACACGGAGCGATGCAGAAAAGCCCTGGTGCCAGGCTATCTTTTTATGTACACTATAAAACTATTGACAAGACTCACGAAGACGCCACCAGCAAAGACACAGTGTCCTTTTGTTTCAGCATCTGGCACACCAAGCTCAGAGTCACCAAATCAAGCTGCCGCAGGCGCAGCAGGGCTGCGGCGCCCTCTAGATGAAGGGCTGCTTAGTTGCTCAAGAACTTGGAAACGTTGCTCAACAACTTTCTGTAAGCAGTCTCCTCCTTGACCTCGGCAAAAGCAAAGATGAAGTCAGCCAACTCCTCGTTGATGCCCTTGTTCTCCAAGTACTTCTCCATTCCAAGCTGCAAGGACTCGTCCAAGTTGGAGAACTGAGGACCCTGGTACTCGGTGGCTGCCAAGAAAGTGCCCTGCTCCTTGATCTGCGTCAAGAACTTGGTCACGTCAGGCTTGTAGTTGAAGTAGTCAACCATCAAATCCTCCTCGGAGTTCTGCAACAACAAGTTGAAGAAGATTCCCTCGTTGGACTCGGGCTTGGACACAAGCACCTTCACGTTAGCAAAAGTGTTGTCAAATTGATCGAGCTCCTCCTCAAACTGCTCAGCCTCGGCGCCTTCCTCACCCTCAAATTCAGGGGCTCTAAGTTCCACGTCCGACACCTCGTTGATGTCGAAGAACACGCGGATCTCCTCACCAGATGGCAAGGTCTTGCGCAATTCGACGTTCGAGTCATACTCAGACTCGATCACCGAAAAGCCGTTCTTTTCCAAAAACTTTTCCTGCTCAGGCTCTAACTCGTTGTCCACGGCCATGGCCACTTTGTACTCGGACTTGACAATGTCAGCAAGTTTCTGGTGACGAACAACCGCCGAGCTGAAGGATCTGGTGGAAATGGGAAGAACAGCTCTTCTAGCCAACTGTGGAAGGCTGGATCTGCAGACGCCGGAAAAGGCAACACGGGAGATGAATCTGGACATTTTGGCGCAGGTTTTGTGGGATGAATGTGGTGAATTCTGAGATTGTTTGCGTGAGATGGGCCTCACAATTAAAGAATTTTCGATCCTGTTCCCGCGCGTCACGTGATCGTGCGGGGGCAGGTCGAGCCACGGAACAGCAAGGAAAACATAAATGAATGGGTTAGGTCCGCGGTTTTGCAGGCACGCTTTCCTTTTTTATTAATTTTTTTTCTCTTATAGTGTTATTTGCTTCGAAGAAGCGATGCTCTTCGTAGCTGAATCCCTTCACCAAATATTACCATGCGACGGCCCACTTCCTCATTCATCTGGTGCTCGTCTTGTGTGCTAAAGTTTAATTATGATGCGTAAATTTATGAGCGATTTCTGAATGTCTCGTTTGAAAAGCGTCTCATGTTTTGTGATCGTCTGGCCGAGTCTTGTGCATTGGATGAAAATTGGTTCTCCCTTACTCTTCTTCCTGGCGCATGGCTCGAAGGAACTCCTGAACAAAAAGAGAGGAGCGCCGGTACTTGCGCTCCTGGTACTTTTCGTAGATCGCCTTGTGGCTGGTCTCTGCATTTGTGCAAATATCCATGAATACTCTTGCCAAAGGTTTCAACTGCTCTTCGGTATAGCCCGAGTAGAACACGTGGAGTTCCGTCCACGCTCCCTTGTTGAGCATCTTCCGCAGTAGATAGTGTGCGCCCGCTGCAAGCCACGATGGCTGCGAGGCCACAAAGCGGTGGTCCATGATGGTGATCTCCAAAAAGTATTTGGCTAATGTTCTGGTCTCGTAATCATAATCGTCTGCTTTGGATGTGCGTCTGAGAAAGGACATCGGTCCGGGCCATCCCATCTCGAACTCCAACACGCCAATCAAAAACAGCTCTGCTTTGAGGAACTCTTGAACAGTGTATGCATTGTCGGCCATGTACGCAACTTCCTGCACTGTGGGGCAGTTGATCTCTTCGTATTTTGCAGCAAGAAAAAGGGCCACTGCACCAACCAACTGGAACCGCGATAATGACACTTTACGTCGACTCAAGAAGCGGTCAATGTAATTGATGGTCAAATACAACGTTTCAGGAAGCAAATTGAACCTCTGATGCACCTGCACGACCCAGTCCACCAAGACGGATCGCATTTCCCATTTCAATTCGTCCTGGTCGTCCATATAGTTCGCGTCCGGTGCCATTTTGTGTTCGAGCTCATGCAAATAGTTGAAGATCTCAGGAGCGTATTCCGCTACCATCGTCACATCATATGTATCCTCGTCATTCTCATCCATAATTGTGTCCGAGTATTTCCGCATCACGTACTTCAATTCGTCGAAAATCGCCCTGTTCCACTTCGGCTCCTGTGGCTGCTGCTGAGCCAAATTCTCGAGGTCGTCTTCCTCCTCATCTTCCTCGTCGTCATCGTCGTATACTTCGTCCTTGTTCTCGTGTTCATATGTATCTTGGGTATATGCAACGTCCAATTCTTCATAGTGCTCGGGATGAGGCGTCTGCACTTCCTGGAGAGAGAGTGCTTGTGCATCCACTCGACTATGATTGAGCGCGTCCGAGTACATCAGACGCGGAGTGTTGTTGTCCTCTTCTGAATCGGTGACATCATGGGCACTCAGTGAGATGGCATCGAAGTGGTGGCGTATTAGACCACCTTCGGAAAACGAGGTTTTCAGCACGGACGAGCTCAAGAGTCTCACGGGATCATTCTCTTGGCCGGGCTCGCGCAGATCATGGCGCCTGCGTTTGTTTTCTTCTGGCTTTGAAACACGGGTAGCTGCGAGGTTCGTAGAAATCGACGAAAGCACCCTTCTCAGCAGCAACGAGGCCCGGCGGCCGTGGTTCTCTGCCAAGGCGCGCGCCTGGGATGTGGTGTGGTCATGGGACATGCTGTAAAAAGACGACTCCTAGCGTTTGTGGCTTTGGGATCCGGACGTGGCGGGGAGCAGTCGTGGAAAGGGAGAAAAATGCAAAAACCGGACGATGAACGAGCGACTAATAAGGGTGGGATAGGGGTCCGGCAGAGCAAGTTTTTCCTTCTGGCTTTGGGGCAAGAGTGTTTGTGTGAATGTCTCCTTGTTTTCTAATCTTCGGCGGTTGACGTGTTGAGTAGCGGATGAGAGCTAGGACAGGCACGTGGTTTTGCCTGTGTGCGGTCAAGTGTCCCTCGGAGATTGTGGAATGTAACACAGTAGATTAGAATTCCAGCGGCTCAAAGACACAGTGGTTCACGAAACCTGCACTATGATATTTTTGTGGAAAGTGGTGATACTTTTTTGGGTCAGACAATGTGAAGCACGCCTGAGAAAGCTTAGCTAAACAAACGAAGAGTACTGGGTGCGCGAAAACAAACAAGCAGTACGCAAACTGGAACTCGTGGTGGTGTACGGGTGCACCCGGATTCCGAGCTCTCACCAGGGCCACGGGTCAGGAGAATCTGGTCTGGTGACGTTGCCAAAATCTGCCACAGCTCCGGAATTGTAATTAAGAGAAAAAATCCAGATGCTGATTTTGCGAATGTTTTGGATCTTGGGCCTTTTGCTCGATTCCGCCCCGTATTTGTCTGAAGTTGTTGTCCCCGAAAGACTGGCGGTAAACGTATGGTGAGACGTCAAGAGCCGCCCGCACAGAACGGGACTATCTGCAGTGCATGTTTATTTGTTTGTTTACCATCGCGAGAGTACGCGGCCCTCTTCGTGCAGTACGGACAGCTGGGGCCCAGTCACGTGACGTGTATTTGGTTTTCTGGCGGGCCATTCCGGAAGTCCAGGCAGTCTGTTGGAATTCGTATCTTCCCCTGTTTTAGTGATACCTTCGCCGGCCGAAATAGTAAAACTGAATTCATATACTCATATGCGTTGGTCTAATTTAGAGGTGAGAACAAGTGCGCCGAAGGAGCGGAGATCCTATCCAGGTCATTAAATGCAAGAATACACATATAGTCTACGTTGCATGGCGTAAAGAACAATTGCAGAGAAGATTTCGTAGATGTACTTGGAGAAATTACTTTTTGATCGCTTGGAGTACCTGAAGACCCTGCGAGTTCAATATTCATTTGATAATCAAACTAACGTTGCAAATGTATATGCGTGTTTTCTCCATTTTTAACAAAATATAACAGAAACAGAAAATATAATGCGAATTCCACTGGAATTTCCACAAAGATTTCCTAAAAGACCGGTCGCAAAATGGCTAAATCAAGTCGTGTGATATGCTAGTGTGGACTATCTTCGTGGAGACTCAAATCAACTGACTCATTCGTTTGACCATTTCTTCAGTAAATTAATTCAGCGCAAGAATACCAAAAAAGTATCCTCGTCAAGCGTGTAAAACCCAACCTTTCGGGATATTAGGCTGAGAGGCAGAATTACGCCTGTTTATTTCTTGAACAGCAGCTCCCTTTGTTCGTACCACCGGCAAGTTCATTCAAAAAAAGATTGCAGCACCACAATTTCGCATATGGTCTCCCACTACACTACTCAGTGCGGCCCTATGCAGCTTAACTAACGTTGATCGGACGGGAAACAGTGCTTCCTGCATGGTATGGCCGCAACCGAAATTCTAAGTTGTTTGTGTGATAGATAAATTGATTTATGTGTGAAGTGAATAGATTATTTCTAACTCATGAAGAGTAGACCCAATCAAAGATTCAGTGAGATAATATCCAGTAAGTTTATTGGGGCCATGTTGTTATCCAAAGAATGAGCTTAGGAGACCTATCCTAGGAGTCGATGACGTATTATCCAATACGGAAACAGATACGTGCCATGAGGACTGTCCAGGCCGTGACTAACGGAAGGGGACGGGCCGAGCTAAGACACTTGGTACGTAGCTGAGAGCTGTTTAAATGTTTTTTATATATATTTGTTATATAGTTTTGCCCCTTTAATCAGATGAATCTACCAAAAAAATTTAACAAAACTAAATCGGTTCGTCACCACGATTTTCAAGGTCTACACCAGAAGTGGCGAGTCGCAGGAAGTTGGCTCCTTAAGTCCGCCACATCCATCTGAGTTGAAGCTACTACCACAGGAGACATATCCTAGATAGGGTTTTCTTAATAGTGTTTAGTAAGTAGGGATTTTTTCTCTAAACAAAATATCATGCTTTATACATCCAGTGACACCATTTTTTCACAGTATGATGTTTCTTTAAACAAAATTAAAAACATAATTAATTTGCTGAAAATTTCGCTTCAAAACGTAAACAGATACGGGACAAGAGGACCGTCCAGGCCGCTACTAACGGAAGGGGGCGGACCGAGTTTCGACACTTGGTACGTAGCTGGGTGTTGTTTAAAGTTATATATATATATATATATAAATTATATAGTTTGGCTCTTTTAATCAGATGAATCTATCAAAAAAAAAGCAAACAACAGAGGTCAAGCCACCTCTACAATGAGTGTGAGATTGTGCACTTTTGATGGCAAAAATCAGCTTGCAAGCTCCAATGCACTTGATGGGCATGCTAGCTCCTTTAAATACTCCCTTTGATAATTCAAGAAACCTTCATTGGCTTTTTCAAGTTGTTCGCAGGATTTATTTGCTTAGGGACTAGGAGGCAAAGACAAATGTACGTCTTGCCGCCTTGTCAAATGAACTATGGTCACGGGCCCCTAAGAAAACATATCACATGGGGCGATGACATTTAGTTAATAATATTCAAGTGGTAGACAGTCATATCTTCTTAGGGAGATTTCGTGAATTGGTGCTCGGGCCTTTTCACTCGATCCGATGTTGTGGTCTTCTATAGGTTTTTCTACATAGTTTTTGCTAGTGGTGGGGTTTTACAATCCTCCAATGACACCATTTATTGGAGTGCCTTTTTCAAAGAGTAAAATTATTAAACTGGATGATCCGGTCTGAAAGGAACTGAACAAAGGGCCAGCAGAGGGGCTGGTTAGAAAACAATGCTAATTGGAAGCATAGACACTTAGAGCCTACTGCATTTCACAGACCACTTTTTTTGGAAGACCCGCCATGTCAAGCTCTTTGGATCTGATTTGAATAGTGAAATGGTTCGTGCGTCAGAGGTTTTGCTAAAAGCCTCATCTTCTACATTCTTCTGGAGGACCCGGAGGTAGGGAATTAAGCTTTATCACCTGTACAAAAATGGCTGTTGAGTACAAAAGAATGTTTAAGATCTTAGCCCTAGAAGGTTATACAGCCTTATGTTGTTACACCGCTGCTATGGTGAACTATGCGTGGCCCTTTTCTCGCATATTTTGATTAAAATGCCTACAAGCAAAAATAAGATATATTCGAAGACGCGGCTAGTATCCGACCCCTTACTTCTTTTTCTCGCTTTGCTATTTAGAGAAAAAAGACCCTGTAATAGAAGTCGTTATTGCGGGGCTCAAGATGCGAAAGGATCTGAAGATTGCCTGCTCTTTCAAACACCGTTGAAGCAACAATCGAACGAAGATTTTCCAATCACCTCGATCAACCATGCGCTGTTCCCAAGAATAATATTTGCCTGGTAACAGAGACCACCGTCCGATGTTGGAGTCCTGACGTCTCCATGATATTGAGCGAAATAGTAGAATTGAAATTTGACATGCTGGTTTTTCAGTCTTCAAACTACAGTTATGAAGATCAAAAGCGCGGCAATTACCCATGATCGCTCGACTTAATACATAATTATTTTGAAAACAAGGCTCGTTTGAGGTTCCTGAAGTTGGTATAGCAACATGTCAGGTGAAGATCATAGCGGTCATGTCAGAAAAGTACATTTCAAAACAGATGTGCTCCAGGATTCGTCAGAGTTGTGAAACACGCCTGCTGCCGTAAAGCCGGGGAAGGGCCAGTGTTAAGTGCTTTAAGTGCAATCCAAGCTTGAATCTATCAGACCAGAGAGAACCATGCCGGTGGTCTGCACAGTGGCGTTTGAATAGCGACGTGACCCAGCCAGCAGCAAGTTGCTCAAAACCAGGATTTCTGTCCTAATTTCTCTACACCACCGATGATGAATATTCTGTTTCTTCTCGCCGAACTCTCCCATCAGGCCTACGAATCTGGAAAAATACAAAAGGCAATGCCTCTGAAACATACAGGAAGCCCCGAATATATATGCCCACTCGTTCAATCCGCAGCTGTTTGCCCAACATTGGCCGTGTTGGACTCAAGCGTCATGGGCACGTGACTACGCCTTGACTCAGCGAGGTGGTTCATGAGTCGCGCAACTCAGCAAAATTGCCCCATGCCGGTTTTTCATCCTCGCAACCACCAGATTTTAAAAGACACCAATATTTTTGCATGATGCCGGAGATTTACGGCTCCATAGTAGACGACAAGACACGCTGTGCACACTACCAACTGAGGTTAGATATCATAGCCCTCAGATTCAGGTGCTGCGACAAGTATTACCCATGCTACCAGTGCCACGAGGAAACGAGTGGGCATGAAATCCAGAGATGGCTGCGCAGCGAATTGGATGCCGGAAAGCCGGTGGTGTGCTGTGGTGAGTGCAAGGCAGAACTAACATTTAGTCAATACAGTGGGGGCGGTGCCAGGTGCGTGGGATGCGGGGCACGGTTCAACCCGAAATGTGCGCTCCACTATGATATATACTTTGACCTCAGCTGATTGTTTCAAGCTGAGCCTGGAAAATTGAGGGTAGCGGGCTGTGCTCGGGCAAAATAATGATGTGGTTTTTGGCATGCTGATGCCGTGGTGGGCCCGAGAGCGTGTTTTTTGCACCCATTTATATCTATATGGTTAGTCTGGAACTGTAGGTGTACGAATGCGGCGAAGATTGAGAGGCTGGATCAGAAGATGAAAAAAGCGACGGGGCCACTTTCTGAAAGAAGTCCACGTGTCAGATGCAAAATAGGGATCTTGGGACATCACTCGTCGCTTGTGATGAAAATGTGCGAAGATCTGGGGCCTTGGGGTGTCAATTGGGCCCGCGGAGACTGATTTGCCATTATGCTAATATTGTTGAACTAACGATGCAAAGTGAGTACTGATAGAGCTACTTTTGATTTGACATTAGCTTTTTAGTCGGACAGTTAATGTGTATGTATAGAGTGGTTCACGATAGGCGTACCCCCGAAAGCTCTTTAGCGGTAGCATATAAAAGTTGTTATAGCCCGAATATTCCAAAGCGCAGCTATGTAAGTGTGTTTGTTTAACATGAATCAGACGTCTGATTAATTTGTCTATGTGTCCTCGGGGCTGCCGGCAAAATTCAGACAACAGGTTAGGTCTTGATTCGGGAATGGCCCAGGCAGTCATTTGCGTTTTATACCCTGTGGCTGCTTTTCAAACAATAACTCAGACAGTAATATCCCGGTAATTTCCGAGAAACTATTTTCGAGTAATTTTCACGTAAAGCTCTGCCGTTAGTTCGGGCGATAATATCATGGTTCTTGAGGAAACAACTGCCGCTATTTTCCAGGAAGCATTCTCAAATAATTTTAAAAGCAGACTCAAGAATTTTCCAAGGGCCAATCTTCATTTATTCCGGGGATATACTTCCAAAATCTCAGGCAATATACTCCCCGCAATTTTCCAAGTAACAATTCTCCAGGAAGTCCCAGGAAATTCCCCCAGTGATTCAAAACGCATTTCCCAATCACCCAAGAAAAACTCCCCGAAAATTCCCAGAAAACACTCACCCAATAACTCAGGAAATCTCCCAATAATTCGCAGGGCACAATTTCCCAGTACTTCGCAGGGGATAATCCTCCAGTAGTTCATAGGCAAGAATGTGGCCAATGATTCTCTCAAGAAAGCCTTTCCCAATTCCCCGGAATTACTCCCCTGATAATTCAGGCGGTATTCTGCCAAACTTCTCAAAGAAAGCATTCTCCAGCCGTTCCCAGGAAATGCTCCCCAATAATTCGAGAAATAGCCTCCCCACAATTTTTCAAGCAGCAGCCCCATAATTCGTTACAAATACTCTCCCCTTTATTAGGACAATACTCTCCCAGACTTTTCCAAGAAACCATATCCGGAAAATTTCCAGGAAACATTCTCCCAATATTCAAGGAGCACTCCCCAGTAATTCAAGATACAATCTCCCATTAATTGAGGCAATAATCTCCCTAGCCTTTGCAAGAAACCATTTTCCAGCAGTTCACAGGAAACACCCCCAAAATAGTATCCCATTAATTCAGGCGATGATCCGCCTATACTTTTCCAAGAAATCATTCGCCAAAAATTTCCAGGAAACATTCTCCCAATACTCAAGAAGTACTTTCCCAATAATTCAAAAACCAATCTCCCAGTAATTAAGGCGATAATCACCCCAGACTTTTCCAAGACACCATTTTCGAGTAATTCCCCGGAAACTGTTAGGGACTTCACGGGACATAGGGGTCATGTATTACTATTTGATCACTGGTTTCTCTAGAACTCTACAGGAGTTCTATTCCACCTTTATATACTTTATCCAGAGGTCACGAAAAAGGAACCTTTAGAACTCGAGAGAATATAATGAGTTGTTTGGAATGATATCGGACGGAACTCACAGGAGTGGAAGTGCATATAGTCTTTTATGCGCTTACAAGGACCATCAGTGTCAAGCTGATACCAGGGACCTTACAGAAACAATCCCCAATAACTCTAGAAATAATCCCCCACAATTTACCAAACAACAAGTCCCCATAATTCAGGCGATAACCTCTCCACAATATTACAAGAAACCATTCCTCAGTAATTTCCAGGAAACATAACTCTAAAAATAATCTCCCCACAATTTACCAAGTAACAAGTCCCCAATAACTCAGGCAATAATCGCCACAATATTCCAAAAACCATTCCTCAGTAATTTCCAGGAAACAATCCCCAATAACTCTAGAAATAATCCCCCACAATTTACCAAACAACAAGTCCCCATAATTCCCCGGAAATACTCACCCAATATTTCAGGCAACACTGGGGATGCGCCAGGAACCACGACCCGAAGCCTCAGCCCCAGGCAAAAGACTCAGCCTCGCACCGCGGGCCCCGTCCGGCCACCCAATCGGCCCTGGGCCGCCTGGGCCTCTTGGCCGCATGGCGCCGCGCCGGCCCATGGGGCGCGGCTCGCCGCAGCCGGCACCCCACCAGGGACGGCCTGATGCACCAGCCATGAAACCCCGGGCCACCCGCCATGACTTTCCGCGCCACCCACCATGACTTCTCGGGCCACCCAGCCACCGGCCCCCGCGTCGCACCCCGTTTCCCCAGCCCAATAAATGTGGAAGACGGCCTCATGAACCCCCAGTGCCTGTTGTTTCGACCAGGTTAATTTTTTGGCCCGGTTTATTTTGTTAACCAGGTCTATTGCCTTGGCTCTATTTTTTGGCCCTGTCTATTACTTTATAACCCTGTTTATTTTTATGACCCTGTCAATTTTTTGGCCCTGTCTAGTATTTTTTAACCCTGTTTAGTTTTATAACCCTGTCTATTTTCTTGGCTCTATTTTTTGGCCCTGTCTAATTCTTTAACCCTGCCTATTCCTTTGACCCTGTTTTCTTCGGTCCCTCTCTTCTTCCGTCCCTGCCTTCTGGGCCGCGCCCCAATTGATGTCCGCCCCGCCACCTTTTTTAGCCCTCCGGGAAGGCTGGCTCTGCCCCATGGCCGCGCCCTGCCCCGACCCAGGATTCTCGTACCAATATCAACCGACCCGCGCGCCCAACCCTGGCCCCGCTCCCCAAACTCCTGGCACCTACTCTGTTTTTCTGAAACCACCGCTACTCGGTACCCACACCCCAGCGCCAAGCACCCAAACCCACTCAGATTCCTGTGCCCAGCCGGACCCCGCTATCTGCCCCGGCCGTTTCCAGATCCTTCGCGAGTGTTTGGCACATCTGTATCCGGGCCATTCTTGCAGCTCTAACCGCCCCCATATCCGCGCAAAGATCCCATACCCATACCCGCGCACCCGTACCCATACCCATAGCCGCACCCATAGCCGCACCCCATAAGCGCACCCCATTTTCGTGCCACCCCCACAAATGGCCCACACCAGCATCATCGTCTCCAACTTGGACAAGGCGCACTTTGTGGCGCTGCACACGTGCCGCGTGCCGCTCGCCAGCCAGATCAAAAACACGCTCACCGACGCACGCCTCTACGGCCACGCGCAGGGCCACGCGGTGGTCTCGCACTGGTCCGAATTGCCGTTCTTGAACCGCATCATCGCCATCTTCCACTCCGAGGCCGACGCGTCGTGCGCGTGCGAGTACTTGCGCCAGGCGCAGCGGGTGCCCGCGGGCGCCACGGCGTTTGTGTTGCCCGAAACCGCCCGCATTTCGCAGCAGGAAAACCTCTTGCAGCGGCTGAGCCTGGCGGGCGAGCTCACGCAGCAGCCCGTGCCGCCGTCTGCCGCGGCCGCCGGCTTGGCCGCCTACCACGAGCCGGAGCCCAAGCCCATCGACATGTATGCGGATCTTCTCCGCGCAGGCATCGACATCTCCAAGTTCAACACCGACGAGCAGGTCGACGAGGTGCGCGGCGCGCCCGGCCACCAGGACGCGCCGGGCGTTGCCCGCTCGCGCTCGCCCACCAAAACGTTGTTCAAGCCGCCGTTGCGGCTCAACACCCAGGCCGCGTGTGCCGAGGGCGCCTCGCCGGCGTCTCCCACCATCACGCTAGACCAGATCTGAGCGGCCCGCGCGGCCACGGCCTCCGTCCCCGGGCCGGAAACGGTGCGTGAGGAGGAGGTGCGTGAGAAAGGGGTGCGTGAGGAGGATGCGTGAGGAGGATGCGTGAGGAGGATGCGTGAGGAACTCTACCAAAAAAGACGGCCTAAAGCGTGGGGACATGTGTCTTTTGGGCCGTTCTGCGCTCACCGCACTCCCGGGACACTGGATGGCCGCCGAGTGCCGGGCCTGTGACACGTGCCTGGGAAAGCAGTCTCGCGCGCCCCCATTTCTGACCGGCTTGGCTTTGAAGGCACGCGACCGAAGGCGGGTCGCCTGAACTGCTCCAGAGGCAAGGCGTAGGCCGCATCTTGAGTCTGGGCAGGGCACGGCCCCACGGCCCTCGTCGAATCGATGAATGTTCGGGAACATCCATGCAATTCTGACGCGCTACATGGCTTACATAGGCCGCCGCGCAATCTTAGCTTCCACAACGTCTTCGGGCGCTGCATCTAGCCATGCGGCCGCCCTCAACCGTGTAGCGCAAACTCATGGCTTGCTTCATTGTGAAGAGCCCGGCACACTGACTTTTCAGGCCGCTCTCCCGAATCAGAGGACGTCCACCGAGCCGGTTTTTTCTCCCCGTCCTATTCTCAAGCTTGGTCAAATAAAGCTTCATGCTGGTCTGGCTTGTCTGTGCGCAACTTCAGAGTAGCGCCAGTCCTCTGCTCCAGCCGCTTGTCTCACATATCTCCCTTGTTCCGGGATATTCATTTCATGTCCTTTTCAAACGGTTCTGCTGAATGACTGTCTTGCTGAATTCCGTTATATGCTTGGAAATACCCTGCAAGCGTATATACATCTACATTTATCGAGCGAGAATCGTTCACTAAAGCCTCCTCCATGGTCATTCAAAACACATTGAGATTATGGCCAATATCAAGAGCTTCGCGAATGAGCAATTGCGGGTCCAACTTTCAAATGGCAAAAGAATACCCAGACTCTCGAAATTGAATCCTGGATTTACTATTGCCTCAAATTCCAGGGGTATATCGGGAGAGTGTAATCATTGCCACCAACTCTGTAATCTTTTGCAACACTACCGGCGTCCCGCAAATGTGTGGCAATATACAAAAGTGTATCAACCAAATATTTAACATGGTCAAAGCTACTTAGGTGCGAGACAAATACAAGTGCTGTATCAGAAAGCAAGGACAAAACACCCAGAAACCACTTGGAAAGTCTATGCATAATAGGTAATATCAATACATCTCCAACGCACGTCACGTGACCGGCACGGCGCTGAAAGAACGCCTGGTCACGTGCCCACACCGGATAGGACTCTGTGCATACGGATCCTATTGTCTTATTTCGGCCTGGACAAACAAACGGCATCTGGTGCTATGAAATGCCGTTTGTTGCTGCTGGCTCTGCGGGTGAAGTCTCAGGGATTTAAAAGGAACAAATCCCCTCTTGTTTATCTAGAACGCACAAGGTCTTTATCATCGAACAAATATTAGACTCAGTAATATTAATTCCTACAACACTAGCCACCTTTCTTAGAAAAAACAACAACAGCAAAATGGCTTTAAAGGGAGTGGGCCATGTGGACCAGAAATATGATGGTATGTTTAGTATTACTAGATTCAGCTCACAACGTGATAGGCCCCTGGCAGATAAGTATAGGCTACTGGCACTGTAACTCCGCCACTTTGCGACAGATTTTGCTGATTCTTATCAAAATCATCTTTATAAATTTCAACAAGAAACTCACCACCAAAACTTCCAGTTTTGAGATCATTCTGCTTATTCTGACTCTTGCTAACAGCCAGGTTCCTCATTGAGAATTGGAATTATTCATGCTACTTTTAACGAGCGAGTGATTGCTAGCTTAGTCAAGGGATGTGTTGCGAAATTAAAGTCCTTCGGGCTCAAAGAAGGAAACATTTTGATCGAGTCAGTTCCGGGGTCTTTTGAGTTGCCATATGGCGCCCAGCTTTTCTTTGAAAAGCAAGCGAAATTGGGCCGCCGTTTAGATGCTGTGGTCCCCATTGGCGTAGTCATTAAAGGACTGGACATGCATTTTGAGTATATTTGTGACTCTGTCACGCACCAATTAATGAGGCTCAATTTTGAGCTTGGCATTCCCGTCATTTTTGGCGTGTTGACATGTCTCTCAAAGGAGCAAGCAGAGGCTAGGGCGGGGCTTGTTGAAGGCAAGGACCATAACCACGGCGAGGATTGGGGAGCTGCTGCTGTTGAAATGGCTCTTAAATTTAGAATTTGAGAGTGATTCGAAAAGCCAAACTTCAATTATTTTGTTGTTAAATGTCGTATCACGTGTGAATTAGAGGTCAATTAAAATGACAATAGGTGTCTCTCGTGCGGCTTCATTTTCCTTTGAATGTGCGCTAGCTTTAGAAGCTTTTAGGTGAATAAGACAAGCGTCGCAGTTGTGGTTGTATTGAACAGAGAATGATGTATCTTTTTCCGCTTGGCGAGGAGGGGAGTATGAGTCAAAACTAAACTTTGCCAAAGCTTCTGTGCTCTTTATCATTTAATGTCAATGAGAAACAAAAAATCAGCTCCCGACTCTGAAGTGTAGGGTTGTACCCTTTCTTCTCTCGTGTATCAAAGGTGCTTCTTAAGAGTGATGTTTAGGAAATAGCAGGTCAAGTGTGTATGAGTTCTCCATACATGTACAAAAAACTTCTTTTGTTTGGAAACTCTTTATGGCAAGTCTTGTCTTTCGTGCCAGCAAAGAATACACAATTGGGGCCCAATGATTAGTATCTATTGTTGAGCATGTAGCACCAAGGTCTTCAATGGGGCCCTTTGGATTGTGTCTTTAAACTATGTATGCAAAATTAAGCCGAAAATAAAATGGATCGCAAGATTTTCCACATATCCCAGATTTTACGGACCACTCCGTTCTAGATTGTCACTAAAGATTGTATTACTTGAATTACTTACGCAACTCTCTACCAATGTTAATATCTTTGCACTTCTCCTTCTAATTGTTTTGGTGAAATTCTCTGAGACCTTGTGACAGTTTTGTGAAAACTTTAAACAAGCAACGAAAATTTATGGCACAATTCACGGATCTCATGACACCCTAGTTCTATCTTCCTCCGTAAAGCTACTCACGTAATTGCAATTATACATTTGAATAAAAGGAAAAACACCAAATAATTTCAAAACACAACATTTAAGGATTTTGCGTGATTTCTGCATAGTTATGGGCATCTGGTCCCAAGTATATTGCCAAGGGCTCATTTCTTCAAGGTTGAAGAGCCAAATATATCAGGTTTTTACTAAAGTCTGTACCGCTGATGCCAAAAGATCTATCAAACGCCGAGCATCTGTTCATATTTTGAGCAAAGAAGTCTACAATTCCATTTCCCCCAGCTCACAGTCTATTGAATAGCCAAACATGCAGTCCACTATTTGCATCCTTTATTCGTATGGTTCTGACACTTCCATCATTTTGACCCCCAGTCTATGAAAATTCATGGCTTGCATCAGTTCACAGACCCAATATTGGCTTTTCCAAAATATTTTCTATATTCTTTTGGCCCTTTTCGAGTCTTCGGTCTTATTAAGTCAGCCGCATTGACTCCGCAACTTGTCAAGTTTAATGACCAGCTTTGGGCCAAGGCATAAAATTTTTACAGCCACGCTAAAGCCTAAGGCCAGGCCAGTCTTGTTGACGCCCAAATCGTTTTCCGTTTATGCTAAAAGACGATAATTCAGAACAAATTCAATTTTTTTTTTTCATCTTATCTCGCCTCTCTTATCGGGAGGGGTAGGTGACCGTCGGTCCCCGCGGCCGCTATCGTGCGCCCAAAACGGAGCGTCACGTGATCGCCGCGTTTTTCGTCGAAGCGCTAAAACGCCCAGCTAGCACCCCAAGAAATCTTCCAGTCCCCAAAACCCGTCAATAATGAGCAGATGTACGTTTTCCAATGACCCGCGGGCATTCTTGAAGCTCAGAAATTGCTTTTTGAGGTGCTTTTGATTCTGCACAGAAGGCACGATTCTAGCGGGGAATTCAGTACATGGAAGTCCCCAAGCTAGCCGCCGAGAGCACTTGTCGCCCACGCTAAAAGCACACAGCAAGTTGCCGAATTCGTTGAAACTTAGACAGGGACTTCTAAAGATACATGCAAACTAGGGGAGCCGCTTTCCCCGCCAAATTCCGGCAAATACCCGTGCTTTTACTAACCTCACAGTCCGTCTTCTCGACTTGGTCAAGGTCGTATCTCCGATCGTGCCTGAGATTAACTATCCCTTGGAAAATGTCACGATCGATGAGAAGGTCGTGTTCACCATTGCCAGCGCCTTGATTTTCATGCTCTCGCAGATCCCCGTGTTTGGCCTCGTCAGAGACGCGCCATTGAAGATGACCGATCCATTTTTCTCATTCAGACCGCTTTTTGCTATGGAGCAGGGCTCGCTCTTGGAGTTGGGCTTGTTGCCTGTGCTCACGTCGGCATTTGCATGGCAACTTGCGGCCGGCTTGAAGCTTGTGCGCGTGAAGTTTGCCTTTGGGGTCGACCGTGAGTTGTTCCAGCTGGCTCAGAAGGTCACCAGCTTGCTTTTGAGCGCGGTGTTTGTTGTGGCCTTGATTGTGTCTGGCTACTACGACCCCGTGGTGCGCGGCGCCTCGCACGAGTCTAACGCGTACGGCTCCTACGCGTTGATTTTTGCCCAGGTTTTCGGCTGGAACGTCGTGTTGACTTTGATGGTGGAGGTTCTCGACAAGGGCTACGGCTTTGGATCTGGTGTGTTGTGCTTCCTCGCGTTGAACGCCGCCACCAGTCTTGTGAGAGATGTGGTGGGATTGGAGCTTGTGTCGCTGACCCCGGATGGCGTGCCTCAGACCTACGGCGTCATCGCTTACTTGGGTAAGAGCTTGCTTTCCATGGAACTCTCTACCATCAAGGAGGCTGCCGTGGGTATCTTTATCCGCTCGGGCTACCCCAGCATTGGCATGGTGCTCATTGCCGTGGCTACAGGGCTTGCCGTGATTGTATTGCAGAACTGCCGCTTGGAGTTACCTGTGCGCTCCAACCGCGCCAGAGGAAGCGCCAACATTTACCCGATCCGCTTGTTGTACACGGGTGCTTTGCCTGTGGTCTTTGCCTTCACCGTGGTCGCCAATGTGCAAATCTTGCTCCACTTCTTGGCGGCCGCCGTGGCGCCGTTCTACCCGCTCGTTGCCTCGATGCTTGCTTCACGCGATGCTTCCGGCAAGCTTGTGTCTGGCTTGGCGTTCTACTTCAGCAGCCCTGCTTCGTTGACTGCTTCGCTCTTGTCACCCATCAGAGCAGTGGTGTACACTGGCTCCATTGTGGTCTTGGCGTCTGCTTTTGCCATCATCTGGGCGGATATCTCTGGTTCTGCCCCAAGGGATATTGCGAAGCAGTTCAAGAGCCAGGAAATCGTTATTTCTGGTAAGAGAGATGTGTCCATAACAAAGGAGTTATCAAGAACAATCCCTGTGGCTGCTGTCTCGGGTGCTGTTTCTTTAGCTGCTTTGGCCTTGGTCGGTGAGTTGCTCGGCGCCTCGGGAAAGACCGTGTCTGTCACCGTCGGTATTGTGTCCGCATTTTCGGTGTTGGAAGACTTTATGAACGAGCTTCAACAAAGCGGTGGCTCCTCGCAGTTTGTAGGATCCATGGCTGGCTTGAAGTAGGGGGTACATGCGGCCTGGGACCTCCACACAAACCACTCAATTTGAATGGGTTGGGGTTCTCACTAGCCAAAGCCATACAGTTCCAAAAAAGAAAACAGTCAAATGCCAGGACGGCACAGAAACATGAACAACTAAAAAGTTGAATAAGTATTGAGACACCTCAACCTTGACATGGTAATGAGAAGAGAGACACCCATCCTTGGGTCAAATGGAGCGAGGCGTGTTCAATGTTATAGGTTTACCAAATATAGAGATCTTTTTAGAAGCCATGAGTGATTTGTAAAGGGAACTATGTGGTAAACGTTCGATCAGGCTGCAAGACAAGCACATTCAGAGGTCGTTTTAATCGCTAGTGATGGACTTACGGCTGAAACCACTTTTAGTGTTGAGGGTATTGTCAGACACAGCGGTTTCCGATCTCATTAAGATTTTCGAGCAATGTCGACCAGGGACTCTTATCAAATTTTCATACGCCCGTACCTCATTTGCAAGGGTCCTTGGGAAATGATGCATCTGAAGGTGCGAGATTGGGGGACGAACAAGCTGTGCAAGATCAGACAAATCAAATTAAACCTTTTCTAACAATCAAAGAATACTGGTTTTCCCTACTTTCTCAAAATACCTTCAATCTAAAGTCAGTGCCTGCCACCATCGATTCTTTTCGTATTGCAGGCAGGCTGATTGACATTTTGTGTCGAGAGTGGAAACACCTTCCCGAAAACTTGACAACTTGATCATGAAAACCGGGTTGCTATGTCCAGCTTGATCGCTACGAAAATTAAATGCACTTTCTTTTTCCAAGAATTCCGAGCCCAAAGAACATGTCGATTTAATAAACCAACAAATTTTATTGTATTTCTCATAATTAGACTTCCTTATAATTGTTATAAATAAACAAGCCGATGGAAAGAATATCAACCCTCAATCAATATTTCTATTAGATCCAAAAATATGTTTGCATCTTTTAGTAAATCATTTGAGAAATTTATCGAAAGTCGCACCCGTCTAATCTACACGACTGTCACGAAACTGTCAACTAGCTATCAAGCAACTGTCATCATACTATATTCAAGAAATCATACACGCCGTATCATTTCGCCCGTGGGCTGCAGGGTGTACTCATAACAGCACATACTTCCAAAATCTCAAAGACTGCCTTGTGACCTGTCACCAAAAAACCAGTCCTTCTCACTTTGCTGAAATCCCACGACCCAGAGACACATTGTGCATTGGCCTGATACACGCCTAGACACTAAATCTTCTCTCGTTCTTTATCATCATGCCTGCGCTTAAGCTCGTGCTTCTTGGCGATCTGTCGGTTGGAAAAAGCTCGCTAGTAAACAGGTTTGCCGTGGACTCGTTTGACCCTCATCTGCCCAACACGATTGGCGCTGCATTCATCTCCAAAGAGCATGTATCGAAAGATCGCAGCGTGAAATTCGAGGTCTGGGATACGGCCGGCCAGGAGCGGTACAAATCGCTCACGCCCATGTATTATCGAAATGCCAAAGTGGCGTTGGTCTGTTTCGACTTATCGAACACGGACCTGTCTTTCCACCGGGCCCGTTATTGGTGTGACCAGCTTGCGGTTCTGGGACCCCCAGATATAGACATAGTCATTGTAGGCACGAAACTGGACTTGGCAGAAACAGCCGTGGATGTCCTGGTACCAGAATTCTGCTCTGACCGGGGCCTCCGATACGTGGCTACTAGTGCTAAACTGGGACAGGGTGTGCTGGAGCTTTTCGACTCGATCGTCGATGGATTAGACGAGGAGATGTTTCGCCAGCTAGAGCTGGAACCCACTGAGCCAGAACAAGAAAACGTGCTATTGTTTGCCCGTGCCCGCAACTCGGGCTGTTGCTGATGTATGAAAGTAAGGTGTATGACTGGGACAGCTGCTCGCGACTGCCATGGAGCTGGTATCTGCGGTTTGGAAATATTGAGAAAGAGCGCTGTACTTATGGTGGCACTATGATAAGGATTCTTATTGCTTTGGTGGTCCCCACATTTGACACTCTCCTGCTTTTCACGGGTAGAATGCGCCTGCTCCTTCACGGATATATTGAGCTTTTGCTCTTGAACTTCCAAGAGAGACATGCTGATAGTCACCGATATTCTGTCTGAAGTTACGAGGATACTCACTTGAAGAGAATAGCTTCTCATATGTGCATCGATACCTAGCACACGAAGTACCTAACATGTGATGGTGTTGACCTCGCGTCATTGAGGCCAAAAGGGCATTTTGTCAAGGCTCCTGGGGCTTTTCACTTTGATCGTCCTATGACCCAGCTTGGCTCTTTTGTGAAGAATCGTCTGTCGATGCCAGGGAGGGGCATATTTGACAAACTCCAAGTTTGATCATCAGATTTGGCCTTATTTTTCGATATACTATGGCGCTACCATCGACCGGTTTCACAGTGAGCCGGCTTCTTGGAAGGTACCATATCTTACAGATTTTAGTTCCATACCTAGTAATATATCCTCTGGGTTTCTCAACTACTGCCTCGTGGAATTCTACAGAATGTATCAAAAGAGCCAATCGCAAGGTTTCACCATTCATACGTACGATGATGTGTTTTCTCGGCCCAATTTCTGATATCGGATGTTATCAATTTACTCGCGATGTGTACAGCCATAGGGCTTCTGCCATGATTTGTTGTGCGTTTACGGATTCATTGGACCACACCGGCACTTCTCCAACAAAGGAAGATCTGGTGTCTGTATGTTTGTTTGGTCATCTAACTGACGCATGCACGTGAGTAGGGAGTATCGCCGAATTCTATAATACAATGGTCCTACTCCACTTCCAATCCCTTCAGCTTCCAAAACTCTCTCTTGACCTGTTTCTCCAAGTTTGCCTTTGACTTGTTCTTCTCTTCTTCTTCTTCTTCTGAATCAGCCTCCAAGCTCATGAAATCTTCCACGTTTTTGTTTGCATGCGATGCAGGCGGAGGTGTCTGTTTTTGCAGAGCAATGCTTGCAGTGGCTTTTGAAGATGTGCTCTTTTTAACATTGGATTTTTCACTGATCTTGACGGACACTTGGGCGGCTTTAGTAGTTGTTTTCAGATTCGACGTCTGTTTTGTTTTCTCTTCCGCTGAGATGTAAGTGTCGCCTTCACTTTCGGCCGTCATGTCGGAGAAATAGTACTTGTCATTTCCCTCGGCGCCGTCGCTCTCACTGTCTGAAGATTCATGATTAATGAGGGCAGAATTCACGACTTTGTCCCGGTCGTCATTGAAATCACGGTCTTTGCCTTTGTACGTGATGATATCTCCAAGGATCAGCTGGCCAAGGCGGTTCTTATACGACGTGGAATTGAGCTCGTAGCACTTGGCCGTGAGGAGCTGGAACGCACCACCAAACGCCTTCTTCAAGTCCCGCAAATTGTATGACGATCGCGTGATGTTGTTGTCTGGATCTGATGGGTCCTGAATGACGATGGTAAAAGGGCTGCGCCCCGTGCTAAGGGCTGGGTACCGGTATTTGCGCAAGTACTTCGGGGAGTCGTTCTTGGGATCAAGGGCAATTATGAGGTTATCGTAGGAAAAATTGCGCCCGTACAACTCGAAAAACTCGATCAACAAAGTGCCCAAGTTCTCCCGTGCAGCCAAGTTTCCGGAAGCTACACGGGGGTGCATTTTCAAGAAATGGTACACCATGATGATGGTGGCGTAGCCGCCAAGGCCGCCCACGTGCACGTTGTTAAGCATACGGGATCTCAAAAATTGCTTGACTATGAGCACAAGCTCACGGAGCCCCGGATTGGTCTCGAGCCAGCGCCGGATCCGGCGGGCGGCGTCAATTCCGTTTGTGCGCTCAAAAGAAACGTCCACATGAATGTTGTGCTTGGGGTCCACAAACTTGATGATGGGCACTTTGGCCAGGGCTATGACCTCGATGTTCTTGGCGAGTTTGTGTGTGCGCAAATACGACGAGAGCTGGTACAAACGCAGGCGCTGCTCGTAGTCGCCGGTGGTGGAAATGACCACCATGTCAATATCTGACCCCGGCAAATATAGGTCGGTGGCACACGACCCGAAAACGTGGGCCTGGGTCTCGGGCCAGAAGCTCGCTATGTGTGATTTCAAGCTGGAGATCACCTCGTTTCGGATCATGATCTCGTTTTTCGACGGCGAGATGTAGTTGACAAAGTCCTTGATTTCAAGCGTGAGCCAGTCGGCGATTTCCTTTTGTTTCAGGTGGTTCTGGTCCTTGACCCACGGAAACGCCAGGCTCTTATCGCCCTGCACATTTCTGTGGGCGCTATGACCTTCATTTTCTTCGTCTTCGCCATCCAGGCTTTCGCCGTTGTTTTCCTCTTCCGAAGACGAGAAGCCAAAGCCGATGAAATCGTTGTTCTGGGTCACTTCGTTGCCCAGACCAGCCACTTTCTGGCGTTTTCTGGGCGGCTCGGGCGTGTTTTCCGCCGCGCTTTCGCCAGCATCCTCACCATCCGATTCCACTACCACTAGGTCGCTTTCATCGTCATTTTCCGACGACTCCACCAAAACAACGTCACTTTGGAACGGTGATTTTCGGTTATACGCCGGGCTGACAGGCCGACTTTTCTTGCGCCGACTGGGCCCAGTTTTCTTTGACGCGTTCATGACGGTTCTGTTTTCCCGAAGCTCTGAAGGCTCTGCCTTTTGTGCCGACGGTCTTTTTGGGGCCATCGAGAACTTGGCGGTCTATCGATTTTGAGACGAAGATGAGATTACCTTGGACTCATCAATATGAGGCAGCACCCGTACACCAAGACTGTGATGCTTTTTCTCTATGCTGGTTGAACTTGGTCACGTGAGCTTCCAAGGCTGGCAGACGGGCCATGCGGTTTCCCAAAACAGGTTATGTGTAATTCCTGGGCAGAGAATGAGAAGAGCAAACTAAAAATTTAGTTTTCCCAAATAGGTGACGCCCACCTTATTTTGCTGTATTCATAGGAGCAGCGCAATGGGGTACAAATCACCAGAAGCGAAACGAGGTAAGAGCCAGGATTATCTCATGGAATATTGAAAATCCACAGAAACAGCTGGAAAGCTTAACATATCGAGTAACATGGTGTTTGGAGTCTTCTGTCAGCTTCAACATTCGCTTGTGCTCTACGAGCCCAAATCAAAATGATTCAAAGCAAGACTCTGGGGTGAACTTTACTTTCGTCTCCATCATTTGTACAATTGTGGAAATAATCGGCCATGCTCAGTTTGGTTGTCGGCCAGGACTGTTGACTGCCATTTTTTCCTGTCTCGCAATGATTTGGCATCTCATTCTCGTTCTGCAACACCTCGTATATTTGTGCGGCCTCGTAAATGTGCCCGCATACCGCAAAAGTAGCGAGCGTTTTTTGCGCTTTCAAGCTGCGAAATTGTTGCAGGGTACTCACCGCCATTGGCTCCACTTCCGGCTTCGTGGTCGTGCAGAACAATAAAACGCAGCACTAGAAGGCGGATAAATGATCTGATGGCCAAAATTTGGCACCACTTCCCTCGAACCTAATCAAGCAGGAGAATATTTTTTTGCGTCATAATTTCAAAGTTTAGTTTGCCATCGTCAATGTGCATCTATGGTCCGCGATATACATATCGATCAAACACAGTCATACAGTTTCGCCAACTAATAATGAGTTATCTTCCCGGGGCCTTGTGTCGGACGTATTATGCGTGATTCTAAAACTGCATCTTTCATGCTTCCCTCCGAAAAAAGGATATTTATGGTTCACAACACCTTGACGCCCCTAGCTTCTCTAGGATTTTCAAGTAATATGAGAATCCGCAATCTAATACAGTTGGTTGCCGCTTCTGGCTTGGCGTTTTCTGGTTATGCTCCCCTACCGATTCCATGTCCAGAAAAGGATACGTTTATTCGTGCCGGGGACTCAATTTCCGACCAGGAGGCCGCATGGCTCCAGGCCCGCCACGTCAAAACAGATGCTGCCATCGAGGCCTACCTCGAGCGGGTAGGCGTGCCATACCCCCCGGAATTGACTCTAGACAGTGAAAAGAGACATCGCCCCATCAAAATAGGGCTTGGGTTCTCGGGTGGCGGCCTTCGTGCTTTGTTTGTTGGCGCAGGCGAAATGGCTGCCATTGACAATCGCACCACATTAGCCAATGAAAACGGTCTTGGCGGGATTTTACAGTCAGCCTCCTACATAGCCAGTCTTTCCGGAGGAGCATGGCTTCTTGCATCGCTCATACATCAAGACTGGCCCCCAGTGGAGGAAGTATTGTTTGAAAACTCATACAACATCTGGAATTACACGGCTTGGAACACTTTTTTCGTCAAGTCAAGGCCCATGGAGTTGTTGCATAGTTTGGCGTCCGGCGACTATGAGGAAGCTCTCACCCATGTCCCCTGGTGGAACTCGCCGAGGGGAAAAGGACTTAAAACCGACTTGAAGCTTAAAAAGAATGCTGGGTTCCCCGTGTCTCTGACAGATGCTTGGGGCAGGCTTATGGCGCACTCATTATTCGAGAAGGATTCTGACAACTGGCTTGAATCTGCAACTTGGGCAGGCATTCGAGAGATCCCTGCATTTGCCAACCAGGATATGCCGTTCCCAATTATCACTGCGTTGGCACGTAGTAAAAACTCCACCAAGTACGACATAAACTCCCCAGTCATCGAGTTCAATCCGTACGAAATGGGCTCTTTTGGGACCGCAGTCAACACATTCCATGACATAAGGTACTTGGGTACCAATGTTTCGAACGGTAAACCTCAAGGTGAATGCTACACAGGTTTTGACAACGTTGCATTTGTGGTGGGCACATCCTCGTCTCTATTCAACCAGTTTCTCAATACCTTGGTATGTCCAGGATGCACACAACTAAACAAAATTGTCAAATATGTCGTGGAGAAATTTTTGAAATTTGTTTCCAGACGTCTACTCGACGTGGCCTGGTACCGACCCAGTCCATTTTATGCTTCGGAGTATGCGGCATCTAGAGACATCGCCGAAAGCGACACCTTGTATTTGATGGACGGAGGCTTGGCGGGCGAAGTGGTGCCTTTATCCACGTTAGCAGTGAAAGAAAGAGAGCTTGACCTTGTCATTTCATTCGATAACAACGGCCCCGAATGGCCTGATGGCAAGTCTTTGGTCAGGACCTATGAGATCCAATCCACTGAAGAGGGAGCCTCCACAGTGTGCCCCTATGTGCCCGGCCAGTCCTCGTTTTTGTACTTCAACTTGACAACAAAGCCAACATTTTTTGGGTGCGATGCTAGCAACTTGACTGCGTTGGTAAAAGACGGCGTTGTACCACCTTTGGTGATCTATATGGCCAACCGCCCATATGAATACTTTTCAAACACTTCCACTTTCAAGTTCACGTACACCGACAATCAGAAAAAGGGTATGGTTGCAAACGGCTTCGACATTGCGTCACGAAATAACATGACACAGCTCAGAGGCCACTTTCTGGACGAAACAGACGAAAAAATCGAAACAGACGCCGAAACAGCATACCCTTATACAAGCGGCCTCGAGCCGGACTCATTGCCTAATTGGCAAACTTGTGTGGGATGTGCTATAGTGCGCCGGGCCGAGGAACGAAGCGGCGTACGCCAGTCCGACCCGTGCAAGAAGTGCTTTCAACACTATTGTTGGGATGGAAGAGTTTATGAAGATGCTGCCTATAGACCGCCTGTAAATTTCACTGATGATGGGTATACGAACGAGCCAATGGTGCTTGATAAACACAATGTGTATGTTCACCAAGAAAGCCCAACAAATGCACTTACAAACAAGCTTTTTCCTTGGCTTTCAAAGAACATACCTTGGTGGCCATTTTGAGAAATGTACTAACAAAATCTTGTTCATAGGGTTATAACCGCGGCAACTGTCAAAGTAGTCCAAAAACCCACAAGGTGCATGCGGTAGTCGTCGTGAAGAGAGCTTTCGCCGGCGAGACAAACCGCATTGCCGAGTTTTAAAGCAGTAATCCACCAAGCGTTGATATGAAGTGCAAAATATTCGAGCAAAGCCAAGTTTATAATATAGGTACATCGAATCAACCTTAGTTTGTGAGTAGATATCTTGAAAAGAGCAGAAGTGTATCTTTGTTCCTGTGGTTTCCTTTCGTTTTCCGAGAATAGTAAGTTCAATGTTCCGATTGCGTCAACCTCATCATCTTCCAACTCATCCAGATCCGTCTCATGTTTTGAGATTGAGTTGGGCTCGCTTGTGCTTTTGTGTATGGAGAGGTTCCCCATTTCGACAATGGTGGCCCCTGAGCGGCTTCGATGCCGCAGCAGAATGAGTCTGCTCCATTTGATCGAGTCCAAAAACTCCATCAACATTTTTGGAGATGGTTTAGGTGTACCTTCTTGGCCCTTTATCATCAGATAAACCAACATCTTGAAATCGCCCAGTATGGAAGAGACTTCCCCTTTCAAAGCGAGAGTCTTCTTGTCAAACCAGGCGTCGAACAGCTCTGGAGTAAGCTTTCTATGCCATCTTTCGATGTTTGCTCTCACGGATTCAGGATTTCCATAGTCAGTGATAAGATCTGAAAATGGAAGCTCACCGACGTATAAGAAACACAAAATCATACCAAGCGAGTATATGTCACTATCGTAATCAAACTTGTGCGCAAATTTGGGTTTCCCGTCCAGGTCATTGGTCTTATCAAAGATCCAGAGTTTGGGATCGGTGAACTCCAATGTGCCCGTGTTTCCTTGTCTCTCTTCATCTACAGCTTCAAATAAACTGTTGGGCCGTTTCTTATGTAAGAATTTGCCTTCACCAAAGTCAGAAACGAGAACTTTTGGGAGCAGGGATACGGCCCGTTGGAAGTCAGCCTCCAAAAGCACGGAGTCATGCAGCGGTACCACTGTTATGTCATACCTTGACTCCAAGAGACAGTTTGAGGGCTTGAGATCACGATGGAGAATGCCGTGAGCATGCAAGTACGCCACAGCAGTGGTGATGTCGGCAAAGAATTTCCAGACCTCTAGATCCGAGAGCCATGGCTTCGCGTTCGCATGCACATGATCCTCTCTTCTATCTCTACGCCGTGCCCTCTCGGCATCGACCCGCTGCTTCATGGACATTGTCTCCAAACGCATGAAGTTGGAAGTGAGCACGTGCTCGAGGTGCCCGCCGTCGCAGTACTGCTGCAAGATAAAGACGTAAGGCACTGTATCCACAGAATGGGGATCTCTGTCAGGGTCCAAGATGTACGTGGGCAGGTCATGAAGGTCGCCGTATTCCATCCACACGTGGTTGTAGCGGATCAAGTTGTGCTCGCCAGCGCCCGCGGCTGAAAGCTCGTACAATATCAACACCTCATTGAGCACCTGGTCAAGGAAGTGCAAGTGGTCGCCCACGGCAATGCGCTTCACCGCAAAAACGCCGAGCTCAATACCTTGAAGCACATGCGCTACCTTGTACACCTGTGCGTGTGCCCCGCACCCCAAGACGCCAGGTGGGATCTTGCGGAAGAAGCGCTCGAAGTAGCCCTGGTTGAACATATCCGATGCCGGTGACTGGGTCTTGGTATTCGGGCTTTCCGCCGCCTCCAAAGTGCGGGCTTTTGCCGCCGGCCGCAGCACATAGGGAAGCTCCGCGAGCAACAGGAAGTAGTCCTGATGCATGAAATTGGCCGGTCCCAGGGCACCGAAAAAGGGCGAGAAGTCAGGCATCTTGCGGCCCTTCTCAGAACTCATATTGCGGGCGCCAGGCAGTGGCCGCCGGGGCCGGGAAAAGCCATGTGGGCCGTCATTTCCATTGAAAATGCCCGCCAAATCAGCCCCACACGAGGGGCAACAGGGAAGGTCTGGGCTCAGTGAGAAGGGGCGTTTGGGCGCCGAAAGCGGGCCGGAATAGGATCCATGCAGGGATTGCTCTCCGTGAGAATCTCCCTGGTGGCTGCCATAAAGTTCCACGCTATTCTCCAGGTTGTTATGAACCACCAAAATCTGGCTTTCGCGGTCATGGTACACGATGCGGGCGCGGTAAGGCACCACGGACATTATGGAATTGTATTTCGTTTTTGCCAACCCTGAACAGTTGTTTAATAATTGAGATTTGTGGAGCCCGGTCCAGTCAGAACGGTATATGTTTGCTTTTTTTTGCTTTTGTTTGGCTTGAACTGTACGTTGTTAGTGGTGAGCAGATCATCCGATATTCGCGTGCGATGAAAGCCGAGTACCCCAGGTTTTGTCACGTGACCCGACGGGTGTCACAAAGGCAGGGCTGCACTAACGGCTCATAGAGGCTCTGCCAAAGCATCCCCAATCATCACAAATTTAATCGAGCCTTAGTCGGTCATGGTGTCATATTATACCCAGGAAATGTACGTGATTTCATCACAAAAAGTCAGTAGATGCCCAACAATATAGCTTTTCACATGTACTAAGACGATATCAAAAAAGAAAAAAAAAAGTGAGCTAGTGATGGAGCAGTATGGACAGAAGTTATTGATACAATGGTGTGGTCTGCCAGGCGGTCATCCCCTTACTCTATTCTAGTTCTTTACTAGTACACAGCTCCAGTAAAACTCTCTCCCGCCATAGCGACAGGGTGCGGCTGGACCAAGACATGTGGTACGCACGTGACCACCAATTCTAATAGAAGAAAAGCACGTGACCACTTAGCTCAATAAAAGATATACGAGGTGCAAATGAATTGTTTGATGCAAAATATGACATGCAGAGTTTCCGCCAGAACACCTGACCAGAAACAAATTGTGGTAGAAAGTGGATAATGCTTTATCGTGCGTGAGCTTCCGTTTCGCTCGCTTTGCTTTGTTTTGGTCATTGGTTCCACAGATTGCCTTCATCCAGACAACATTTAGCAGCATATACATGCCACTATTAGAGTGCCTCTTCAATAGCTTTTCAAAATTAATTAAGGTCTGGCTTAGAGAAGACAATGACATGGTCAGATTCCCAGATCCACATTCGATGCTACCAAACAGTCCAATGCATTGTTTTCTGTCTCGGAATATTCTTTGTCATTAATTCTTGTCATTATATCCCCTACTCCTTCGCACCTAAGGCCCTTGAGCCGGCTCTACGCATGCGAAGGATGAACTCCATCATCCTTGTTTCCAAATCGTATCGCTCCTGTTCAGGAAGCATTGCTAAATCAGCGTCGTCAAATCGACCGAACACTTCGTGTAAGGCCATAGCTTTGGCTCTGATGCCTGTTCGTGGTTGCTCGCTGGGGCAATTTTCCTCCACGGTGGCGAGTGCCAATGTGCCTTTGTGTTTCTCTTTTTGCCTCAGCATTGCAAAAGTGTCCAGCAGATCGTCACTTGTATTATTGGCTGTGGACTGGCCTTGGAAATACACTTGGCCCGGCGTATAATCTTGGCTCAACCTCCGTCTTTCCTCCGAGCTGGAGACCACATCAGTGTTCTTTTCTGGATTCTCGCTGCGTTCTTTTTCCCTGCTGCTTTCTTCTGAATCGCTCACCTGCTTTATATCATCGTGCATAGTTTTTCCGTGACTCAAATCCTCCAGATCCCGATAACAAGTCTCGTCTAGGTGTTTTTTTTTGTTCTGCCTTGTTGGCTCTTTGGAGTGTTTTCTTTTAGTGCCTTTGGAAACCAGCTCCCGTACCGAATCTTTTGGTGTATTTTTCCCGTTGTCTTCGAGATTTAATATGAAAGATTCTTCGTTTCGATGATCAACATCTTTCTCAACTGAATCCAGTGATCTCTTCTCAGTATCAGCTAGAGACTCGGTGGTCGTGGAATCCTTCTTCTCAAGCCATAAAGTGAGATTTGTCGAAGCTTGGAGATAGTCAGGCTCATGCGTTTTGGTATGGTTCAAATCACTTTCATCCCGCTGTATAGTATCGTTGATGGGTTCTTCTTTTTCAGCCAAACATTGAGAATCATCCAGCGATATTGGTGAAATAGATTCAACAAATTGTTTTTCAGATACTTCGGATGATTCCTCCTCCGAATTGCGTTTAGTTGTGGTTACAAGCAATTCTGGGTTGTCTCCTTCCGGCTCTGTGGGTGATGGTAAAGTGCCAAACTTTTGAATCCAAGCAGCACTCAATTTAGGTAACAAGTCCCATCGGTTATCAATCACATCCTTGAGTTCCATCTGAGATTCAAACGCTGCCACAAGCAATTCATCCAATAACACAAAGCTGGAATCGAGATTTTTCACATATTCTGCCCATGAGACTCTCAAACTCCGTGCCGTCTCTGAAGATCCAGAACGCAGCACAGCTGCAACGATTTGTTTCTTCAAATATGAAATTTCAAAGTCAAATCGATTCACTAAAAGAGCTTCTGCGACCTGGTCAAATTCTCGAGACTCTTTTGACCTTTGGTCTATCAAACTCAACGTTGCTTGCTTCAAATGATCTGATGGGGCGTCATGCATTAACACAATGAAGAAGTTGAACACGTTGACGTTCCAATTCACAATATCAACCTCCGCGAGCATTGTTTCGAATTCATCAGCTTTCAAAAGAACGATTTGCTGGATGATTTTTTTTGCGATATGGCTGAAATCATGTGATATGACTTGGAACATGTGCCCAATCATTTTCATCTCGTGAGTTGTGAACTTGCTCAGTCTCTTTCTGTTTAGAATATCGGCGATAAAGTCGATCACATCAGCTTTGTGAAACTCCCGGTTGACTTTGTCTAGCATGAACAAGAACTTGAGGTTTTTCTTTTCCCCAATAGAGCTGTACCACATACCAAGAATGGAATGTATCTGGTCAGTCGCAAGCAGCCGCAAGCAGTGGTACAAAATCGGCTCGATCACAGATTTAGTATCTTCAGTCAAAGACAAAAGGTTTACTGCACCAAATGTGTCGTTGAGGCTCAAAATAACGCGATTCAAATGATCATAGGATACATCGGACTCGTTGAGCATAGCCTCGAGACAAAGCGGCAAGTTGTCAATGAGGTCAAATGTAGTGTTTGAGATTTGGACCTCCTTCTTCGTGGCATACTTAATTGCATCCAAGAAACAGAGAAACTCCTCGGACTTGGCGCCGAAGCTCAAGTGCTTCAGTTTAAGGGTAAGCAAAACGATCGGCAAGACCTTGTCGAAACGAAGATATATCCAGCGAGGATTCAAAGAATTGATTTCGGAAAAGCTGATGGGATCATTGTGCAAACAACGAACACCAGATGATTTTTCCGTTATGGGAAGAGAGGGCTTGAGAAGCTTGTTCACGACAGATAATCCCAAGTTGCTCATATAGGAATTGGATATATCCTTTTTGAAATAGAAACTGAGCAAGACGGGCTGAATGATCCTGTCCCAGATGGTTTGAAAGTACCTCGAATTGAGCTTCGGCTGATAACCAAGCAAGCTGTAAAGAATGGAGAGAAAGCAGTTGTGTAAGCCATCTATCAACTCTTTCTTGGTATCCAAGCTCGAGATGCCCATGAAGGGGTGTATGAGAAGCCTGATTTTCTGTCGGAGAGCCTCTTCCGTCTTCCCAATGAGCTTTGAGTTGGGGTTCAGGAGGCTTTTGCCAGGGGAATCGATCGACGAAGGCGCAAACCAACGCAGGTCTTTGAGATCATGGCAGCAGACTTTGTACACAATGACTTTCCACGACGAGATGGCGGTTTCCTTCGCCAGAGCAGAAGTCTCGTTGAAGCACATTTTCTGCACCTGGAGCCAAGTGCCGATGTGCTTCCAATTGTCGAAGCCGCCCTCGGGCTGCCCAAGAAGGAGCGTCACGCCCACCCAGATATCCATGGCATACTTGTAGAAGCCGTCGAGGATCAAGCTTTTCAAGCTTGCGACCACATAGTCCACGGCCAAAAGATCATTGTTCTGCTGGGTGGACCCGCCACCCGAGCCCCAAAAGCTCAGGCTGGACGAGAGCGGGGACTCCATGAACGAGCGAATGTAAAGACAGCTGTCGTTGTTGTCGAGGTAATTCCGTGCTGCTTCGAGAAGCACGGTGATGCCCGTCGCGACCACCTTGGGGTACAAGGCGAAGTCCAAGTCGCAGAGATTGACGAGCAAGCCTGGAAGCCAGTGGTGGAGGTGCCTGGCCAGGACCGCGGGGAAGTTGTTGATGATGTTGCGCAAGGCAATGAACCTCTCGTTGATCAAGGACGCGCTCAAGTAGTTGTGCATGTTCAAGACGGCAAACAACATTTTCTCCAGGATCGGGTCCGGGCAGCTCTCGAAGAGGAGCTTCCGTTTCTTGGAGGGGAACGGGCAGTCCTTGATGATGCTCAAGTACGGGGACACCAACATCTTCGAGAGCGTGGGGCGGACGACGGCGTCGCACGCGCGGGTGTAGAACCACTTGATGTCCACGGCCGGAATAAGACTGTTGGTCAGGGGCATGGCTAAAAGGTAGGACACGAGCTTGACCGCCTGCGTGAGGGCGCGGGCCTCGAACGGGTCGTTGCGCACGCCCGCGAGCACGGGTGACTCGGGCTTGACGTGGAGCCGGGCCTCGATCAGTTCCGTGTCGCGCTGCGCGTACCGGCAGATGGTCTTCACGGAGGCCGGCGAGGCGCGGGGCGCATAGCCCGTCTCCTTCTCGACGGCGGCGAGCCACGCGGAGGGCTCCCCCGAAAAGAGGTCTGCCAAGGTGCCGGGGTCGTTGGCGCGGCAGACGAGGTTCAACGTGGCGTAGACCTCGAACTTCCGGTCGAACGCGGCGTCGCCCAACACGGCCACGCATCCGTCCACGAGTTGCGGCAAGTCGGGCGACTTGGGCTCGAGCTGGATGATCGTGCCCGGCTGCCAGAACCGCGGGTTGCTGGGCGCGTGGCTGGCGGTCAGGAACTGGTGCAGCAAGCAGCGCGCGGTCTTGACCCACGCACTGGAGTTGTTGGGGTCGGCCGGCGCCGACGCCGCCGCGCCCGTGGGCGGCTTGAGAATGGAGCGCCGCGGGGTCGCGCCGCCGCCGCCGTCCCCGACATAGGGCGACATGGGCGAGCTGGGGTCGTCGTAGGCGAGGCTGTCTGAGAAGGCCACCGATTTCGCCGCCCGTTTTCTCGGCAGCGACAGCGGCTGCGCGGCGGGGGCAAATGTGCCGGCCCCGATGCCCGGCCCCGCGGCCGGCTTCCTGATCGGAGACAGGTCCAAGTCCGCGGCGGCACGGGGCGCGTTGAGAGCCAGAGGCCCGGCGGCGCTGGGCAGTCCCAGGGCCGGTTCCGGGCCGATTTCCGGCGGGCTGGCGGCCCCGCGCACGGGGAGCGGCCGCGGCATCGCAGGCGCCTCTCCGAGACCGGCGGGGCGGCCACCGGTGGCGCCAGGGGGCGGTGCCGAGGCGTGGGCGGACGGCGGCACGGCGCGCCGCGCGCCGGGCGGCTTTGCGAGCCGTTTCAACGGCGAGTCCTCGTCGGCGGGCGGCGCGCCCGCGGCGTCGTCGAGCGTCAAGTCGATCACGGGCGAGTGGGCCCGGGCGCCGGGCGTGCGGGGCTTTTTGCTGCGCTTGCGGGGAGTGCCCGGCGTGGCCGGCGCCTGCTGCGCGGCGCGGAGGAGGGCCAGGCGGGTGCGCGGCTTGGCGGGCCGCTGGGCCGGCGGCGGCGTGCCGTCGGTTTCGGCGTGGCGGCGGTTGCTTGCCGTGTCGAAGGACGCGCCGAGCGCGTGGTCGCGCGCGGCTAGCGAGGCCATGCTGGGGCGTGGCCGGCGCAGGTTTGGTTTTGTGTTTGTGGCTGTTTTTTTTTTGCCGTTCGGGGGCTTCCGGCCACACGTGCGTTTGTCGGGTCCAGGGGCCGGGTGGGTGTGGCGAGGCGAGGTGTGGGGAGGCAAAGAGGATGTTTCTGCGAAGGGGATGGTTCTGCGAGAGGGCGGGAACCAACAGGCCGGAGCTGGCGCACGACTCGGGGGAAGAGCCTGGGCGGGCGCGTGGCTGGGGCGGGGTCTAGGCAGGGCGCGTCGGGCCGGGTTCCGCCGGCGAGTCCACGTGTTGTATGAGGCAGTGTGCGGCCCAGTGAAGAAGAAACAAGGAGTAGTGGTGGGTGCGGTTCGCGGTGTTGCGTCTTGTTAAGAGAGCGCGGGGCGCGCACACGTGTCACGTGGTCCCCGCCAGGTGGCGCCGTCTCACGAGGCAAGGGAAAATGCTTTAGGACAGAGAAAGTGTTTTGTGATTTTTTTCTGTTTGTTTGTGTTTGTTTTCTGTTTGTTTGTGTTTGTTTTGTGATTTTTGTGTTTGTTTTGTGATTTTTGTGATTTTTGTGTTTGTTTTTCTCCTCCAGGGGTTTGGAGAAGAGCAGTATTCTGAGTGTTTTTGGGGAATAGTATTCTAAGGGTCCTAGTCCCGTCCATGCTTGAATTGGGAAATCTGATCTTGAGAGCGCGGCGCCGAAATATCGCGCGTGGCCCTGGGGCGCGGGGCCTGGCTGGCACGTCATATCCGCCACGTACTCACCTTTATGTTGGATGAGTATTAGAAATAGTTCTACTATTTTATGGGAACATGGATTTTAGAGTGAGAGTCACTGATGGCATTTTTAGGAAAACACTGTCCTTGAGAGGGGTTTTCTGTATTTCTCTTTAGGGGTGTAGAGAAGAGCGGTGCTCCAGCGGTCCGAATACCGTCCATACTTGAATTGAGAAATCGGGCATTGAACCTGGCGCTGGGGCTGACATTGAGACTGGCGCTGTGTCACGTGGTATCCGCCACGTAGCCCCCTCTCGCGTGGCACGGTAAACTTTAGTACAAAGAAAGTGTATTCTGTTTGTTTTTCTTCTCCAGGGGTTTGGAGAAGACCAGTACTCTAAGTCTTTTCAGAGAATAGTAGTATTCCAAGGGTCCTATTACCGTCCATGCCTGACCGAGAAATCCGATATTGAAAGCGCGGCGCCGAAAAGTCGCGCCTGGCCCTGGGGCGCGGGGCCTCTCCAATATCAGACTTCTCCTTTCAAATATGTACGGGGCTCAGCACTTCCAAAATTCTGCTAAGCTCTCGAAACACTTGAAATACGGCCATACTCGGGAAACACCAAAGAGGAAAAAAACAGGGAACCCTTCTCTTAAAGAGCATTTTTTCCGTGGCCACGCGAGACTACGTGGGGAGATCACGTTACAGGCCTGGCGCTGGGCCCGGGCCGCGATGCCGGCTGCGAAAAAGCGCGCGGCGGACCGCAGGGCCAGCACGGCTGCGAAACATCGGTTTCACCTCAAGCCCAGCCAGAAAAGACAGGCCCAGCGTGAGATGGAAAAATGGGCGTGGGGTGGAAACTTATGGCGCTGGCGCTGGCCGGGGATTTCTGCACATGTGCGCCGGTGGCCCGGCAAGCATTTCTGCGGCCCGTCTTGCATGGTGCCTGCGCTTGGGGTACAATTTCCCAAGAACCGCTTTAAGGTGCAATTTTCCAGGGACCGTTTTGGAATGGAGATATCTGGGACCGTGAGGCCTGAATGGCGCAAAGTGGCATCGTGAAGGTATTATCGAGTGGCGTTTTGAGGGAACTCTAGATGGCATCTCCTTCAAAGTTCTGGATGGCATCCTGGAGGTGATTCTGAATGGCATCTCCATTACAATTTTAAATGAATTCTCCAATGGAATCTTCAATTTTCCAATGGCACCATTGGTTCTTCGATGGAATCGCCACTGAAGTTTCAAGACATCTTCAATTGTATCTTGAATTCACCAACGGCATTTGCAATTCTCCAACGGCATCCTCGATTGTCCAATGGCATCTTCATTGTCTTGTTATATGGCATGTTGAATAAAATCGAGCGTGGCTTCTCCACTGGAGTTTTGAAACGCATATTTAATTGCATCTTGAACTCCCCAATAGCATTTTGATTGTTTTGCATGGAGATCTGCGATAGAATTCCAGTGGGATTTCGAATGGCATTCTCAATTGCGTCATGAGAGCCATCTTGGATGGCATCTCGAGGGGATTTTCAAATGTCATCTTGAAGGGGATTTCGAATGGCATCTTGTGGGAATTCTAAATGGCATCTCCATTAAAATTCTGGATGTCATACTGGAGGTAATTCTGAAGGGCATCTCCATTAAACTTTTAAATCGCATTTTTTTTCAATTCTCCAATGGGACCTTCTTGGTCTTGTTATATGGCATCTTCAATGAAATCACGCGTGGCTTCTCCACTGGAGTTTTGAAAGGTATATTTGATTGTATCTTGAATTGAATCTTGAATGGCATCTCGAATTGCATCCTCAACTCTCCAATGGCATCTCCAATGGCATCTCCAATGGCATCTCCAATGGCATTTTTATTGGAACCATGCATAGAGATCTGCGATATAATCCCAGTGGGATTATTCCATTCTGATTGTGTCATGAGAGCCATCTTGGATGGCATCTCGAGGGAATTTCAAATGTCATCTTGAAGGGAATTCTGAATGGCATCTTGACGAGATTTCGGAATAAACTCATGAAGGGAATTCCATCTTGGAGGGGTTTCTGGAGGCATCCTTCGTTCTCCAATGACATCCTCACTCTCTTGTTATATGGCATCTTGAATGAAATCATGAATGGGATCTCCACTGGAGTTTTCAGGTTTCTTGAATTGTATCTTGTATTGCATCTTGAACTCTCCAACGGCATCTTCAATTCTCCAACGGCATCCTCAATTCTCCAACGGTCTTGAATCAAACCATGCATGGCATCTCCAATGGAATTCTAAATCGCATCTTCAGTTGCATCTTCAATTGCACCTTAAACTTGATTCTGAATTGCACCTTGAATGACATCTGAGTGACATCTGAGTATGTGAAAATCCGATTTCCTTGCTTATGGCATGGTAAAAGGCTTTCTTCAATGGCACCGCCAATGGTATCGCCAATCACATTTTGATTGAGATGATGCATGGAGTTTTCCGATAGAATAATTTCCATTGCGTCATGAATAGTCTCTTGATGGCACCTCTATTGCATCTTGGTTGCATCTTGAGTGGCACCATGAATGGTATGTAAATGGAACTCTGAATGACATCCTAATGGCATTTTGCATGTCACCTTGATTGACATGTCCAGTGACATCTCCAGTTCTCAAATGGCATCTTCATTGTCGTGTTATGCGGCGTTTTGATTAAAATCATGAATGGCATCTTCAACTGCTTCTTGAACTGCATCGTCAATTGTATCTTAGACTGGATTCTGATGTGCATCTTGAATGACATCTGAGTGGCTCGTGGAAACCCTGATTGGCTGCTGTATTGCATCATGAAAAGCTTTCTTTAATGATATCTCCAATGGCATCCTGAATAAAATCATGCATGGCAGTCTCCAGTAGAATGACTGGCACTTCGAATTTCATCTTCAACTGCGTCATGAATGGCATCTTAGTGGCATCATGAACTGCATCTTGAATAGCATCTTGATGACATCATGAATGGCATATCTAATGGCATCTTCATTGCCATCTTTTGGTCTTGGATGGCGTCTTGGTTGGCGTCTTGGATGCAATCATGGATTGCGTCTTGAATGCATCTTAAGAATTTTGATTTGCATCCCCAATGTCTTCTCCAGTGACATCTTGTCGGCACCATGAATGGAATTGCCAATGGGAGTTCGAGTTGCATCATAATGACATCTTTGTTTTGTTATATGGCGTCTTGAATGAAATCATGCATGGCATCTCCAATGGAATTCTGAGTCGCATCTTGAATGCCATCTATGGCACCTTGAATGGAATCTATGGCATCTTTAATGGCTTGTAAAAACCCTGATTGGCTTCTTATTGGGTCTTTAATGTCTTATCCAATGACATCTTGCCAGCGTCACGAATGGCTCTGCCAATGGCATCGTTTATTCATGCATTAAAGATGGTAATAGTTGCTGGCAATAACTGTCTCTGGCAATGTTTCATAAAATAATGCAAGTCTACATCCTGGGCTCGAGGACACATATGCTATTTGCTCCAAACAGATGCAACAAAAGACGAGTCCCTCGTGTACTCCGAGGCCATATACTCAGCAACGCCATCTTTCCGTCTTGCCTTCTGTGTCTAAAAAAACCATGATCTAGGTAAACAACAAAGGCCTGATCTTCCAAGCCTTGTTCAAAAAAAGTGGCATGGTCTGTGATCATGGCATCTCGGATTGAATCTCAAGAGCATCTTGAGTGCCATCTTGATGGCATCTTGAATGGAATCATGAATGGCTTCTCCATTGAAACCAGGAATGGCATCTCCAATCGAATTACATCTCAATGGCTTCTTGAATGGAAACTTCAATGGAATCTTCAATGGCATCTTCATTATCTTATATGGAGTCTTTATTGTCACCATGATTTTACCTCGATGGCATCTGCGATTTTATCTTCAATTGCGGCTTCAATTGCGGCTTCAGTTGCGGCTTGAATGGCATCTTGAGTGGCACCTTTAATGACATCTGAGTGGCTCGTGAAAATCTGATTGCCTTGTTTATGGCATCATGAAAGGCTTTCTTTGATGGCACCTCCAACGGAATTTCCAGTTGCATTCCCAACTACATCTTAATGGCACCTTGAATGGCACCTCAAATGGCACCACAATTGTCCAATGGTACTTTATTATCGTATATGGCGTCTTGAAGGGCACCTTGAATGGGTCATGAAGCCATGATTGGCACCTTGAATTGCAATTCAATGGCATCTTGAGTTGCATCTTCATCCCAATTGTCCAATGGCGTCTCCATTGGATCTCCGCCGACGTGTCCAGTCTCCCACACTTCCAATGCCCGTCCAACGGCCCGGGCAGCTCTTTCCTGCTGTTGCATTGCCCTCATGTGCCCGTGGGTTGCTCAGGCGGTATGAACCTCCACGAACACAAAACGTCTGGGGGCGTGGGTCGGGTCTGCTTCAGGGCCCTTGGGCCTCACACGGCGGGGCGGCGCGGGCCTTCTTTGCGGCGGTGCCGTCGTCGTCCTCGTCGTCGAGGGCCCGGGCACGCTTACGGGGATCGGCCACCGCCTGCGCCGCGGTGCCCGCCGATTCCAGGCCAGGCACCATGGCCACGCGGGACTGTGCGATGCGGTCACCCAGGCCCTCTGGGGCGTCCGAGCCAACGGCATCTGGGGCGTCCGAGCCAACGGCATCTGGGGCGTCCGAGCCAACGGCATCTGGGGCGGCCGAGCCAACGGCATCCGGGGCGCTGCTGGAAGAAGCACGGATCACCGATTCATTCTTCACTTCCTCCAGCAAAGCCAGCGTGTCAGCGGCTGCTGGAGAGGCATTGCCGGATTGCGCGTCGGGGACCAGAGGATTCTCGGGGGACGCCGACTCTTCATGTGCGCTTGGCCCGTGCTGGGCCTTCTCCAGGGGCATTTCGTCCAGCAGTTTCTCCTCCAGCAGATTTCCATCCCGCAGTTTCTCCTCCAGCAGATTTCCATCCCGCAGTTTCTCCTCCAGCTGGGCCGTCTCCAGCAGGGCCCTTTCGTCCCCCGCCGCGTCCCCCGCCGCGTCCCCCGCGTCAAGGGCCGCCGCCTCCAAGTGCCCGTCCAACGAAAGCCACGCCGCGCCGCGCAACGCGCGCGTCTGCTGCCACAACAACACCGTGCGCTCCTCGACCAACGCGGCGCGGGCCGCGGCGTCGTGCTCCGCGTCGATGCGGGCCGCCACCCGCGCAAGCTCCGCCGCATAATCGCGGCCGCCCCGCCGCGCGCCCCGCAAGAGCAGAAGCCCCGTGGGCTCGCGCATCCGGCGCGAGAGCTGTGGCGTCGCGTGCGTGTGGAAGTACCGCCGCGTCTTCTCCGGGGCCGCCGCGCGGAGCCTCTGCTCCGTGGCACGGAGGGCCGCGCCGTCCACGGGCGCAGCGCCCGCCGGCGCGCCGCTCAAGAGCCACGCCCACCAGAGGCCCTCGGCGCGCGCCAAGCCCTCGAGCGTGGCGGCCCAGGCCGGGTCCCACGCGCGCACCACGCGCACGGTATCGCGCCGGAGCTTGGCGAAGCGCGGCACGAGCTCCGGCGGCGTGGCGGCCTCCACGGGGTGGCGGGCCGCGGCGGGCGCGCCGGCCCGCGCGAGCGTGTGCGCCTTGCGCCCGGCCGCGATCTCCACAAAGAAGCAGCTGGCCAAGTAGATCTGCAGGAGGAGCAAGCGCCGGAACTTGGACGAGTCGAAGCGCGCCTGCGCCCGGCGCTGGTCCTCCGCGCAGAGCTCGTCGAAGCGCGCGCCGCTCTGCTCCGCCGCAAACACCGAGAGCCAGTAGTGCTCGGGGAAGAACGCCGGGTCGGCGTGCTGGCGCGCGGCCGCCGCGGGCCCCGCCGCGTGCCCCGCCGCGGGCACGGCCCGCCCGTCCCGCACGGGGTGGATCGCCCGGTACTTGGTCTCCTCGCCGAGCAAGTACGCGTGCAACTTGGCGAGCGCCGCGGCGTGCTCGGCAAGCCGCCGCGGGTCCTGCAAGAGCGCGCCCGGGTCGCGGAGGAGCCCGCGCAAGCGCATGGCGTCCTCGAGCAAGTGGTCGTCGGCGGAGCCCGTGGCGCGGAGCGGCGGCTCGCGGGGCACGCGGCGCGCCGCGCGGAACGCCTTGTTGAGCCCCGTCACGTCGTCAAAGCGGAGCATGGACGCGGCGAACACGCGCACGCGCGCGTGCAACGCGTCGCGGAACGTGTCCTTGGCGTACGAGTCCAACGGGCCGCCGCCGCCGCCGCCGCGCCGCACGTACGGCCGGTCCGTCACGGCGTTGCAGAGGCCCAACACCGCGATGCGGTCCGGCGTGCTGTCGGGCCGGAACACGGTGGCCCGCATGCGCTGCGCCCGCGCCTCCACGTACGCCCAGAACACGCCCAACACGGCGGGCGGCGCGGCGCGCTGCAACTCGTCGCACGCCTGCTGCCACACGGCGTAGAACGCCGGCTTGGCGCCCGCACAGCCGCCGCCGTCGCCGGCCAACGCCATGAGGAGGTCGAGCGCCGTGCAGAGCTCCTGGAGCGGCGGCACCACCGCGGCACACACCGTGTCACGGCCGACGCGCACGCGGCGGCTGGCGGCCGCGCCGCCGGCGCGCCGGACGGCCCGCAACACCCCGGCGGCGTGCCGGGTGAAGCCCATGAGCACCACAAAGTCGCGGGTCTGCTGGCCCACGGACGCGTGGAACGCGCGGGCGGCCGCCTGGGTGTCCTCGCGGGCGCCGGCGGGAGGCGCCGCGGCAAGCGCCGCGGACCACGGGCCCAGCGTGGCGGTGGCGAGCTCGGTCGCAAAGCGCTCGATGGTGTCTGGGCAGTGGGCCATGCCAACGGGCGCCGAAAGAAGCGGCGGCATTTGCTGCGCGGCCGCGGCGGCGCGGACGTAGTCGGCGACGAGCAGCGAGACGCGGGCCACCGCGGGCTCGAGCGGCAGGGGGGGTGGTCCCGGCATTTTTGCGTGGTGTGGTTGTTGGTGGAGGGCGGAAGAAGAAGCCGGCGGGTGGCCATGTCTGTTGCCGGGGCCTGGCGCGGGCCTGGCGCGGGACTGGTGCCGCGCGCACGGGGGCAGCGCCTGCACTCTTCCAGGGCCGCTCGGGATTTCTAGGGCCACGCTCGGGATTTCTAGGGCCACGCTCGGGATTTCTAGGGCCACGCTCGGGATTTCCAGGGCCACGCTCGGGATTTCTAGGGCCACGCTCGGGATTTCTAGGGCCACGCTCGGGATTTCTAGGGCCACGCTCGGGATTTCTAGGGCCACGCTCGGGATTTCTAGGCCTGCGCCCCGTATTTCTAGATCCACGCTGGCTGCTTGCCACGTGGTTTTCTTTCAATGGGCCATGTAGCCACCCCTCCCGTGGCAAGAGAAAAAACTTCCGCACAGCGACAGTTATAACGCAAAAGCGGGCCAGTGGCGGGCCCTCTCCGCCGCTATCTGCCTGCATCCTGCTCTGCCCAATTTACGACGTTAAATTAGTCCAATCGGCCATGTTCTGTGCGCTGCGCTGGATGGCGGCTCGTGCCATGTCATAGGTTCTCCAAACTACGGGGGCTGATGTTCTTGGATATTGTCTGTGCTTGATTTCGACATGTGCGGCAACACAATTGGCATTCGGCTTCAAGGATCAGATTCGTCATCACTTTTGAAACTTACACTCAAAACATTAACGGAACTCAACTCTCTCCATGATGCTTCTTTACTCCTTGGGAAAAATTCATGCTTAAGGGTTTTTGGGTAGTAGTAGTGTTCCAAGGGTCCTAAGTACCGTACATAGTTGAATTGAGAAATATACCTCCAGTGCCGCGCTCGCACTTCCAGGGCCGCGCTGTCCGCCACGTAGTCACCTCTCACGTGGCAAACCTTTCATCTTATTTATGTTCATGTATATTTCAAAGGATTAGTTATCATGTGGTTATATTCCTTTATTTCTTCTTTCTCGAGAAGTGTTGTTCTCTTTCTTTTAAGTTGTCCTTACCCTTTCTTGCTCTAGCTTTGTTCGATTCACCTTCTGTTATGTCATGGTTCATGTCTTGTAAGTTTAGTAATGAATGAAAGTAGTATCATTTATGAATACATGATTGAGATTACGGGGATTAAGTTTGAGAAGAATATATTTTATTTAAATGACCATATTGTTATTTCTCCCTTTGAGACCCGGGGAGCAGTTTTTCCCTTTTTTTCTCCTAATAGGGCTTTTGGATACTAGTATATTAAGGGTCCTACCATACTGGAATTGAGAAGCCTGGTACTGAAACGCGCTCGCTGCTTCTAGGGCCGCGCCCGGTACCCTGGTGCCGCGCTGGCTGCTTCTAGGTCCACGCTCGCTGCTTCTAGGGCCGCGCCCGGTACTCTGGTGTTATCGCATAGGTCAGTCGCATGACCAATATGTGACGGCAGCGAGGGTGAGAAGGTCACGTGGGTCAACACGACGGAGGTATAAAAAAAGACAGGTCGAGGAGGTAGAAAAAAAGTTTTCCGGCTTTAGGATTCAGGTCCACTCCAAGCTGGGTCCGGAGTGATTGGTTGCTAAATAATCAAGAATAGAACCGAAGTCGCGTTCAAATATAGGGCCGCGCTCGCACTTCCAGGGCCGCGTCGTTTCAGTATCAGATTTCTCAATTCAAGTACGTACGGTACTTCGGATCCTTAGAATACTACTATTCTCTAAAAACTTAAAGAAAAAAAGGAGGGAAAAAACTCTCCCTGTACGGAAGTTTTTTTTTCCCTTGCCACGTGAGGGATGGCTACATGCCGGTACCACGTGACACGTCGACATAGTCCCCCACCAGGTCCACGCACAGCCAGCGACACAACAACGACATTGTTCACGCCGCACTGGCCTCCTCCAACGCTATAGCGCACAATGTGGAGGGTGCCTTGAAGCGTCATAATATTATCTTCATAGTACTTTAGATATAGCCGTATATTTAACGTCTTAAGTAAAAATCTATCCTTATAAAAAAGGTATAGCTCACCACTATATAGATGTTTTAATAATATTCATGAACCTATACCCCAAATACCATCTAATCCGATAGAGGATACCGCGGGGCTTATTATTAAAGTTGTTGGCAATTTAGGTTTGTTTTCTTCATTTTACAAGCGTTGACACCCTCTTCCCAGTCCTTTCATTATTTGCTATCCGCATGTCCAATTTATTGAATACGTGATAATGAGTTGTTTAGTATGTGACAACGAGTAGTTCGGATAGCACAATTAGACGGCGCACACCCAAATTAGGTTGAATTAAGAAACGCTCGGGTGAGGTTATCAACATCAATATCAAAACAAGGAAGACAGCTTAACTAAAAAAGAAATTATTTCAAGTAAAACGTAAATACCTTAAAGGGCTAATTACCAAGAACATGATGAAAATACTCTGAGTTAACTCAAAAAGATGCAGTCGGCTCTCCGACAAATGACGAAGCACAAGCGACAACCGCTCGATGGCGCTCACTAAATTTAAATGATTATCAGCGGTCATGATGAAATGGTATTTTTTTGGTAGATTCATCTGATTAAAGGGGCAAAACTATATAACTAATATATATAAAAAACCTTTAAACAGCTCCCACTCCCTACGTTCCCTATTGGACGAGTGTAACTCACAATTCATACTCGGCAGAGAGACAGATAACTACTGCTCTCATAAAATGATATAATCTATTTAAAGAGATAAAAACAACATCGTATGTGCAACCCACAGAAAAGAGTCTTTCGGTTGCGGCCATACCATGCAGGAAGCACTGTTTCCCGTCCGATCAACGTTAGTTAAGCTGCATAGGGCCACACTGAGTAGTGTAGTGGGAGACCATATGCGAAATTGTGGTGCTGCAATCTTTTTTGCATTTTTATTTCTGGTCTGAATTCTCAGGCTCAACCCACCACATGGATACACATTCTTCTCATTATAATTCTTCTCATTATAATTTCTTTACAAGTGTCATGCTCTTGAGTTTTGTAATTTCCAATGTTTAGTATGGATCTGACTTTGGAGGAGGAAGTAAGGACAGAATGTTTTTATATCGGTCGAAGGCACTTCTATAAACTGTTCGTGGGCCTCTTGCAACATTTAATATGCTTTCAATTCAAAATACAGTATACAAGTTTGACAATATAGGAGCTTTGAGTGGAAAAATAGTCTAACTCGAAGGGTTGCTTTCAATATGGCGTGGTTTATCAGTGGAACAAATATAAGTACTGCATTCATTTTCTGGCTGGGGGCACATCATTCTTTTTCAAAGACATGTCTTTGTAATGACTTCAAGTATACACCGATTTGAGGCCGCATATATTACTTAGTTCTGACGATTGACTTTTGAGCATTCTTTCAAAAATAAAAATACTGAACTAAAGCCAGAGATGAATGACCGTCTCAAGGCGTATTGGAGTCCTTAAATTTTAACAAAGTCAGTTCTGTGGAACGTATGTACTGGCTTTTTTCGCCTACACAATAAGAACCTGGCTACATCTAGCTCGAAGAACTAAGCTTAAGATATATTATTTGGACCTTTATATATACTGGTACTTCAGACAGCTTCGGAAACACCCGGTATATTGTGTGAGCGATGCATTAGGATACATTGACGACTTCATAAGGTGCCTCAGGGACTCAACGAAGGTATTTTCGAGAGAGATGATGAAATGATGGCCACAATAATGAACATCCACCAGAGTACAACACACAGGAGTAATATTGAACAGATTGCGTATCTCATACAACCCGAGACCTTGGTGCCTATATTTTTCTTCAGAAGTTGTTGTTCCAAAAAGAGTTCTTCGCAAATCGAAAGACTAACAAAGATTCGAAAAACACCACCATGTATTAGCGAGTCTTGAACTGCATTCCTAATATTTCTTTCAGCACCCCAATACACCATAGGTCAATACCTAAATAAACTCTTGTAGTAAAGACACCGTGAGTTCAAAGTATATTTAGTATCTATTATAATCGACATCTCGTTGATGACTTTCAAACGAATATACACACTGCCGCCCTTCCAAGAACGCACCCGTGGATATAGCTTTTTTGGTGCCGGGAGAACATTTACGGATTGACTAAGCCACAATCATCCACAGCGTCGGCTTTCTTAAGATCGATTGTTAGTATGGTGTCGGCGTCGATTTTCTTCAAATCTTGTTCTGATAGTTCAACCTCATCTGCAGCCCACCCAAGTCAAGTTGCGTTTTCCCGAAATTTTGATTTCCTAAATCAGCATTGTTGCATCCAAAAACCGATGTCGTATGATGTAGGGGATTACGATTATTAGATCGGTTTCTTCCATGTCAAATGACGGCGTTGTTAGTATGGGTTTTTTCGCATACATTAATGGGTCTGCGGCTGCGACACTGCCGAAGATGAACCGGGAAGTGCTTGCAACAAGATGAGCGAACCGAGCAGCCCCAGCTATCAGTTGTTTTTTTTTTGTTTTTTTCTCTTTTTTTTTTCCGGTTCAAAGATGACTAGGAATATCAATTTCAACTGTGACATGGTTAATGGAGTGGAAAGTCGGTCTGACTGCACAATGGCAGAGTCAACAATCAGATCATCAATAATAATTTTCGGGAAGCCGAGCAGGCTAGGTTGTCGCTTGACGTAAAGCTCTCGGAGTATTTCATGTGACCAGGCCAAGTACACCAGCAAAAATTTATCTCTTATGAAGCCATATGCATTGAAAGAGAATGGCAGAGGTCTCGGGTTTCTGTCAAAATCAGTTCTCTGAACGAATGCTCACTCTGGACAGGCCCGAGAAACAATTACTCATAAATCTTGCGGATATTGGACAACAGAAAAGGTCCTGTCTTTGTGTGGCTTGCCTTGCACTTCACAACCACTTTGAAATCAGGAGCTTAGTTTTGCTTGTATGTAAACTGGACTCTTTGGACCATCTTCTGTCTTTTGCAACTACATTCTGGTCTGAGTAAGCATGGCTAGTGTCCAATTGGAGCATGCAGCGGGAAATTTGTCACCGTCTCTGTTGAAACTCTTTTATCCTCCTGCTTCTCAAGATAAACAGACAAGCGTGTTTTCTCACCTCAAAATTACGCAGCCGCAAATCCATGTGTGGGAATGCCTCAAGCACTATTCCATCTGGAGCGGGCAAATTCACTGCTGGATAACAATATTGATTCAAACGCCCGGAGAACCCATCATCCTTAAGTGCTGGGTCAATGCGCTTGCACACTTCTGTGCAGCTCTCAGGAATTATATATCAAACTTCTTACTCCTGGCTTTCTTCTTGTCGCTTTTCCTTTTTTTATCCTGTAGCCTATATTCTTTCAGCAGGGCCGCGAGTTTCTGCCACTTTTTCTTATCTTCCTCCGACGCGTCCTCCTCGAAATATACAACCAGCTTGATTTCCTTTAATAGTTTACGGAAGCATTCGTCGGTGTTCACCTCTCGGCTCCTTGATGTGTCACTTTGAATATGAAGCCCGCCCATTTTTGTCAGGTATCTGAATTTTGTGGCCGCAATCTGACGAATGATCGGGACGGGTATCCACGAACAGATCCTCGGGTTGAGCCATTGGAAGGCTTCGAGCGAGACTGTGGCCTTTGACAGGGTTTTGTTTACTTTTTGGCCGCCGGGCCCAGAAGATCTACTGTACGTTATAGAGAAGGGGTCACGTGGTATGTGTTCCGACTGGAAGTCCCGGAGCCATTTTTTGGCGACCGCAACTTCTTCATTGCTATGAACAGGGCGTGTGCTGTACACTCTGAATTGTGAGAAGCCATATCGGAGCATTGGTATCAGTAGGTTATAAAGGCAAGCTCACGCTGTCACGAACTGTAACCCTTAGCGTTTTGTAGAGCACGAAGGAAGTTTAGTGGGATCAATGCTTTATTTTCCGATGCGCGTGGATGGAGGTTAGGATGTCTTGGTTATGAGAAACTGGTCTGTCTGCAACAGTTGCTCCATCACTTGCAAATTTAATGTACAAGATTTCAAAGTTTCCGTGGGGTAAATTTAGATGTTTCGTGGGATTATGGTCTATGAAAAAGTCTTTCGAGCTGGAGATACTGTTTTGGAGAAGTTTGCTCTCTTATTTACCAATAGATTCTGGCGACTATCGCGTTGTTCAGTAAATAATTGCAAACTCATCAGTTGTCATTATTTTGCACCTTACCAAAAGACAGTGCTAAAAGACAGAGAAAAAACTTATCAACTCGAATAAAACTGAAGATCGGTCCATAAAACATTGTGAAAATTCAAAAAAAAATCCACAAACAGTGTGGATGCTAACGTAGGGACAAACGATACAACGATACATGAGAAGACCACGGGTTTTGAGAGGCGAGCAGAGACATATTATCTCAGATAAAAGAGACTATTTATTACAGTTTTGGCATTGGTCTGGGCTGGGTTGACTGATAGGCCGCATCAATTTAGAGCCATACCTGCCTACCTGCGATAGCTTCGCCATGCATTGTCCCGGTATCCGAAATAAACATTAAAACAAGAAAAAGAAAGCACTCAGGATGCGGTCGGATCAGTCAGCTGAATCCTGACATTACCGAATGCGCAAATGAAGAATCATCCCCTTAAGACATAGCCAGATGCAAGATTTCAGGTCACTCAAGCAGGCGAAAAACCGTTCGGAAATGATATGTTGCTCCCCTGTTTGATGTATTGCTCAATTTGCAGTCACATCATTCTGTTGATTTCAATCCTATTAAGCGACTCAACTTTTTGTCAGTTGACAACGATACTCCGCAAATTGCAACTGCGATACGCAAACTCAAAGAGACAAAATCCCAAAAATTTCTAGAGAGGAAAAGAGGTTGCAGGAATTTCTGCGGGTTCTCTGCGCCTCGAGCAGGTCCCACCCCTTAAACCAGTGTTTCGACTATTTGGAAGTATAACTTCTCCGTGAGTCTGGCAAACGTGCATGCCGGAGGCATCGGTGAATCTCGAAGTCCGGATTACAGTACGCTAAATAAAAGAAGTGCTCTTTCGAAACCAAGTAACATGTATACTGAGAGGAGGCATCAGGAAAGACCCTCACAGCCTCTACGCAAGATTGTCTCATTAATGTGTATTATACGAGTATAGAAGCCCAGGATACAACAGTCTAGTCAGATTTTCTAGATTTGCTTCAAGACCTCCTCGGCAGCGGAAACATCAATCGAAGTCTTCTCGGGCTCGACAAACGCATGTGTGACCTTGCCGTTGTCAACCAAAACGGCGTATCTCTCAGACCTCTCGTTGCCAAAGAACTTGGAGGCATCGAAAAGCACGTCCCATTTCTTGGCAAACTCGCCCTTGGGATCGGCCAAGAAGCGCACACCCTCGGTGCCCTTGGCATTGATGGCCTCGCCCCAAGCCTTAAACACAAAGGCGTCGTTGACACCTGTCACATAGATGGACTTGTATCCCTTATCCTGGAAAGCAGACAAGTGGCTCAAGAACCCAGGGATGTGCGAGGCCAGACACGCAGGCGAAAAGGCGCCTGGAACACCAACAATCACAGCCTTGCCGCTGGCTGCCTCCTCGGCCAAATTGACCTCGTTTCCTGGCGAACCTTCAAACAAGGACACCGAAGGAATCTTGTCTCCGGCAGCAACGAGTCTGGAAGACGACGAGGAGAAAGAGCGGGCCAATTGGGGAGCGAGTCTGTTTCTAAGAGCGAACATTCTATATACGAGAGTTTACTGAGTCAGAAAAGGAAGTGGTCGCAGGCAAGAGACTGGACGGTGATACCTGCTCTTATTGTCTGGGGCACCATGAGCAGCAGCCTGCAGGACGACCCGTCGGCACGTGACTGGGCGACACCATCATCAGGAGATGCAAGCCAAAAGCGTCGACCACAAAATGCAGCGTGACACTGGCATAGAGCGCTTCTATTTCTCGGCATGCTTCTGTTTCTTGGTTTGCTTCTGTTTCTTGGTTTGCTTCTAAAACGAGTGAAGGACGCAAGAGTTCATGGCCGCCTGGACGGCCTGGGTTATTGGTCTTGCATAGACGACTCGATTGCCATCTCCCAGCGCACAGTTGCTGGGCAGTGTCTGCAGTACCATGTAGTGGTCATAATAGCGTATTTCCAAAGAAGCCCACGTTCCGGACTGTCAGCGTATGATGATGTACGCGAAAGTCCCAGGTAGCGTCTCAGTTCAAGCGCACATTTCTGCTCAGACGGTCTCTCTCAATATCTGTCCCTTTTGCATGCCACTCTTTAAATGGTCACGGCCAAGCATAGAAAGCAGATCACGGGGCAGTCCGGCCAAATCGGCACCCACAAAAAGGGTTTTTTCAAAATTCTTTCCCAGAGGAAGGCCCAAAAGGAGGCCAAAACGAAGCAGCAACGGAGCCCCCGAAAAGCGACTGCCATGGTGGCTTTATACGCAGACGTCCCAACAGGGCCTGTGTGCAGACCCGAGCCTGCAGAGTCAGAAGCAGCTCCATGTCCAGCACCATAGACTGCTGGCAGCACAACCATGATGGCCACCGAGCAGCAGATCACGCCGCAAAAGGCACTCGATCTTTACAAGAATGCACTCAACTACAACGTGATTTCACGCTACGACGCACAGGTGAAACAGCTTCTCTACTCGACCTCTCATTGCGTGATCTACAAGTTTTCGCTGGAGTCGCAGGAATGGGTCAAGACGGATTTCCAGGGCACGTTGGCGTTGTATCTCCGCCACTTCCGTGCGGAGGTGCCGACCCGGCCACTATGCGAGGCCGATTTGCAGGACCTCTTTTGCTACGGCTTGATTCTTTTGAACCGCCTGTCGCCAGAGAACTTTTCCATCGGGCTTTTGCCGAACCAGGCCACACGGACCCTTTTTCCCAACGGCGTCAACAACAACGGCGTGCGCGAGATGAACGTAGAGATCAACGACAACTTGATCATAGTGAAGAACGTGCTTGGCGACATTTTCGGGTTGTGGGTGTTTAACGAGGACGACCGCCAGAAGTTGTTCAAGCTCATCCAGTTCTGTCTCAACGGGTCGAGTTAGGCTGTGTGCAAGAACCGGCTGGGTTGTGAAGATGGGAATGAGAGGGAGTAGTGCCAGGGTGGCGACGATCTTGGATAGAGCGCCTGGGTGGGGGACGAGCGAGGCGCGTTGGAGGAGACGTGAACATAATGAGCTTTGGAAGGGAATATACGAGACGAAGCCGGATGAAGAATGCAGCCGGCGAGGCGAGTGCAAACAAGCTAGTTGTGTGGATCAAGGGAACCAGAACAGGCCAGTCCCGCGAATCCTACTGCAGGGTTCAAGCTCATCAAGCCAGTCAGTATCCTGCCAGTCAGTATCCTGCCAGTCCACATCTGCCAATAAGACAGCTAACCACTTTAGCACATAAAACAAGCTGGCACATAGAACAAACGGGCACATAGAACAAACGGGCACATAGAACAAACGGGCACATAAAACAAACTGGCACATCAAGCAAACTGGCACATCAAGCAAACGGGCACATCAAGCAAACGGGCACATCAAGCAAACTGGCACATCAAGCAAACTGGCACATCAAGCAAACGGGCACATCAAGCAAACTGGCACATCAAGCAAACGGGCACATCAAGCAAAGCCTATCGAGCACCCAAACAAGCTGGGCAATCTAGGCTGGCAAGCTGGGCAGTATTTGCCAACAAAGACCACTCACCCGATCATCCGAAATCGTCCCGGCCAAGTGAATGCCGCAAACAGCAGGGACCTCTAAACCCAGGTCGCATTTTCTCGCAACAGATTGGTGCGTTTGGACGAGACGTAGTAGAGACGTCCATACTGCCTGTGCAGACTCCGCCAGAGCCACAGACATTGCAATACATACACCAAAACAACATCCAAGCAAACAAGAACAAGGAAACAACAAAAACAACAAAAAACAACAAAAACAACAAAAACAACCAAAAACAACCAAAAACAAAAACAAAAACAAAAACAAAAACAAAAACAAAAACAAAAACAAAAAAACAAAATACATCCAAAAAATGAAAAAAAAATCCAACGCAGCACGAATGAACCACGACCACTAAACCCGCCTCCTACATAAATCATCTCGCTCCAGCTCGCGTATATCAGTACCCACTCTCGCAGCCACCCGATCAGAGGCTGGCGCGGCCGCGGGTCACGTGACGCGGCCTCGGCGCGCGGCTCGTCCTCCAAATCTTTTCCAGGCCCTACTACTACCAACACCATCTGTAACCGTCCGGCCAACCCCTCCCCCCGTGGCCCCCTCCCCCCGCTGTCCCCACCGGCACGTCCACTGCACCCGGCACACCCCGGAGCCCTTTCCCCGGCCAAAAAAAACCGTGTTTTCGCGTTTTTCTGCCCGGTCGTAGTCTGCCGCGGCCACCCCGTGCCCAGTGCCCCGCAGTCTCCTTAAGACGCGCAAAACACAACCCGCCCCTTGCTACCCGCCATGGCCGAGCCCGCCAAAATGGCGGCTGCCTCCGCCAGCCAGCTGCCCCGCGCCGCGGCCCGGCCGCTCGTGCAGAAAAACCCCCCG